ATCTTAATGGTCATTTAATTACTCGCTTTAATTGCAGGCAAAAAGTATCAACCTTTTTCAAAGGAATAAGACTTTTCATACGTTCAAGATTCCATGTTTAAGAATAAAATGTCGAATGTAAATCATTGGACTATTCTGGGAGTGACTTTAGAGCTCAGCAATCGACTCATTTTTCATCTAGAATTCATCTAATTCTAATGAGCATTTCCTGACGAAAAGTATTTACATTTATAAGGATTTGAGTACAATTATAAGGCAAAGCATTGTAAGGACATCATGCACAAATTGCTTCGGCTTTGCAAGATGAGGCGATTTTTGTTGTTTCAAAGCAACTTCAGTTGTCGGATTTACTTGTACATTCATTGAAAATTTCATTTCGAAAGTGAATCAGATTTAATTTTCATTCTGGAAGCGGCATAAAACAATGAGATTTTGTTACTTTGCTTTCACTAAACATTGATTCTAAGCTTAATCCATCTCGAAATCCATTATCGTAACTGAACTCAATAGGTTGAGAAGCTTTCACAAATTGCATGTTACTCTGAACATGCTCGAATCTTCTGGTTCAGACCAGAATCAGAATGAGCATGACTCTATTGAATAGAAAACAACTTTTCTTGCTGAATGTCGATTCTTTCCCATTTTAAATGTTGAGTTAGCAATTTTACAAATCAAAATGAACTCGTCAAAAGTTGACAAAAAATGCATAAACACAGACTCTTGTACAAAGTAATGAAGACAAGTTATGGTTGCTCAAATTTTTGGGCGTAAACCATGCAATACTTTTCTGCAAGATTCAAAGCTATTTTTATGCGTTTCAATATTTCCAAAAATAAAGTTTCCTTTTTTGCCCAAAAACTCGCAACTATTTAACAAAATGATTAAACGTTCCAAGCATTAATCACAAACTTGTTTAATAAACTTTTCTGCAAACATTATCATCGACCATTAAAATAATTAACAAATTTATCAATAAAACTATCAAATTTATGTTCGATTCTATTATGATGTTCGGGTTAATATCATAAACCTGTCAATTCCAACCCACTTTTCCTGATAATTGATTTAGTTGCCTTTTCTTCATCAGATAATTTTGTTCAGTAAAAGGTGTGATAATGGACATTTTGCTTCCATTTTGCTTCACGAAAAGAGTTGAAATTTTCGCTGATAAAATTCCAAATTTTCATTTCTTTTTCTTTTCAATTTTTTCTGCTTTCCAATAAAGAGTTGAGGCGAAAGATGATATTTGTTAATAACATGGTTTTCCTTTCATGTTGATACACTTTTCTCTCGATTCTCTTGTTAATAATTAATGATTATTTTCCCCTGATTTTACTCATTTTATGTGAACTTTTGAGATTTCTTTTTTTCTCTTTACTTCATTATGTTGACTCCCATTTATAATAAGAAAGGCACACCTTTCATAATAAACTTTGTTTGATTAACTTGTTGTCTGAGAATCAATTTTGTAGAGAAAAAGAATTCTCAAAATGAACTCAAGATTGGAATGAAGTTGAAGTTGAAATTGCAAGTTTGCCATTTTATTTGACAAAGAAGATTCTTGAAGATTTTATTCAGAATTGAATGAAAAATATTGATCAATTGTAGGCGTAAAGAGGAGGAAGCAGGGAATTCTGATGCCTTTTTGCAGTTGAAGGCAAGTTGAAGCTTGAAAATCGAACATGAGTATTTAATCAACCTTTAAAAATGAAATTTAAGGGAAAATGTCAACAAGTTAATCAATAAATGTTAGACTTAATGAAATAATAATTTAGAGCAATACCTTTCGGAGTTGCTTTTGATGTCCATTAAGTTCATTGGATTCACTCGTGTTTCAAGTTAAGATAATATCAAGTTTAGTAAATTCCTTGTTTATTGAGACTTTTGATTCTGGATTTTCATTGAAGACAGTTTTTGGTCTTTGACAATTTTGGCTTTTGGTTCAGCTTTGAGTTTCTTGATTTATTGATTGTTGATTGTCATTTTTATTTTAACCAAATTAATGCAAACATCTTGAATGAACATTTTATTTGAGGATGAAATGTTATAAGAGTTTTAACCATCTAAAATTGCTGGACATTTTTGTTGAAACTATTGTCCAAGCTTTATCAGGTTGAAGTAGAGTCAAAAAATTGTACAATGTATCATGATCAGTGAAGGCGGAGTTGATCTTGTAATAAATGAATCAAAAGTTGATCAAGATTGATTACGATTGAGAAGAAATTTGTTTTACTTTGTTTTTGGTCATTCAATATGACGATTAAGATGGACAAGATGATGATGATGAGACTGATGATGATGCCCAAAGGTGTTTTAACGTTTTTCGTTGTTCTTGTAATACTAGTAAAACACAAAGTCAATTTCAATTTAAAGTTAATTGTTGTTGGTAAACACAATTTGTTAGTCAACTTTTGCCTAAAGGTAAAACAAAGTTCAATATCTATTAACAATCCATTAATAACATAAATACGCTTTTATTGGTCCTTACAACGGAAAAGCAAGCAAGAAAACGATAAATTTTCATTCCAAGATTATCTTTCCAAATTAATTTGATCATTAGACTGATTTGCACATGAATTTGCAAATTCAAACTATTAATAGATTCAATTCATGCTCTTCATCCATCGGTACTCATAAATGCTGTAATAATTTCAAAAAGACTATTTGAAGCCAAGTCATCATTCATTGCATTTAATCGATTAAGATTGAATTCGCATTTAAAATAATGAAATTTAAAAGTTTCCTCGAACATTGGAAACTCTAGAAATCGAAACTTTTGAGCAGTTATTTGACCATTCCAATCACATATCAATGATTATCTTACATTTTAGCACAATTCATCAAAATAGCGAAACTTTTTCTTGTCGAAATGCAATTAAAGTCTCATTTTTAAATCATTTTCAAATGCAACTCTATCTTTTAAGTTTGAACTAATTTGAAAACTGATCGGAAATATTGAAGTAACCTTAATTTGATCAAATAATTGTATTATATTTAAAATACTTAAAACTGCTAGTATTCACTCCAATAGCATCATTGAGTAATTATTCACCAACTTAAATCCAATGAACACAAATTTTGAGGTTTAAAACTCTTGAAGATGAAATACTAAACTTATTTACAAAGAAATGACTCAAATTGGATAAGAACCAAGGATCTATTGCTCTTACCTTTTCAGATGAGACTATAAAATAAGCGCGTATCTTGAGCTAAGAAGTTATTTTTTGACTTCTTTTCCGTTGTAAGGACCAATAAAAGCGTATTTATGTTATTAATGGATTGTTAATAGATATTGAACTTTGTTTTACCTTTAGGCAAAAGTTGACTAACAAATTGTGTTTACCAACAACAATTAACTTTAAATTGAAATTGACTTTGTGTTTTACTAGTATTACAAGAACAACGAAAAACGTTAAAACACCTTTGGGCATCATCATCAGTCTCATCATCATCATCATCATCTTGTCCATCTTAATCGTCATATTGAATGATTCGACCAAAAACAAATTTCTCCTCAATCGCAATCAATCTTGATCAACTTTTGATTCATTTATTACAAGATCAACTCCGCCTTCACTGATCATTTCCATTCACAGATTTTGTTATTCGACTAAATATTCAAGATTATATCAAGTTTCATCATGAACGTCTCTCAGATCATCTAAACTGAGCAACTTCAAAACTTGCAGAACAATAACATTTCAGAAAAACTCAAACTCAAACTCAAACTCAAACTCAAACATAAGTCTTCACTTCGCCTCATCGTTATAATTTCATCAAACAGTCTCATTCAGCGCAACTTTAGCTAATCAAATTATCCATTCGCATAAATTAGCTTCAAAATTTTCCATGAAATAACACAATCACCAAACTGGAAATGACAAAAGTTGAATATTGAACTGTAATTCATTGAAATCGAATAAATCTTATCCTGTTTATCAAACTTTCACATTGACTGCAATTGTGATGAACAAAGCATAACCTTGAAGGTAAACACTGATCAATTGTTCATTAAAACTTCAATCTTTAACATCCAATAAAAGAAAGAAAATTTTTCAGAATAATATTAAAATTAATTGCCTTGAGGTTTAATCGCAAGTTGAATCAACAAGCACTGTTAACAATATTCATTAACAGCCAAACCTTAAAATTGTTTAATGTAAAAATAAACTTTTAATGCGCAAAATTTATGAAAAAACAGTTTATAAAGCAAATGAAAATGATTTTTGAAACTTTGTAATGATTTGATTAATCAAAGGTTTGACAAGTTAATGAACAATTGATGAATTGCAAGACAATGGTTAAGAGGACAATTGTACAAATGTTATGGTTTGATTGGTACAAGATGTTGAGGGCGACAATTAAGGAAGACCAACAATAAATTAGGCCTTAAAAGATCACTGATGATTAAAATCACGGAAAGTCTACGAAAGAAATGGTTAAATCGTTAATTGATGATCTTCAAGTTTCTTGATTGGAAACATTTCCATTTCAACAATTGCTAAATTGTTTTGTCGTTCAATTGTCAAGATAAGTTTCGCCATCAATTCAATGATCATTTTTCAGCATTTCTTCTTTTTCTCATCGTTTTGCCTTGATTGATTGATTATTGATCAACTTGATTTGACTTTTGATTATTGATTACTCAGTTATTTTATCGTGTTTCATGTTTATCCGGTTCTCTTCAAATCTATTATTCATTTGTTAATTGATTGTTGATTGATTTAACCGTGAACATTATCATGATAGTCATGAGTCTTTCAACACTGAAGTTGAACTTTTAATGAATCAAATGTGATCATTGATTTATTCAGTTAATCGATGGTTTTGCAGTCTTAATTGATTAACAATTGATTTGGAACGATTTGCTTTTCTTTTTTTCCAATTTTCCAATTCAATTAACAATTTTTGTCTTCATTTTTACTTTTGAATTGGCCGCTAATGCAAATTCACTAGATGGAGACACTCAAAGTTGATGCAATTGGTTACAGCTGATGGATCAACTTTTTTCCCTTTCCATGTGGATCTTTATCAATTAATTTAGTTAATTGGTCTTCTTGGTTTAACCTTTTTTTTACTTTCTAATTTAACTCAATTTCTGGTAATTTACCTTTTTTATTGTCTCGTGTCCATCGTTAATTGACTTGGTAAAAATGCCACCAAAAAAGAAGGAAGAAGAACCTAAACAATTGCTTCTCGGTCGTATGGGAACTAACCTTAAATGTGGTGTTGTTGGACTGCCAAATGTTGGAAAGTCAACTTTTTTCAATGTTTTAACCGCTTCTCAGGTGAAAGCGGAAAACTTTCCCTTCTGTACCATTGACCCCAACGAGTCTCGTGTTCCCGTTCCTGATGCTAGATTTGATTATCTTTGTGAATACTTTAAACCAGCCAGCAAAGTACCAGCTTATTTAAATGTGGTTGACATTGCCGGTCTGGTTAAGGGAGCTTCGGAAGGAAAAGGATTGGGAAATGCTTTTCTTTCCCATATTAAAGCTTGTGATGCTCTTTTTCACCTTTCCAGTAAGTTGTTTACACCTTGCATTTAACCCTAACACCGATAATAATCAAATAACCAATTTATTTCAATTGTTTTCTAGTCCAACTCACACTTTTAGTGACGTTGACAAGTAACTTTAGTGTTATCAGTTGCCACAGTTGCTGTCATCTTTTTACCTTCATTTACAAGCTCAACTTGAGGCAACAGGAATGATTGATTGTAATTTTGTTAGATTATCTCGTTCTGAATAATCTAGCCAATTGTCACTGAATCTATTTAAATGTTTCATACATTTTGGGTTTCATTTTCACTTGAAAATATTGATAGAAAAGAGAAACAAAATTCTCAAAAGAAAAGCCTGATAAAAGGAAAAGAAAGAAGCAAATTAACCATGTTATTTATTTGTGGTTTGGTTGATTGTTAAAAATGATGGTCATAATTATATGAGCTTTTAACATAATTTTGGTGACCCTAAGCATCAGGGAGGAATGATAATGATAAAAATGATGAAAGTCAGGTAAGAAAAATAGATAACAAGGTGTATATTTAAGATACCCTGTAATTTTCAGTTGAAAAGCAAGATTATCATAAATTGTATCCTTTTAACCACAATGGTTAATACCTAGCAAACCCTGATCATAGCTTGATTCCCGTTACCTGTATGGTCAGGTTAATTGTGACCTTCAACTGATTATCCTTTGTCCGTTTAGTACAATGATTAACCCTGATTTATTCAATGTTAAGGTTGTGGTTTTCAAGTCAATTAACCGAGAGAGAGAGAAAGCAAAAGGCAAGACAACTTACATTTATCAGTAGAGCAAATTAATGTTAACCAATTTAACCTCAATTGTGGTTAATTTGCAATTTACAAAATGTTGTACAAAGTGATTAGTAAATCGTCAAAACTTGAAAAAAGCTCAAAACACAATATAAGAACAAACACAAATAGCAAAGTAAATTTTTCAACTCTAAAATAATTCAATCTTTAATATAAAAATTGAAATGAAAAGGTAAATCAAAAGACAACAATTTTCATTTTAACCATTATTCAGCTTGAACACTGATTCTTGACCAACATTTTGCAAACTTGTATATAAATCAATTTATTGACATTCATCAAAAGTTGCAAATCAAAAGTTGATGTAAACGTTTATTAGAGGTTCAGTTAAATGGTTTAATTTGTTTTGTACGGCGTTTCGCTTAGGTACGTTGAAAGTCAATCTTGAGTGATACTCTCAACACACTCACACAAACACACTTACAATCGTCATTTTTACTTCAAGCCTGACTGACTGTTTGAAGAGCAAAAATGGCAAATGCTTTCTATTGAACCAACTGAAACTGACCCTGGACTTGAAAGGTCATCATGCAATCAAAAATGTTGCTCTTTCTTTATACTAGGCTAGTTTTCAATCTTTTTTTTCACCAACATACAAAAAAATATCATTATTAGACTATTTCGCTCTAACTTTTTTCTCTCTACTTTTACTTTTCAAACAAAATTATAGACTAGATCTGAAAAAAAGGGAAAAGACTTCTTTTTACGGTCAAGAAACAATCAAAATTGTTTGAATCTCGATGATAGGTAAAGCTAAAAATATAATGCTTGAGTCTGATGTTTCTGACTATGCAAACTTTACGCCAAATTTTCCTCTGTTTTCAGATGCTTTTTTGTTCTGTTATTGCATTTTCACCCAAACTCTCAATTGCATATTATTTTCATCATTTTTACTTTTCTCCCTCTTATTATGCTCCTAAAGTAATTTTAATAATACATGTTTCCATATCAATAATCATTGAATATTTTCTTTCAATTGGATTCATTTCCAAACTATAATGATCACTATGATGAAAACAAATGAACATGTTTCATGTTGATCACAACTTCAATTGATCAATTGATTGATTGACTTCTTCATTTCATTTGTTTTACACTTTTCCTTATCTTACTCTTTCTATCTTTTACCCTTTCACAGGAGCCTTTGAGGACGATGATGTTATCCATTATGAAGGTGATGTTAATCCAGTTCGCGATATCGAGATAATCAATGAAGAACTTCGACTCAAAGATGTCGAATACTTGGAATCTCGATTGTCCCAAGTGGAACGAACGGTTCTTCGTGGTGATAAAACTCACAAAGCTGAATATGTAAGTTTCAAAGATTTCAACTGAATTGATTAAGTTAATGATGAAACGTGATTCCATGTAAATCATGGTTACATTTTATGCAACTTTTTTATTACATTGATAACAATCTGTGTATTAACCAGAAACTCATTCATCTAATAATGTATTTAAAACTAAGGTAATTTAATTGGTTTTTGCTTCATCTTCATCATCTTGTTGTTGCCAGTTTTCAGGCTTACCTTGTTATTAAAAAAAGTAAAATAGCAATCAAAGTTTGATTGAGTTACGAGCAAGTAAAAAATGATGGATGTGATTAAATTATTATATCTTGCATTAAACAAAAAGCAATGTTAATAGATTTTCAAAGTTTGGCAAAAAAAGATTTTAGTTAATACCTGTTAACTATTTGAAGTAAATATCAAAGTAATATTGTTATTAATATATTGTTACATTGTCGATCCAACTGACATCAAATAGGAAGCATGTAAGTTGGAGAAAACATTTTTTCTCCAAGTCAAGTTTTTCCTTCACTTTACCTTTATCGAGTTTACACTGATTATGATGTTGTCTTACCTGGAAAGTCATTATTGGCAAGACAAAGAATTTACCTTTTTCCCTCTTCCAACCCACCATTGTTCAGTAGAGTCTCCATGAAAGTCAATAATTTTGAGTATCGGGCCAATTTAGTTTGTTCACATGTTTTATACATTTTACAGTTTCTCTTGTTATTTTAATTTAAAGGTTAAAAATGATTAACTGACAGGTAAAAGATGTAAGTCTCGTGGCTGTTGACTGTTTAACTTGGTAACATTGAAAGACATGTTGAGGAATATTGTTAACCATTTTTACCTGTTAATAACCAACGATTTACTTCACTTTTGACATAAACTGTTAGCTTCTTCAGATAAAGTGTGCAACATCACTTAAAGTCATTCAATGAGTTTCAAGTGAGCTACCGTTTAATGTGCTTCAAGTAACATTTTGAGTCTTGTTATCAAAATTTAAATCTCTTTCAACTCTTTCAATGCTCTTATTGACTGATCTTTTCAATTGCTTTTAACTCGCCACTTGGACCATTTTTGTCTCTAATTAGGATGTTCTGATGAAAATCAAAAAGCTTTTGGTTGATGAACAAAAACACGTTCGTTTTGGTGAATGGGACGCTAACGATGTAAGTAACAAAAACATTTTACATTCCTTTTCAGTGTTAATCTAATTCTCTCTTTTTTCCATCTTCTCTTTTCAGATTGAAGTTCTTAACAAGCATCTTTTCATCACCTCAAAACCAATGATTTACCTGGTTAATCTGTCAGAAAAAGATTACATTAGAAAGAAAAATAAATGGTTTGTTGGCTTTCTCAATATTTTGCATCAAAATCAAATGTCGATTTCATTTTGAGCTTAAACTTTTCCGGCCAAGTTTGCGTTGAATATGACTTTTAATGATGTATCGCAAGGGACTCGATGGGTTAAGCCAAAGAATCAACAAATGGTTATCAAGTTACATCAATTATTGATGATGTTTACAAAGTCATTGATGGATCCATTAGTTTTAATATTGTTAATTTACTCATTGATCTTGATCCACTTTGATATCAGTGTTAATCTGAGTTTCCCCTCCCAGACGAAGAAACAAAAACAGGAAAGGCGATAAAGTTATATGCATAAATTGAAAGAGTGTCAAGATGAAGAGCAAAGGAAAGGTCACTAGTCCCTTGTAATTGGGCGTGATCCCAGGAGGAGTTAATGTAAACGTTAACATGAAGTTCAAGTGAGACTTTCTCTGTTTCTCTTACTCTTTTCTTCTCTCAAGTGATTCATTTTTTTACTCAGTCAAAACTCATTTGTGTTGATAGCAAAAAAAAGTTTCAATTTAACCTTTAAAAGTGTTCCATCTTATACGATGAAAAGACAAGTTGATTATTTTCTCTTCCTTCTTCTTCTTCTTTTAGGGTCCTTTTTGTTTAAATATTACTTGTTACTTGATCCTCTTCTCTGTTTGTGTTTTTACTCTAGACTCCGTTGTTCGTACTCTGTGTGTTTAGCGCCTAAAGGGCCTTTGGAAGGCGTCTCATTGACGACGATTTGAAAAGCTTCATTACCCTAGAAGTGAGCATAATTTACCTTAGGTTAATAGGCAAGGTCATCATCACTCGCAAAGGCAGTCCATGTAACCACTTCCCTAACCACCTCTAAAGTATCAATTCACTCGGTACAGACTGTAATCTCTTGTCGACCAACCTTTATTTTCCTTCGATAATTGTTAAAGAGTTAAACCGTCCAAAGGTAAAAGTCATCAAAGTCAAAGAGGAAAACACAACACAAAAAAACTAACACTACAATGAATAGTTATAATGATTTTTGACTCTAAATTTGGCAGCAAAGATATCAGTATGTTAGTGTAAAATGAACCAGAAAGAAATAGTTTTTGTTGATTACCTGAATTTAGTTGTATTTTTGTGAGTTTTTGTTGTTTTTGCCTTTTCCAGTTTCACCAAAAACGAGTGTAAAATGAATGCAAAAAGAAATGAGAAACGAAGGAAGATGAAGAATCAAACAAATGATGTTAAAGGTAATACCAATAAATACTAGGTTTGAGAGACTTATAATTATAGTATGAATCTTTTACTCTTCCTTATTCCTCTTTGGAAACCCGAACAAGAACAAGAAATAATACAATCGATTGTGACCTCAACTCTAATCATCATCTTCTTCTTTTCCTCTTCTCTCTTCTTCTCTTTCTCACCCTTCCTTTTTTCCTCTCTCTTCTGATCATCGGCCATCTTCTTCCTTGTCAATGATTTTTTCCGATGGACTTGTTAAAATAATAGGCTCCTCATCATGAAAATGGGAGAACCTCACTCCCAGTAATATTGGCCAAAATACTCCTTTAATTAGATTGGATTAACTTTCTTCTTTCCTCATCTAACTATAATTATTTCGTTGAACCGGTCAACATTATCGCCATTTATTATCAATACTTTTCTCTCTAATTGACTTTCTTGTTAATCATAATTAGCAGTTCTATACATTGGGTTGACCAAAACAAAATGTAGACCTTAATTTCAATTATCTCAGAGTTAATTATTTTTCCATATTTCAAGTCTAATAGGGTTTTAAAAAGAGGATTTTTTGTGGTAACTTGTCAACTTATCATTTGCACTCGAAAATGAAAGTAAACCTTAAAATTCAATTTTCTCGATCAGAGTTTATTTCAAATTTTTCCTATTTCATGACATTTGCAATTTTGAATCTCGATTATCCAAACGTTTTTTCATTTTCGAACTACAATCTTTTTGAATTTCACTTTTTGAACAGTTTCAATGATCGACAAAATTTTATGGTAAACTTGGAAATATTGAAGTTTGAATAAACCATTTTTGCTCACCTTTTACACGTTATTATCATTATGTGTTTAGACATGAATATTTAATTCAATATTAATATGGATTCTCTTTCCTCCCATTTTTAGCTCTTTCAATGTTGATAAACACAGATTGAAACTAAATTATCGGTTACTAATCTTAGTCATTCCTCTGATTGTTGGATACTTTTTATTTGGTTGATTATAACATCTAACCCTAGTATTGACCATATGCCCATTTACCCAGAGGCTGTATCATTTAACTAATATTCAAACATTGAAAGACATGGATAGACAGAGAAAGGAGAAAGAAAAAGAAACAAACAGAGAAATACATTTTTACCTTCTCATCATCTTTTCATCTTCTCCTGGCTTTGTTGCTATTTTTGTTTCTCTCAATTTATATGTCAAACATTTCCGTGTTATTGTTGGTACATTACAATATTCAATATACAATTATGGTTCCAATTGCAAACTGAAATTGGCGAAAAGATGAAAATTTTATTCTTTCATTGATCACTTACGATCAAATTATTTGCTTTATTGACTAACATTGTTAATCTTCACCTCTTTAGGCTCCTCAAAATCAAGGAATGGATTGATGCTCATGATGCTGGAGCCGTTCTTATACCCTTTAGTGGTGCTCTGGAGATGAAACTGGTTGAAATGCCAGACGATGAAAGGAAAAGATTTCTCGATGAAAACAAATGTACAAGGTAAATTGAAATTTATTGATCAGCAAATCGAAAAAATTTACACCAAAAAATGGATTCAATTGTCCATAAATGATTACCAAGAATATCATTGCTTGTCTGGTTACATCTTCATCTGTTTATGATGTTAATGTTCACACTGAGAATATTTATCAATTACAATTTTACTCTTTACGCTCATCGATTAGTCTCATTATAATGTTGAGCCTTTTCGCCTTTGCACAGTCAAAAACACTTGAAGATGATCATTTGCATCATCATTATCATCAACAAGATTTGCTCATTTTTACGGGTTACTATTTCTTTCTCTCTCTTCATTCTGTTCTTTCTGGCAAAATATTCATTTATCATGAAGATAAACTTGCCACTCCCATTGCAGTCTTTCCTGTCTTTACATTTTTATTTATCTTTTTTTCATCTCCTTTTTTATCTTCATCTTCATCTTGCTTCTCTCACCCATTCTTACTCAATTTAATCAATCTCTTTTAGTGTCACTTTCATTGATAATGTTTTGACTTTTAACTTTGCTAAAATGTACCAAAAAGTGATTGCACAGGTTATGTACTGCCAATGATTATCATGATAAAACTTACTCCCTGCCGAGTCACTTTCATTAGCATCTTGTCATCAATCCATCTTCAGTTTAACTGTACTTTACAGGTTAACGGTTGACGAGTGCGAACACCAAACATTACCAACAAATCTGTTGAGGTCAACCAAATCCAATCGAGTTTCCTTATCAATGACATTATGCTAATAGTGTTGTTCAATTGTTAGATGATTTATACGAGAAAAAAATGTCCAGAATTTTATCATTATTCATCTTCAATAACACGCACAAGCAAAAGTCTGAACCAATCAAATGCATCCATTAGACTTGGAGGGAAATTTCAGCAAAAAATTCAATCAAAGGAAAACTTTTCATCGAAATGTTCATTTAAAGAGCAAAACATGAATCGCAATTAACTGTTAAATGCTTGAAATCATTGATAGTTTTTCTGAAATTTTCATGCAAATGTTCAGTGTTTTCACACTTTTCAATATTCATCAACATGATAAAATATTTGTTTAATTTTAATTTTCTTCCTGCTATTGTATCTTTACATGAAACTGACTGTTAAACTAATGTTAAAACGGTTAAAGATATCAATTACCAAATGAATGTATTATTAGACAAACGCAAAGTTGATGCTTTTTCCGGTTGCAGGTTTCCGTTTTCATTTGATTGTCCAGCTTGATCAACCAAGTATACACAAAATGCTCTGTATTTGATGAGATGATTTAGCCATGCTCTGTTGATTTGCATGGATCTTTCCATCCATTGTTTTTACCATATCATTACATTATACATATTTATAGATATTCAATTGAAATCATTTCTATCGCCATTTGCTTTCAAATTTGTTAACATTTTCATTGACAATTAGTTGAAATTAAGTTTCATCAACAGTTGCAGTTTTCATGAAAACACTAGAATTGCTTTTTTCTCAGACTGAGCGCTTCAACACAAAATTTTCCTGAAATGACTGACAATTGTGTGATTGACAATCGTCTCAACCATTCTTATGCTTGAATAAGTGACCATTTCTAGTGGTCATTCAATATTCAACCCACCGAGGTAAACAAGAAAAAAAGCAAGAAAAAAATGAAGTCCTGTCTTTTGCAGTTGAATCAAACCTATTGAATATTGTATTATAATAGTAATTATTTGGATCCAAAATAATGTCGAGTTAATTTGATATGAAGAAGAAATCTGTTTTACTTTGATTTCTCATCTTTCAAACCATTTCAATGATGATTCAGTTGAAATTGAATCTTGACCAACATAATGAGATAAAGTCGACTATTTGTCTTTTCATATTTCCCTATAATAATGCCATTAATCTGCAAACTGTCCAACTGTCTTTCATTAAATGAACATATTTTTCATCATCATTATCATCAAAAATATTCCTCATCTTCTTGATGATAATTTTTTTCTCTTCTCTCTTCTTCTTCTTTGGTTACATTGAATACAAAAGCAATAGTCCGTGATTGATGAAGGTTAACGGGCGTAGTCCTTATCCTCTGAAATAACCAGGCCAATTTGAATGTTGTTTTACTCTGGTTCATAATAACCAATAAAACAAAATTAGTTTTAATGATAGTCAGGAGAAGACGCAAAGACTTGTAACGAGTTGATGAAGAAGAGTAAAAAGAGAGCGATTAAACTCTCGCCCCTCTGTACGCTCACCATTGAATGTTGCTCATGATGATAATGATGATGATGTCTGTCTTTTCATCTTCCATTTCCTTTGTACCAATCATTTAATACTTGAATTGGTTCTTGTTTTTCACTCTTATTTTGTTGTCTCACAACAACAACGAGAGAAAACCTTTTTCCATTGGAATCAAGATGATTCTTGATCATCATTGGCACTAAATGAACACTCCATTTGAACCCAACTTTTGCTCCTTTCATTATCATCATATTTGTTCTTCTGCTAATTTTTACAGAAGTCTTTTCGCTGTCTGTCGTCTTTTCCTCTTCTTCTTCTTCTTCTTCCATAGAATCATCATCTCTTCGGATCCTATACAGACAAACCCTATTATTAAGTTGGAGAAATGAAGCTTGTCACTTCTAGATGCATTCAAATGAAACCACCAAAAGTAGAGATGAAAGGCTCTTCTCTTGATTCTCTCTCTCTCTCTCTCTTTACCAATCATCATGTTTCTGCTGTTTTCATGCTTTTCCCATGCTTTTGAAACCTTTTTACTTCTTTTCCATCTTCACAATCACATTGCCATTTCCATTTGCCTCTTCAATTCATTTTTATCTTCCTCTGTCTTCTTCTTTCACCCAAATTGCTTTAATCTCCCATTTGCTTTCTCTGTCCCTTGTTTCAACCATTCTTACTGGTGCCTGGTGATGATGATGTTGATGATAATTCTGATGATCACTTGGATTCATTATTATCATTGAAAAAATAAGAGGAAAAACAATAAACCATTTATAGAGTAAATTATCATTTATCCAACAAAATGCAGTTACCATTTGAATAAAAGAAATCAAAAATGGAATCAATTTTCCCTGAAACAAATTCAAATCAATTGAAAATTAAATTTCCATTGACTGTAAGCTTAAATTATCCTTTTCAATTTTCCCTTAAATTTACTCTTGACTAAACATTTCAATGAAGATGGTCAATAAGATATTTGAAAATATCATTTCTCAAAACAATGATTCCCACAAATGATAAATTCATTGTTATTTGTAAAGATTAGTTTAAATGATTTGTTTTTCCGTTCAATGATTACAGTCAATTTTAAAGGCTACAATTTACAAATTTTGATGAAAAAATTTCCCTTTAAACTTGGTTTTCTTGCAATTACCCAAACTTGTGAATCCAGGATTTCAGGTTAACCTACGAATCTTTAGATACAAAATGAGTTTGACATGAAGCTTGCTTTGCGCGCCTTTTCCCTTTGTTATCCTCATTCCTGTGCCAAAACAATATCAATAATAGCATTAATAACAACAATATCCATTGAGTATTGGTTAACCAATTTACAAAATGATTATCCATGCTTGTCAATCAACAATCGTCAACTTTTACTGTTGCCGTTAAAACATAAACGTTGACTTTTACCTTCTCACGGGTTTCTTTGTCTTTTGTCAGTTAAGGTTAATCCGAGAGTTTTTAAGCCGTTTTGTTGTTCGGGCGAGAGTAAAAAAAACATTTTGCTCGCAAGTTGCTCTTTATTTTGTTGTACTTAACCCGAATTATATCTGTTGGTTCTTGATCACTAAAATGTTCAGTCACAATGGATGCTTATTTTTGTCTCAAAAGAGGAGGATAATGTAGTGAACAAAAAGGGGGCAAATGTGAATATTGAAGAAGCCGAAATGTCCAAAATGTTGATTGCTTTTGTCAACTCATTTTTGCTCTTTCAAGTCGAGTGTTGCCAAGATGAGTTTAACCATCCTCATCCTCATCACCATCTTTTAATCCTCTTTTGTCATCATTATTGCAACAATAACGATACTTTTTTTTAATACCATGAGGTGATAATAGGGACACAAGCTGATCTTCATCAAGTCATCACTCTCTCTCTCGCTTAATCCTGTTAATCTGGTCTCTATTACAATTGAATAACATTTCTATTAATGGTTACTTTGCAAAGGGGCCAAGTGTTGGTGCCAATGGACCATAAAGAGGCTGATGAGGGATGATGAGGGAAGAGCCAAGAGTCAGTCTTACGTTCAATTTTTTAGCATATCATGTGAATGCCACTTTTCCCTGTTGAAATACCAATCATTACACAAAATCTTAATCTTAATCTGATGAAGCATGTTGTAAAAAATGAGGAAAAAATGAATGGTTAAAGTTGACACTGATGACGAGATTAACTAGTATTAAATTGATGGTGTTAACAAATCTGTTGATAATTGTTTCCTTTCACCATCATATTCATCTTTTGATTGCAATGAAAAAGTTATCAACGCGTGTAAACATTGACAAAGTCACCGATTCCAAGATGAATGCAACTTGCGATTTGATGGTAAATTTGCTCTCTTTTATTTCTGGTTGATATCAACTTTTTAATATCATCATCAGCATCATCAGCATCACTTTCATTATTTAGTATTTTTCTTTTTATAACATTTTCGCTCTTTTTTATATCACAAAGAATAAGATGATTAATTTATGTTTCTCTGCTTTTTTTGCTTCTTTCGCCATTCAAGCCACCCCAGGGTAACCTGTAATTATATAACATTGAAAGTTTGCTTATGGAACTTTTTCTTTTGGGTTAGACTTGCAACTAAATCGCCAAGATGTTGTCAGATTTTGCACCAAGATGCAAAAAAAATGATGCTGATAATGATGAGAATGATGAGCCTGTATATTATATTACATATCTTGATGTTAATTTTGGCCTCTTTTCACCTTATTTATACTTTACACCAAAATCGTGTTTGTAAATTGAATGAAAAATTATCTTCAAACCTATTGGACAATGTAATCATAATTTTAAACTTATCTTTCAACTTCATTCATCATCACCTTTATCACGTTTTATATTTTATCCTTGATTGTTCACCCATTATCATCATTTTCAAGTTTACTTTCTTATACTTTTTTGAAAAAAACTTTCAAAAAATAATTCAATTTTCTTCATTTTCACTTTCAATGGTTTCACTTTTCATAAAATTGCTTGCGATTCAATAGGCAATTTTGGCCAATTTCAACGCTTTTTCATCGATTCATTGCCGATTAGAAGCTAACAATTGCTCTGTATCAATTCTGATTCTCTGTAATGCTTAACAGAATAATTTGAATTCTCATTTATTGAAAAGGAATGCATTTGTTTCTTCAGTTCATGCAAACTTGAAAAGCAATAGAATTTCCAATCAATAAAGAGATGAAATAAAGTTGAACATTTTTCGATTTTTTAACTTTACGATTTCGAAATGATTATTGAATAAACTTTATTAATTTGATGACTTTTTTACTAATCAATTGTTTCTTTTCAGTGCACTGGACAAGATCATCGTAACTGGTTATAAAGCTTTGCAGTTGTGCTACTTCTTCACTGCTGGAGCTGATGAAGTGAAAGCCTGGACAATCATTTCAATATCAAATCTAACATTTAACATTTTTGTCTACAGAAAGGATTCAAAGCACCTCAAGCTGCTGGAAGAATTCACACCGATTTCGAGAAGGGTTTCATCATGGCTGAAGTAATGAAATTTGACGATTTCAAACAAGAAGGTTCAGAAGCTGCTTGCAAGGTAAACCAATTTAAACACTTTCAAAATATCAAAGTTTTCCAAGCTTATCCTTTCACGAGTTTCTTGAAAATTTTATAAAAATGAAAATTCTTTCAATTTCCATGCTCAATGAATTTTGAGTTTTCGTGAAATTTATCTTTTAATGAATCAAATGAACACAAGATGCAAATCGAGTAAAAAATTTCTAGTTTCTATGACAAAGCAAATCTCTAGTTGAATCTTTTGATCTTTTTTGATGAATTGAAGAGTGCAAAAATTGGTTATAATAATAAACTATTGTTGGTTGAAAAGTAGAGTTTGCAGAAAAGGAAAGTTGAATTTTTACCTTTTTATTTATTTAGGTATTTGTTTTTTCAAGGTAATCATTGTTTAGCCAATGAAGGCGTAACGAATGAATTGAACACGATCCTAATAGCAGATCTTAACTGACCTAGGCTCAGTTGCTTTTTATACCTTTACTTTCATCATAATCATGTTTACTTATTACTCCATCATATTACAACTAAACAATAAGCCTGTTTGTTGTTGTTTTTCTTGTGTTTACCTGTTTTCCATCCAAAAAGGCTACTTGTTCAAAATTGTATCTACTTTCATCAACTTTTCCATAATATTATTGACAACCACTCCCACCCTCACCGAAATGATGAACAAGAAGAGAAGGTAAAAAGAAGGAGAAAAAAGTGAATCTCGATGTTTGCCTTTTGCATCCTTTCGTCTTCACAGAGGTTCACTTTTCCCTCTTGAAACTAATTTTCCAGTTCTACTTTTTTTCTGGATGATCCATCATCCACTCATCTGATTGACTCACTCAATGATGATCATTTTAGATGTTAACAAAGATTCATCTTAATTTTAAAGCCAATTTTAACCATTAGAATCTCAATTAATCGTGACTTTATCATGATTGAACTGAAACTCAATGATGATTAGGTGCTGATTGTGACTTGAAAATGTGTTAGTATTATCTTTTCACTCAATTAGGTTGAACAGTGTAAAGTAAATTTACAGCTATTTGACTGTTGAACAACACTTTTGTTTATTACTTGTGTGTGTTTGCCTGATGAACAGTTGATGGTAAAAGCTGATGAAGAAGGTATTGGCACCTCTTAAATGATGATGAATTTACAGGTAAACCTGATAATAATGTTAATAATGATAATGATAATAATAATGGTTATAATAATAATAATCATAATGGTAATGATAATGCTGATGATTATAATTTTCACGTAAAATAATAACATCTTAGGTTTATTTACTACCTTATTCCTTAACCGCTTATACCTTTACTATTAAACTGGAGCCTTATTTGTTGCCACTAAATGCTCAACAAATTTGATGTGTTTCTTTTCCCTTATCATTATCATCTTCATCACAATCATCATCAGCCAGAAGAAGACAACAAATTTCCAATTTACTCTCACCAGTGGTCAATTAAATAAACATAATCACCACCAATTATTGGCTTTCACCAAATTATATGTACATATCAGATTTGATGCTTACATAAGGTGTTGATTAAGTTAATGTTAAATCTTTAAGATTAACTCAATCAAATTAGATCCATAATCAGGTAAACTCTAAACATTGGTTTCATATTGGAATAAGCTTGGAATGATATTTGTTCATCAATCATTTAAAATTAACAATCATTTTTGCTTCCTTTTCTCATCAAATCTCTAATTAATCGCTTTCTTTATCGTTTAATTTGTGTTTAGTCGGCCGGTAAATATCGTCAACAAGGACGTGGTTATGTGGTTGAAGATGGCGATATAATACTATTTAAATTCAATGCTGGAGCTGGATTATCATCTAAAAAGAAGTGATTGGAAAAATGATTACAGGACGATGCAACTCGATCATGATTGTTGTGTTTTGTACTGCTGGTTACATCAAAATCAATGTTATTAGATTATCTTGTAAAGGCTGAAAACACTGAATAACACTTTATATTATCAAAGAAAAATCTCAATCTATTTTACTATTAACTTAATGCAATCAACAGATAATCAAACCATGAAACGATTCAATGAAAGACTACAAAATGATATTGTATTGGAAACAATTGGATAATGTGAAGAAAAGCAACTTTTACCTTCTTGATTAATCAAGCAGTTAAACGCCATTTAAGATGTTAAGACCCAAAGTAACATTAAATGTTGCACAGACAATTAAACGCACACTTGAATCCATTTGAAAAAAGCGTCAAGAATCAATGTCAATTTATCATGAAGTGCAACAGATGAGCAAATTGGAACACCTTTGATCCATGGAATTTAAATTTAAGTTCAAGAATCAATTATCTCAATTCTTGCTCTTCAATTGTAAATGGCCATTTCAGGATGTTTCATGTTGGCAAGAAAAAAATGTCCATCTTTTTTTGGCCTTTTTTTCCTTTTAACCAATCCATTTCCAATGAAAACAATTGAACCATCAATCAATAATGCAATTTAAGGTTTTCCTAGTTATTTGTCTTAGAGAAGTGGAAAGATGGCCAGAAAAAGAGAAGCCGAAGCTGAAAGATGTTTTACTTGATTCGTTACTTGAACGTTACTTTAATCATCTATTAGGCCAGTTAAGTTAACGGCAAGTTATCACTTTCCCTGAACTGCAAAACCTTTTCACATTATCTTTTGTTTTGCTCTTTTTGAAGCCCTTTACCCATTCATTAGCTTTTACCCTTGTTCATAAGCCAATAAATCAAGAATCATTTTTTTACCTGCAACTTCTCATGGAACACACATTAAAATGTTGAATACTCAATCCTGATTTATCAGCGTATAATTGAAAGGCAACAATTAACTTTTTCTTGTTCGGTTGCGGTTAAACATTTACTTCAATTTACTTCAATTTTCATCTTCAATCTGAATCAATTAAATTTGAAATTAATTACATTTCTTCTTTTTCTCTTTAAAGGTTGATTAATTTCTGGCTCATTAATTGATTGGAGAAAAGAAAGGAAAATATAAGGTAAAATGTCATCATTGAACAATTGATTAATGTAATTCAGTTGGAAACACTTGAAATGTTTAAACAATATCATTTGCTGAATGGTTCTGGATGAGTTACAGGGGAAACAAACAGTGATTCAAATTGAACTTGAAATTTGTGAATCAATTAATTGTTGGTCCTTGATTCATTTACCTTTTCTCTCTCTTAACATGCCTTAATTGTTTCCAATCAATTCGCCTAGTAATCTAAGTATAATTAATAGCTGTTCATACAAGTTGAAAAGTGAAGGTGATACTAAAAGCTGATTATGATAAAAGGTTCATTTATATTGGAGGATGCAATTTTTCGGGTTTGGTTAACAACTGATTCTCATTGCTCTGAATTTACCCTGAGGCTTCATTAAACTGAATATTGGAAGGAGAAGAAGAAAGAGAAGAAAGAAAAGAAAAATATATTTACTTTTGACGGTTTATCCTTTTTTCCATCTTTTCTTGTCTCTCAGTGTTTCTTCAACATCTTAACCTGGGTGTTCTTACGCACTTCATTCCATGATTCTGGTGATCATAAATTTTGAAGCATCACATTACATCCTCATCATCATCATCATCATGTTGATCATCCTTTTTTTAACTTGCAACCCTCTAAGCCCTGAAGCTCCTCCGCCCATGTAAAGGGCTTGGCTGTTAACTATTATTATTATTAACAGCATCTATGGTTAATCTTATAAGGATTATTATCGCATTTCTCATATATCCTGTTTAAATTGCAAACATTTGGGGCAAAATATTGCATTTTTGTTTAGCTTTTTTCTTCTCTTTTTTTCTTCTTCTTCTTCGCAATCTTCACCTTCAACTTCACCTTCACATCTTTGCCTTCTTCATTTTTCATTTTATTTCGCTCATCTAATGGTATTAATTACATTTCGATTAATGATTATTGTTCACTAATTGAATATCTTTTAATCATCAATCAAACAAGAGCTTTCACTTTGAGCCAACTTTACATGTCATTGACTCGACTTGGCTGTTTATTTTCAATCCTAGTCGATGCCATCTTCAGCATCAACTCTTGCCTTGTCTTGTGCCTTATCCTTGTGAAAATTTGCTCCTTTTTTGTTTCTTTTCATTCTAATTGCTCATTTCAACAATTTTTCATTTAATTTTCTTCTTCTTTTTCTTACCTTGTTGTTGTTTACTTCATCTTGTTGTTCATCGTTTGGGCTTGCAATTTATCCTAATCAATCATGAATTTCTTAAATGATGACAGAGCAATTAATTGGAAAACCTTTTCTCAATTTCATTTTTCTTATGAAAACATTAAAAGTAAACAATCTTGGTAAAGGTAAATTGTTCTGGGCAAATAAAATATTTGTGTAAATTAATCATAATTTGACACTAAATCCATTGTCTTCTTTTCAACTGCCAATCACCAACAAATCATGGTATTTTCAGACTCATCAAAGTTTTAATTCACCGAAAAGATCGAAAAGTGCAGTTTGAAGAATAATTTTCTCAAAATTTTTATGGACTTTTCTTGAAATCTAACAATTTTTCTGTTGATAATTTTCACTCCCAGGTCATTCCATTCAAATGATTGATACAACTTGAGATCCTAAATACAATCAAAACGAATGAATCAGAATACAATTTGGTTAACATCCAAGACTATTGTAAAGTCACAAGAATTTTCTTCTAACAATTTGATGTTGATACAAAAAGTTGATAAAGTCACAGAACTTGAAAAATTGGAAAACATTTCTTGCAACTTTAAACGGACAAACTGTGAAAATGAGCTTGAAATTTCCAATTAAAGTTGATTTGAATAATGAAACACTTTAGCTTTCACATTGTTTCACCTTACACAATAGAGTCTAAACCAATTTACTAATTGTGATCCCTTGAAATGGCTATTGGACTTTGTTTTTAAAAGTTAATTAAATTTAAAATGATCTCCTTTGATCTATTTATTAGTAAATCATGTCTACCCTTAAGGTGTAAAATGATTAATTAAAGGTTGGACTGTAGAGTCTGAAAATAAAAGACTTAACCTGATCTTGAAAAGACAATTAAATCTTCTCTGGTTGATGATACTGATGATGATTGACTATTTTTTATTGAAATAAATACCATTGTGCGTTACATTACACCAGAAGAGAGGTAAGATGAGGAGGGTGGTTGGTATCAGCCTACATGAGGCGTAACCAGTAACCTTTTTGTTTCATCTCAACAAGAAGAAAGTAAAGCTTCCATCATCTTCCTTCTTCATTTTGCCTTCTTCTTCATCCATTTATCTGCAAGTTTTTTAAAAGCTCCAAAAATAATGTTCAATATTTACACCTTGAACAGAAGAAGAAGATGAAGAAGAAGAAGAAAAAAACTCCCTTTAATTTGCTTTCTCAACTCAATTCCAGTCTTATTTTACTTCATTGACTCTTTACACTCTGGTTCAATATCTTGCTTCTCTTAATCATCTTGATCATCTTCAGGATCATCAATCGTATCTTCCATCAATTTGATTCCGGGCTGGGCTTCATTTCTCCCTGTTATTTCGCCATTTCCCTTCAACTTGCCTTTGAACAAGAAGCTTGTTATTAACTAATAACTAATACTTTTCTGTAAATTTTTAACATTCCTTTTGATTTAACTTTATATTAGTTGCTTAATTAATCTCCTCCCAAAAGATGTTATATTGATTACACTTTGACTTTGACAGTTTGAGCGCAAAAAACGGTCAAATCAAAAGCTCAATCCCAGCACTCATCAAACCAGAAATCATTTTTCAAGTTTGACTGTTTAACCAAATGACTTAACCCAATTTCAATGAATAATTTCAAGTTTAAACAGTTGATTGAAACGGAAAATTTTTCCATCAAATTTGGGTTTAGCATCTGGATCATCATCATGTTCACCCTGAGAATGCTCAGAATAACAGTTTTCCCAAAAATGTTATCATCCTCCTCCTTCACTCTCCTATTGATCATATTCATGCTTACAGTAAAATCTGGTTGACTCTTCAAGTGTTTACCAGAATTTTTTCATCCTATCTTCATTCATATTCATGAGAGCTTCAAATTGAATCAGCTCAATCAAATTGACAATTGATTAACAATTTGCTTACCAATATCGGCTCTTAAATTGTTTCTCAACCTAAACTTTCAAGTTGACAATGAGCACAAGATGAAAACGGAACTTGGTTCATTTTTTGACGTTAAATCAAAATTTGCGTGATTCGCGATTCTCTCATTTTAAATGCATTAATAAAGAAATAATTATCCTATTGAATTAGTAAATTGTAACCTTAAACCTTGTCCAATGTTTGTTTATCATTTTTAAATAAATAATAGTAACCGCCTTTCAACAATTTATTATCTGGTAATAATAATAGATTGTCTTGGAATAGGATTTCCTTTTACGTGCTTTGGTTACCTTTTTTATTCATTGAGGCTCTTTACTGGTTTAAAGTTAAACTTTTGCTTTCATTGAGTTTATGAACAAAAATATGCTTCTAATTAAAATACTGATTAAGCGACTCATCTAAATGATTAATCAGCTTGTAAAGATAATTATATGGCTTGCGATATGTAAAGATTTGTTTTAATGTATTTCATTTTGTTTTTCAGGCTCAAATCAATTTTCGCATAATGAACCTTTGTTTAAATTATTGAATTTTACTGGAGAAACTTCAATTTTTAAATTTCGAGCAATGGTTTCAATGGTTATAATTATATTTTGATACAAAATTAATCATTTTAATAGTTATTGAATGGTTAAAAGTATAATTGATCTAAAAATGGCGAGGTTTTGTATGAGTCTTTTGAGTTGCATATCAATTTGTGAATGTAAAAGATACCCAATAATGTTCATTAAATTGGGTATCTTGAGCAGTTTTTCATCTTCTGCATGGTGATGTTTGTTGATTTAGGAGAACTGGAGATTAATCATGAAATTTCTCATCTGAAGAGAGCGATAGGATTTTACAATTAGCTGATCAGGTTTGGAATAGACCAGATTGAATGTGAAATGGATTTGTTATGTTTGTTATGTTTTTCAATATAAAATTGACAGAAATGAAGAGTTTAGAAGGATCCATTTGAAGCAACTTTTGATTTATGTTCTCGAATTCAATTGCTAAAGGAAAGTAGATAAACTTAATTGTGATGAGCAAATATCTTAAAACAAAAATTAGTTAACAACGAATCATACTTAAACATTAAATTTGGACCAACAATAACAGTGATTTTAGACTATGGTATTGAACTGCCATCTATTGGCTTTTTATAAACATAGGATTTTTGCCAACATTTGAGCAGTTCAATTGGATCCTCTATTAAAAGAAGATATTTGGCTTGCTTATTCGTGAAACCTCATGAAATTTCTGTCATAGGGTAATTATTAAGATAAGACGCTTGCTTTTGAACATTTCGATAACAATGTTTTCTTAATACGATTCGATATTTTTAAAGGAATGTTTGATAACAATGGAGTTTCGGGATTGGAGAATACTGGAGATTAATAAGAAATATAATCATTTCTTGATACCGCGTTTTATTTAGCTGCTAATCATCATAATTCTGCGAAAAAATTTCACTGATTTATAATCTCTGGCGTCAATATATAATAGCTAGTTTATTGGTTTAAAAATGAAGTTGAGGTTAGTAACTCAATGTAATACATTTTGTTACACTTAAATCACCAGTTCTGTCGATAACCAAATCCTGGATTACCACCGAATCGTCCACCAAATCGTTCATTTTGATTAATAAAACCTTGCGGTCCAAATCCAGAAAATGGTCTTGGTCTAGCGAATGGCCCTGGTCGAAATGAAGGTCGAGCGCCGCTGCCTGATGCTTTAGTCGCGTCGGTTCCAGGTAAGGTTAATGTAGATGGAAGTCGAAATCCACTGCTTGAGTCTTTATTAGATTCGATTCCAGGTAAGATTAATGTCGATGGAAGTCGAAATCCGCTGCTTGAGTCTTTAGTGCCGTTGGGCGATGGCAAACTAAGTGTAGATGGAAGTTGAGGTACACTAGCATCGGCCAACTTGACTTGCGATAGAGTGGCTCCTGAAACATAGTAGACAACAAGGAAAGCAATTAGAATGGCAAATAAACGCATTTTGTAAGGATTTTTCAAGCTCAAATTAAACGTTCAACTTGGATAACTTGTAGTGTTAATGATTGAAACAAGTCAGAGATGTTATATATATGTATGCACAAAAATGTAATATTTCTACTAAACCATGAAGTCATGATGCACTTAAAATTGATTCAGCAATCAAATAATCGGAAATAATGTCGAAAACTATGATCGACATATCCGAAAAAAAAACATTCCACCATATTTTTGTACTGCATTCATACAAAATGTAACCAAATGAACCTGAAAGTAAAATTATTTTTTTACCAGCACCAAGATTCGTAATGAATAAACCATTGTACGTTGGTTGTACAGGCATTGTCAAATATCGGAGATAACATGACTGCTGGAACTTTGACAGAAATTATAGTCATAAATTCATTCAATGAAATTACTAAAAATTGAATGAAGATGAGTACGGTAAAACTCTCCTCGAGCTTGCTACAAAAGTAACAATTTGTATACAATCCATTGGTACAACAGATCTAAATGGTTCACAAGGTGTAAATTAGAAAGAATTGTCACGTCATGTTAATCCACAATCATTAACATTTATTTTTACTCGTAAGACAAATGAAATGATGTTAATTTAATTTGAAAATGAAAAAATTGAAAATTTGAGCGCTTAAATTTGTTTCCTAGACTGACATCTACTAGAGAAAACTTATACTAGTTTTACATAAAAAATTTGAAATTTACAGGAAATCTCTACTGTTTGGACTTGATTGATCAGTCCTTTGATTTGCTCGCTATCTTTTCTTAATTGTTGGTATTTTTTAATTATTCAATAAATTATTTAATTTTAATGACAAAATAATAATCATAATTCATCATTCGATGAAAGAGAGCAAGACGAATAATTTTTGTGAATTTCTCGCATCTGCCAGTTCAGCTTTAGTCTGTAGGCTCAATAAATGAAGTTTAATTTTCGATGTTGAATTTTTAGTTAATTTTCTAATAACTTCTTAATTCGGGTCAATTTCGGTCTGAAACTTTTCATAATTAATTTTGTGGCATTTGCTGATAAAATTCTAATATTTGATTGAGCAACAAAATTTCCTATTCGAAAATATCTTTGATCCAAGCTCCCACACTTCAGTCCGGGAAACGTAATAATTCAAAGCCAATACTTTTTCAGTTAGATCTTGATTGGTCCAGCATTTCAATATATTATCAAGCTATCGATCGATATGAATTTTTCTTATTTCCGAATTGTTGATGATTTTTAATCAAAAATTTAATTGATGAGTGGAAATTTACAAAAATAGTGATTTGATTGCATCAAAATTTAATTATGTTAATCAATGTTTTTCATTATGGAATTAGGTGCAAATTAAGGAAATATTGATTTCATATTTTAAGAATTTGGAATAATGAGGGTTTATTACAATACGAAAGTGAATATGTTGCTGGACTGGAACATACCTTAACTTGGAGGCCTGAAGGAAATTTAATCACTTCATCAAGATACTATCAGAACAAACATGAAATTGTTTTCTTTGAGAAAAATGGACTAAGACATGGGGAATTCAATCTGCCAATTGAACCTGGGTCTTTTATCATTAGGCAACTTACATGGTCAACTGATTCAAAAGTTTTTCTCGTACATGGATACGATTGTAATCGTAACCTAGAAATTGTTTTTCTCTATACCATGAGAAATTATCATTGGTATCTGAAACAATGTTTCAAATTTAATGAGCGTTTGGATTTGATAGCATGGGATCCATCTAGTCAGCTAATATTTTATATCGTCACATCAAGAGGAATAATCAAGCAATATTCATTCTCGTGGGTTACTGATCGATTCGACGATTTAGTTGCTGTTATTGATGGATGTAAAGTTCAATTTACACCTTTCAAGTTTGTTAGCATCCCTCCACCAATGTCTGCCTATTCAATAATATTTGATAATCCCATAAATGAAGTGATTTTTTACCGCTCACAAATATTTGGTATTTATAACTGTGAGGGTAAACTTTTCATCTATCAAACATCTGAAGGAGAATCAGATTCTGATGCGAAAATTGAGATCAATGTAAGAAATACGTCAATAAAACCATCTATCTAAATGCGACATTCATACACGAATTTATGTATTATAATTAATACATAAATTCGTGGCTTAATTGTTGGCATTATGACTTCATAGATTAGCGAAGATTAACGGTACAGCCCAGTCAGTTATATTAAGATCATCTAGTAACTTTTGGATTGCTGTTATCTTTAAATTAAGTGAATAAAAAGGCGAGGACTTCTTACGACTTACCACGACGTGACAATTCTTTCTAATTTACACCTTATGAATCATTTAGATCTGGTGTATTAATAGATTGTTTACAAATTGTAACCTTTGTAGCAAGCTCGTGCTCATTCACATTCAATTTTTAGTAATTTCATTGAATGATTTTATGACTTTAATTTCTGTCAAAGTTCCATTATTTTCTTTTGGATTACTCTGCCTGTTCATCTGACATCTGACGTAAAAAGGTTTATTCATCACGAATCTTGGTGCTGGTAAGCAAAACAATTTTACTTTCAGGTACATTTGGTTACATTCGCTATAAATGCAGTACAAAAATATGGTGAAAATGCTTTTTCGGTATGTCGATCATAGTTTTTGACATCATTTCCGATCATTTGATTGCTAAATCAATTTCGACTTTATCTATGACTTCTGCATAACCAGAAATCATATATTTTGTGTATATATATAGCACTTTTAACTTGTTTCAATCATTAACACTATAAGTTATCCAAGTTAAACATTTGATTCAATCTTGAAAAATCCTTACAAAATGCGTTTATTTGCCATTTTAGTTCTTGCTCTTGTTGTCTACTCTGTTTCAGGAGCCAACCTTGGGTCGCAAAACAAGTTGACCAAAGGTAGTGGTACCAAAACTAATTCAGGTAAGAGTTTAAGATCATTTTTATACTATAACAGTGTTTTCAATCCCGAATAAAAGTTAAATGTTATTCCTGGATAATTTCCTTTTTGAAATCTTTTAAGTAATTTATAATTGTTATTTTTTCCTTCATTATCTACTCTGTTTCAGGTGTAAAGTCTGTGTCGCCAGACAAGTCGAAAAATGATGCTGATGAAAGTGAAAGTGAAAAAAGCAGCAACACCACTGTTGAAAAATATGAAACTGGAAAGATTGAAAGATTGCTAGCAGAGATCCAAGAGCTTTTGGCAAACGCAGAAGAAGGGAATGAATCTGAACCTTCAAAGGACAAACCAAAACCTCAAATGAACAAACCTAAACCTTCAATGAACAAACCTAAACCTCCATGTTACAAACCTCACCCACGATTCGACTTTCCTTCCCACCCTTCGGCTTCCCACGGCTCTCATTCTAACTAGCTTCATTATGGATTATGACCATTCCCTGGATTGGACCCTCAAAATTCTGTCACACAACATGTACATGAACGATTCGATGGCAATCCAGGATTTGATATTTGACGAAAGGGGTGATTTATAATAAGTTTAACTAGATGTATTACATTGAGTTGCCTTTACAAATCAATAAACTAACTATATTTTGACGCCTGCAATTTTAAATTATTGAAATTCGATTGACATAATTATCAATTATCATACCGAAAGGAAAAGATAAATATTTGAATAGAATCTTTCCCGATTTCAGTGATAACATTGTTTCACTGAACTTTAAAATACTCATTACCGGAAAACCTGCTGATTCAAAGCTAATACTTTTTCTGTTAGATCTTGATTGTTCCTGCATTTCAATATATTATAGTCAATGATAAAATCTACAGATTGAGCAAAGAATGATGACTGTTAGTGTTACCATTCTTGAATTATTGAAGATAAAAGACCAATAGCCAAAATCAAGCGATCCAAAAAATTGTTCAATAAAACATGTTCACTAATAAGTAATATCGATGGAAATGAGTCACAGCTCTTTAACTCATACGGCTACTTAAAGCGAAACGAGAACACTGCTCTAGCAAGCCAGGACCGAGCTCGGGTTTCTGACGCTTGGGTCAACTGACAATACTTGTGAGTAATCATGTGAACTTGATACAGAGAATCAGTGGCACTAATTTCAATAGCTCGGGAGATTGAAAAAAATTACTGTCCTCTGTTTACTTTTAAAGTAGTTGGCCATCTTTGTTATCATTTTAGGCAGTAAATTTTTTATTAATATTCCCAGACTCATTGTACTGACCACTATGTCTAATTATTATGTAGTTTAGACTATGGACATAGTTTATTACTTGCTTCTGATACCATCTTCTTTACCTATTATTGTCGCTTGTTTATTGCTCAATTTGGGTTGAAAAGGTTGAGGAGTCTTACTCTGTGTACTTTTTATCGAGAATGACGTTTTAAATATATACTTTGACAATGGAATCATTCTCACATATTCATGCGACTCAAAAGAAGTAAATTGCATTGGTGCAGTTGAAAATGGGATTGCGGCTGTTGTTTCAAGCCCTGATCAAGAACGTATCTCTTTGATCTCTAAAAAAGATAAACTTTCCCTGTTTACCAGATTTTTTGACATTTTAGTGGAGAAAGATTTACATGCTGATCATTCTGAGTGTATACAAAAAGTAATTGTTATCGAAACCAAGACATCATCTTTCTCTACACCATGAGAAATTATCATTGGTATTCAATAAGCGTTTGGATTTGATAGCGTGGCATCCATCTAGTCAGCTAATATTTTATATCGTCACATCAAGAGGAATAATCAAGCAATATTCATTCTCGTGGGTTACCGATCAATTTGACGATTTAGTTTCTGATATTCTATATGGCAAAATACGTTGATTTATGAATGTCAATATTGAAATTCGCTGGGGTCAAGATGTATAATGAAGTTTAAGTAAATGTCAATATTAATGTTACTGTGTAATAGTTAGTTTATTGATTTAGATAATGGGATTGAGGTTAGTAATCCAATGTAATACATTTTGTTGCACTTAAATCACCAGTTTTGTCGAAAACCAAATCTTTGATTATTACCGAATCGTCCGCCAAAATGTTCATGGTGAGTAACAACACCTTGAGATCCGAATCCAGAGAATGGTCTTGGTCCATAGAATGGAGCTGGTTGGAATGGAGGTCGTGGTAAGCCAAATGGAGGGCGAGGTAAACCGAAGGGTGGTCGAGGTAAATTGAATGGTGGAATAGGTTTGTGGCATGGAGGTTTAGGTAAGACCATTGGAGGTAAGACAGGTTTGACTGGAGGTCGAGGTTCTTGGTTTGCTGTTACATTTGCCAAAAGCTCTTGAATCTCCTTTAACAATCTTTCAATCTTTTCAGATTCAGTTTCTTCAACAGTGATGGCGGTGCTTGTTTCATTCTCAATTTCATCAGTGACTTGCGATACAGAGTTTGCACCTGAAACAGAATAGAAAGTGAATAAAAAATGATAAAAATGATAAATATGGTATTCCATGCGAAAATTTTCTGAAGGAAAATATCGACCATTAAATTCGAAATTGAAACACTGAACATTGATTAACTGTAAAACTGATCTTATACACTTACCTGAATTATTTTTGGTGGCACCATTGGCCAACTTGTTTTGGGATGCAAGAGTGGCTCCTGAAACAGAGTAGGCAACAAGAGCAAGAATTAAAATGGCAAGTAAACGCATTTTGTAAGGATTTTTCAAGACTAAATCAAAAGATTAACTTGGATAACTTGTGGCTGTTAATGATTGAAACAAGTCAAAGAGTGTTTTATATACACACGAAATGTAATGTTGCCATTTGCCATGAAGTCATAGATACAGTCAAAGTAATTCAACAATAATCGGAAACACTGTCAAACACTTTGATCGACATCTCGAGAAAAAAACCATTCTCGCCATATTTTTGTACTGCATTTCTGCAAAATGTAACCAAATGAACCTGAAAATTAAATTGTTTTTCTACCAGCATCAGAAGTCGTAACGAATGAATCACGATATTTTGGTTGTACAGGCACTTTCAATTATCGAAATAACATAACTGATGGAACTTTGACGGAAATTAGTCATAAATTCATTCAATGAAATTACTAAAAATTAAATGAAGATGAGTATGGTAAAACTTTTCACGAGTTTACTACATGAGTTACCACTTGTAAACAATCCATTGTTACATTGGATCTACATTACATGATTCACAAGGTGTAAATTAAAAAGAAGTGTCACGTCATGATAATCTGCAATCATTGTCTTTAATGTAACTTTGCAAAACAATTAAAGTTGATGTTAATTTAACTTAAAAATGAAAAAATTGCTCAAAAATGTGTTCACTAATCAGACAAAATTACGATTTCAATAATGCAATGGATAGTTTTCAGTTTAATTTACAATCATCATTTCTTCTCGAAACATTAGATTTTAAAATGGGCTGTATCAGTATTTGACTGGATGATGAATAAAACCTTAGCTAATCAATTCAATAATGAAGATCCTTCTAAAGCATAATATTTGTAGGGGGCCATTTAACTTTATAAATCAAGTTGCAAATCTGAAAACATAAGTAACACAATGCTATAACTTTTTTTGTGGCATCTTGAATGATTTGAAATCATTGATTTCATATTTCAGTGTATTTTAACCAATAATCAAATGCACATATTTGACCAAGAATGATGATTGCAGGTGTTTATATTCCCAAAATATTGAGAGCCAAAGTTTTAAAGCAAATGGCCAAAATGAAGAGAACTATTGTCGAGTTGTTGAAAGTATTTAATCCATGATTTAAGGCAACAATTTTTCTGGACAAATAATAAGTTTCAGTTCGCTAACTCTTGCGATCACAGAAAGCGATCGGTTTAAATGAAAATTGAACTTGATCTGTTTTACAGAAATCGAAAATGTTAATTCTCAAAATAAGACCATTTTCTGGTTGTTCATCTAAAGGTACATTAGTGAAATGAGTTTCATGAAATAAGCTGCTTCGATAGCTGAACAAAAGGCGATCAGAGTTTCAACTTCGACCTCGATTTCCTCCAAAACTGTGGATCAGAGAAATTTATGAATCGCACAAATGAATTCAGTTTTGATTTCCCTACAAACTAAAAAGGTCTCATTTAGAAACGAAGAAACTTGTGCTAATTCATTTAAGAATGAATATTATTCCAACATATCATAAGTAGCCTTTGTTAATCTGGTATCAAATATGACGCGTTCTGAGACTGTAAGAGTTAGAGAGCAGAAACATAACACTTTTTCATTTTACGATTAAGATACGAATATTTGTCGACAGGTAGGAAAAGTACATTACTAATAAATTCTGGTAATTATAAGACACATAAAATTTTCAATGACCATTTTAAAAGATGATTTGGTTTGCATTTTGAGATCATTTCGATTCATAAGACTGCGAGACATTTCAAGCTATGCACCACATCATTATTTTTTGTTCAAACATTAGATTTTACTATGGACTATAACAATAGAAGAATAAATAACAAAAAAAATGACGCTAATTTGTTTAATTATGAAAATTATTCCAAGACATTATAAGTAACCATTTACCTTTGTTAATCTGGTATCAAATCTGGCAACGCAAGTAATACAATGTTATAACATTTTTGTATGATCTTCAATAATTTAACATTTCAATATATTTCAGCAGATAATATCATGTCATGGTTGAACAAAAAATAATGATTGTAGAGGCTACGGTTCTCGAAATATCAAGGCTCAAAGTTTTTAGACTAAATGCCAAAATTAAGCGAACTGTTGATAAATAGAAGAAAATATTCGTTGCATAGTGTGTACATACAGTTTTCAATGCCGAAATATAAGTTTCAATTCTCTAACTCTTATATTCACAGAGATCAGTCGATTTAACTAAAAATCGAACTTATCCGTTTTATTTTGAACGGAAAATTTTATTTTTAAAAATAAGTTCATTTTCTGGTTAACTAACAAAAGTTACATTAGCAAAGTGAGTTTCATGGAAAAATCTGCTTCCATTATTGAAATAAAAGCGATCAAAGTTTCAACTTCGAACTCGATTTTCTCGAAGACTGTTGACCCGAGAAACTATTTAATAGCACATATCGACTCAGTTTTGATTTTCCTACAAACTAACAAGGTCCGAACTCGAAAGAAATTAATTTCTACGCGTTTTTGTCCATTTTTCATGCAGTGTTTGTGTAAATTTGTACAAAAATGCTACAATTGTGTTTATTGTGTCTTTTTAGCAACAAACTTCTTTACAATACATCTTAATGTTTGATAAATCAGTGGAAAATGACGTTTTATTTCCAAATTGGCCATGTAATCGAAGACAAAATAAATGTGGTGCATAGCTTGAAATGTCTCGCAACTGTATAAATCGAAATAATCTCGAATCTATGTCAAAATGCAAACCAAACTGTCAAAGTTTTTTTCGATAAAAGGACTCTTTCTACCCCTTTTCGAAATCAAATTTTGATTAACCGGAATGCAATCATAACAAAGTAAACAACATCAATCAAAATTATCTTCCATCGTTTTGATTTCCATTCACTGATCTGATTATTTTTACAACACGTTAATAAGCTCATGATCAGTTCTTAATGCACTTTCTTAATAATTTAACTGTAAAATCATAATAATTCTGTAGACAAATTTCAATAATTTAAAATCTCTGACAACAAAATATAGTTAGTTTATTGTTTTAGAAAATGTAATTGAGGTGATAAACTAAATGTAATACATTTTGTTGCACTGAAATCACCAGTTTTGTCGAAAACCAAATCTTTGATTATTACCAAATCGTCCGCCAAAATGTTCATGTCCATTAACAAAACCTTGAGATCCGAATCCAGAAAATGGTCTTGGTCCATGGAATGGAGCTGGTTGGAATGAAGGTTGTGGGAAGCCAAATTGAGGTCGATGTATGTTGGTTGGAGGGTGAGGTAAGCCGAAGGGTGGTCGAGGTAAGTTGAATGGTGGAATAGGTTTGTGGCATGGAGGTTTAGGTAAGACCATTGGAGGTAAGATGAATGAAGGTGGGTTGTTGGTTGTTGTCATGTTGTCCAAAATTGCTAGCATATCTTTTATCATTTTGTCAATTCTATCAATCGTTTCGAGAGCATCAACAGTTGGGTTGGTGCTTGCCTCAACTTCAACTTCAGCAGTATCATCGTTTACCGTGACTTGCGATACAGAATTTGCACCTGAAACAGAATAGACAGTGAAATAAATAGATTAAAATTATAAATATCGTATACCATGTGAAAATTTTTACGGAGGAAAATGTCAAACGTCAAATTTGGCAGCGAAACACTGCACATAATATAACATTGAATTTATAAAAAAAATGATTTTATAATCTTACTTGAATTATTTTTAGTGGCACTGTCATTGGGTAACTTGTTTTGCGATACAAGAGCAGCTCCTGAAACAGAGTAAACAACAAGAGAAGCAACTAAAATGGTAAATAAACGCATTTTGTAAGGATTTTCAAGACCAAATCAAACGTTTAACTAGGATAACTTGTAGTGTTGATTGAAACAAGTTCAAGAGGGTTTTATATATACACACCAATGTAATATTTCTGCTCACCTAAAAGTCATAGATACAGTTAAAACTATTCAGCAATCAAATAATCGGAAATACTGTCAAAAATTTGATCGACATATCGAAAAAATGAAAAAAACATTTTCACCAGATTTGTTATTTCATTTTTACATATCAATTGAGCCTGAAAATGAATTGTTTTTTACCATAATTCGTAATGAGTAAACCATTGTGTGTCAGGTGTACAGTCACTGTCATCCAAAGAAAATAATATAACTGAAGAAACTTTGACGGAAATTAAAGCCATACAATCATTCAATGCGATTACCAACAATTGGGTGATAATTGATATGTCAAAACACTTCACGAGCTTGCTACAAAAGTTACCACTTGTAAACTCTCCATTGTCACATGAGATCTAAATGATTCACAAGGTGAAAATTAAACAAAAAGTGTCACGTCATGATAATTTACAATCATTAGCATTAATATAACTTTGTAAAACAATTCAAATTGATGTTAATTTACAAATTGTAGCTTGAAAATGTAAAAATTGAAAATTTGAGCGCTGAAATTGTCTTAAAGACTGACATCTATTAGACAAAATTCATACTAGTATAAGTAAAAAAAATATGAAATTTAAAAAAAATCACCAAAATTTTTACTATTTTAATTGCAAATAGATTTTTGATTTACAATTATTGACCAGCAATGGAATAATTAGATTCAATATTGAAACAATTAAGATTCATCTGATGTTAACAAAAACAAAAGATCCCATTTCCGAAATAAGGAAATGGCCCCTGTTCATGTGATTCACATGAGCTCTGTTTACTTTTAAAGTAGTTGGCCATCTTTGTTATCATTTTAGGCAGTAAATTTTTTATTAATATTCTCAGATTCATTGTACTGACCACTATGTCTGATATTATGTAGTTTAGACTATGGACATAGTTTATTACTTGCTTCTGATACCATCTTCTTTACCCATTATTGTCGCTTGTTTATTGCTCAATTGGTTGGCCTTTCAATTGTATGTTAATAACTAATTTTTTTAAACAAAAATCATGGAAAATTTAAAGCTTAAAGATTTTCGTGAAATAAACGATGAAAATTTATGTGGTGGCTTAGATTGTTTCACTGTCGACTCATTTCGTAATGTTATTTATGCTGTGACTAAATCAAATCGTTTGATTTCAATTGATCAAAAATCTGGACATGTAAGTATCTGATGCTTTCATAATTTTCAATTGTTATCTTTTTCTGACAGTTCTTCTATTTTTCAAATATCAGGTCGAAAACATCACAAGTATTGACAATGAAAAGGTTGAGGAGTCTTACTCTGTGTACGTTGAACTTTTTATTGAGAATGACGTTTTAAATATTTACTTTGACAATGGAATCATTCTCACATATTCATTTGACTCGAAAGAAGTAAATTGCGTTGGTGCGGTTGAAAATGGGATTGCGGCTGTTGTTTCAAGCCCTGATCAAGAATGCATCTCTTTGATCTCTAAAAAAGATAAACTTTTCCTGTTCACCAGATTTTTTGACATATTAGTGGAAAAAGATTTACATGCTGATCACTCTGAGTGCATACAAAAGGTTGATGTTGGCTGGGGCTCTAAGCAAACCCAATTTCATGGGCTAGAAGGAAAACAAGCTGCTAAAATTGAAAGCGAGGTAATTTTGTCAACCTTTGATCTTCTTATTGTCCTTATCGTTATCTTAACTAAGTTTCAATTCACAACTTATATCTTTAATTGTTTAAACTAGCCTCTTGAACCTCCAGTTCCATGGGATGATCAGAGAAAACGCATATTCTGGCGTGGAGATGGTCTCTATTTTGTTACTTCAGCTATCCACCCCGAGAAGAGTAAGTTTGAAAATGCGGTTTAATTATGTAATTTTCTAATTATGAATTTAAATATATTCTTCTTGTGTAGATTACCGTGTTTTAAGAATTTGGAATAATGAGGGTTTATTACAATACGAAAGTGAATATGTTGCTGGACTGGAACATACCTTAACTTGGAGGCCTGAAGGAAATTTAATAACTTCATCAAGATACTATCAGAACAAACATGAAATTGTTTTCTTTGAGAAAAATGGACTGCGACATGGCGAATTCAATCTACCAATTGAACCTGGGTCTTTTATTATCAGACAACTCACATGGTCAACTGATTCAAAAGTTTTTCTCGTACATGGATACGATTGTAATCGTAACCTAGACATTGTTTTTCTCTATACCATGAGAAATTATCATTGGTATCTGAAACAATGTTTCAAATTTAATGAGCGTTTGGATTTGATAGCATGGGATCCATCTAGTCAGCTAATATTTTATATCGTCACATCAAGAGGAATAATCAAGCAATATTCATTCTCGTGGGTTACTGATCGATTCGACGATTTAGTTGCTGTTATTGATGGATGTAAAGTTCAATTCACACCTTTCAAGTTTGTTAGCATCCCTCCACCAATGTCTGCCTATTCAATAATATTTGATAATCCCATAAATGAAGTGATTTTTTACCGCTCACAAATATTTGGTATTTATAACTGTGAGGGTAAACTTTTCATCTATAAAACATCTGAAGGAGAATCAGATTCTGATGCCAAAATTGAAATCAATGTAAGGAATACTGCAATGAAACCATCCATCCAAATGCGACATTCATTCACGAACTTGAAAGAATTGATGTATCATACAAAAGTCATTAACGCTAACTCTATCATTGGAATCAGGAAATCCGACGACAACAAAAGTGAACTCATTCTCGTATCTCTTTCTTCTAAAACAGTCACACGATTGGCAAGTTTTCAGCAAGAAGTCTGGAGCTTAGATTATCATGAAACTATGGAACTGGTTATATGGCAACAAAGTGATCTTTCAATTAAAAAGTTCTCAATGAACGATCGTGTGATTGTCAACTGGATTGAATCACATCCGAAAATTGTTTCTTCAAATTTAGCTGAAATCGATGGAGAATTATATTTATTCGGTTTAACTAGAGACGGAACTTTATATTGTAATGGTAAAATATTTATCAAAAATAACTGTTCCTCTATGCTTATTCATCAAAACAAGTTTCTTATAACTACTGGGAATGACAACTTACTCCGATGTAACTTACTGGACTCTCGATTTGTTGCTGAAGTTTTGTCAACTTTAAATGACCCTCGTGATGAGCCTCGAAACATTGAACGAGGATCAAAACTTGTTACCTCTATTGCTGATGATGCTCGAGTAATACTTCAAATGCCTAGAGGTAATTTAGAGCCAATTCATCCACGAACTTTGTTGTTGGATTTACTGAAACAACTTTTGAATAAGAAACAATTTGGTGATGCATTTAAAATCATGAGAAGACATCGAATAAATTTGAATCTTCTTGTCGATCACGACAGGAAAGTGTTTTTAAGTTCAGTGGAGCAATTTATCATTGAAATCGGAAAAGAGGATGTTCAAAATATTTGTCTTTTCCTCTCGGAGCTTCAAAAAGAACAGATCTCTCAAACAATGTACAAGTTCGCTTACTTTGACGAGAATAAGGTTTACCCAAACAAATTAGGAGAAATTTGTTCTTCTATGAGAAGTATGATGATTACAATGGATCCAAATCGTTACCTTATTCCTATCCTGGTTTCGTATGTCAAAGATGATCCTCCAAAAATTGACGAAGCATTAAAATTGGTTTACTCTCAAGAAAAGGGTAAAAGACAAGATGACGCTCTTAAATATTTGTTCTATTTAATAGACATTGAAAATCTCTACAAAGAAGCTCTTGGAACATATGATTTTGATGTCTTTCTGATGGTCGCAGAAAAATCAAACAAAGATCCTAAAGAATATCATCAATATCTTAACCAACTGAGAGCGATTGATAATATTTATTATCGACAATACAAGATTGATGTGGATCTTAAGAGATTTGACAAAGCATTAATCAACATTAAAAAGATAACCGATGAATCTTACCGTGAAGAATGTTTAAATTTCATCAAAAACAATCGTCTATTTTGGTCAGCTGTTAAAATTATACAATCAGATCATCCATGGATGCGATCAATCTGGGAAATGTTTGGAGATTATCTACTCATTAAAAGATATTATGAAGAAGCTGGTGTTGCATATCAAAAAGCCAACGTTATTCCAAATGCAATTAAAGCCTATCAATTATCAGAAAATTGGCACATGGCACTTGAACTTGCCATCACTGTACCTGACTATGATGTTGAATCTTGTTGTCGTTCATTTGCCTCTCGATTAAAGGCAAATAAAAAATATACCGATGCGGCTTATATTGAAGAAATTTATTTAAACGATAAACCAGCTGCCATATTAACTTTAATTGAAGGACATCATTGGACTGAAGCAAACCGTTTGCTTGGTGCAGAAACTAATGGACCACTTTATTGTGCTCTACAGGCTGAACTTTTTGTTGAAGCAAATAATTTTATTTCAGGCTTAAAGGACAAACGAGAAGAGTTGACAGTTAAAATTGAAAGATTAAAAATTGTTGAAGAAGCTAAGATCAAAGCTCTTGAAAATGAAAACGAACCAGGTGACGAGGAGAACGATTTGATATCCGATACTTCTTCCATTTCTGACTCTTCTATATCATCTACGTCTTCCACATCGACCAAATCTGGAGGAGAAAATTCTTTAGCCACTAGGAAAACTCGGCATAAGAATAAAAAGAATCTAAGAAAGTATAGCCTTAAACCAGGCAGTGCCAACGAAGATATTGCTTTGAGAAAGTCCATCAAAGAAATAATGGAAGGCTGTGTTATGTTGACAGAAGAAGCTTCACCTTTAATTAGGTGGTCATATTTTTATGGTGAAACTGGAGTAGCAACTGCATGTCAAACTGGTTTGTCCCAACTTCTTCAATACATTGACACACAAATAGCCATACTTTGGCCTGATGAAGAAATGGATGTTCGTTTGCTTAATCAAACTGGAATTGGTAAAGACAGAAGACTTCAAAATTTAGCAACAAGATATTTAAGAGGTAATTTATTTCATTTAAACCAATCATTTTGAAAAATAATGGTTAATCTATTTTCTCTACATTTTATCCAGATCCAGCTTCTTTCGTTGCTCCCAAATTGAATATTAAACCTTGGAAATTTGCATTGATTCCTGAATCATCATCCCAACCAGCTTGAATATCAACATCCAATTAAGCTAACTTTTTCTAATTGTGATTTTTATCACAATAATTCTTCCTAATTATCCACTAAAAGCCTTATCTTATAAAACTTTTGTTACATGTTGCACCTAAACGTTACTTTTGTAATCTCAAGGTTAAAATGCATGAGCTCTCAAACACTAGAGTTTCATAATTCTTTTTTTGTCACACACGCCATTGTGAAAATGAAAGTTATCATAAGCTGTCTAATTTAATCCGATACTTTATCAATCGATATCACACAAACTCTATGCCAAGCTAATTGTTCCAGAATTCCGAAATTTTATACACGATAACTCTTAGAGTTCAGATAAGGTTATACTCTTTATTTTCAACTGACGATTATAGCCTTATTTAAATGTATATTCATTCTTATTTGAATGAACAAAAAATACATGTTATTGTTATTAATTCACTAGAAATCAATGAATCGATGATAATCTATTAATAGTCATTTATAAATGACTAGTAGTTAGTAGGAGAAACGTTGAAAAATATAACGTGATATTACTCATAATATGATTTGAAAGCATGAAATTTTGATGAAATAGGTTCACGAGTACTTTTAATGAGTCTAAAAACAAAAAGACATTAAAGTACAATTTAGGCCATAGATAATGATGGTTTGACAAAGAGAACTTGAAAATCATTAAATAATCTATTATTGGGTTCGATATTTCTCAACATTTGTTTTAAGGGTTGCTTCGTTTGCACCAGTCATCTCGCCCAACTTTGCTCCTTTTTTGAGGAAAATGAAGGTTGGCATAACACTGATTCCATACTCTTCAGCAACAGCTTCATTTTCATCAACATCTATTTTGATGAAGGTGACATCTGAATATTCAGTGACCATTTTATCGATGACAGGTGAGATGACACGACAAGGTCCACACCATGTAGCAAAAAAGTCAATCACAATCAATTTATCTCCGGCAGCTTTAATAGCTTCTGCGAGCGCAGCCTAAGTGAAGAAAGAAAGAAAATAAGTGAGAATCTCTATTGAAAGTTGTAGACTGTCAATCAGCACATAATCAATTTAAAAAGTCATAATCAACTGGTTAATCACAAAATTACCTTTCCATTAAGATGAAGAGCCATTGTAGAATAAGTTTAATAAATCAAACACAAAGTTGAAGAAAGAACCAGAAAAATAAGTACACAAAAAATAAGATGTGTATCAAACAATTTTACACAAAAACAAGGTAGATATTGAATAAATTAAATGAACACAGGATGCTATAAGTGTTACAGTTTTATCTAACTTAGCTAGTTAGGTTTGCGCATACTCGTACAGAAAGCCTCTTTTTTTAACCATTTTTAACGTTCTTTGTTTTGAAAACAGACGGAGCTGTCAGCATAAAATCATAATCAAGACTTGATTATCAAGTTGATAGTTGTTAGACTTTATTGATATTTGAATGAAAGAGCAAGGTTAATCAATGTTTTGTCTAACAGTAGCTCTTGATTTAGATACTTAAATATGAAACTGTGAAAGACTTTGAATAATTGTATTTTTTGCACTTCAATTAAACTTAAACAGTCTTAAACAGTCTCAATGTTTGAAAAGATGTTTGCTTCAAAACGTTATATCTTCGCTATTTTAATATACTGACAAGTTGTGAGTTTCACTGTAGCTTATTCTATACCTGAAACAGCTTTTATCTTTCTTCATCCCAATCAGTGAATAATATTCAGCGACAATTATGTTGAATTTTGATCAGAAAATCGCTCGACTATAAGAAACCTTCGACTAAAGGCTACAGTAACTTCAAAATTATTTAACAGACCATCTTTAGCTTGATTATAAATGGTAACTGATTTCATGACTTTCTGGTTGATGTTTGATACACAGAAATTGAATCTAAATAAAAATTTAGTAAATGTTAACCTTAATTGCAAGTGCTTTTTCAGACGACAATAGTTTGATGGAGATGACAAAAGATTTGCCATGAAGGGAATCACATTGAGACAAGAATAAAGAGAGAAAAAGGTGATAAATCAAAAAATTGTTTTAATACAATTAAAGTTTCATTCTTTATTAATAGTAATATTAGCATTATTATTATTTACTGACTCATTTCGCTGACAGCGTTGTTGACACCAAGAAAACTAAATTATTAAAGGATTACACGCACACGGAATTGTTGGTTGATGGGTTCAAAGGATGAAACTAAAAAGCTTTTGATTTGGAGGAAAAAAACAAAAAAAAAAGGTTGGAATTAAATGATCATTGCTGTTTCTCTGCCTTTTTTGGTTTCCGTTTTTCCCATTCAATATTGTACAATAAATTCATTTGTATATATATATTTTGTTTTATATGTAATTTGGAATGAAAAGACGATAAAGACTAGTAAAGGCGACAAAAGATAATTTGGTAAAGACATGAATCTTGAGATTATCTTGAATGTTCTTGACTTGGAAGTTATTCATCCGTTGCTGAGTATCATTCTTGTCCTCTGTTTTTTTTCCTTTTCCTACAGCATTAATAATCCATGGAAACTTGGTGAAAATATTCTTCCCTTTTCTTCTTCTTTCTCTTATCCAAATGCATAGTAATTTCATCAATCTTTGGAAAGTCTTTGAGTTGTCCTTATTGAGCCAATTTACTCCAATTGTGACTTTAGTTGAAGCTTTTACTGTGTCCATGGTGATTGGAGAGTTATCAATTTTAATAGAGTTACTGTTATCAGCAATTGAAGACAGTAACAAGAGATTCACTAGTTTGGTTAGAGATTCAAAATGGTTCATTATTGCTGGCCATTGGTGGATGTAACGGTTATCCAGTTACACTGAATTAACTGGTTAAGCTCCAAGATTATCAATAGTCTGTCAGAGTTTAAAATGGCTTTTGTTTGTTTAGTCTAATTCTGGTCAATTTGGGTTGGAAATTTAAATTGAGCATTAAATTACTGTCCGTTTCTCATCTCATTGCCATTGGTTTTGCACAAGCTCAAACAGGAATGGTTGGATATCAAAATTTAAATGATGAAATTATGCTTCTTGGACAAGTGTTGGAAAAGTCTGGCCAAGTGAAAGGCGAAAAGAATGGAATTAGAAATAGCATTTTAGGAATCAAATCGGAAAAGAGATTGAAACTGAGCAGGTAAAATTGTTCTAAAACTAGTAATTGTAGCAGTGATCGTTAATTACACTTGCAGTTGATAATCAATAAACATGAAATACATCAAGACGGATTAACTGATTCAATTAGAATGTCCACTTTTTTTTAGTTGAAAAAAGCATTTATATTCTGAAAGTGTTTCTTTTTCACTTTCAAAACATTTGCTGATTGTGGTTTGCACCTTTGAATGATCAATTTGAAGGTTAATTTTTTGGTCCTTTTGCCTTTGATTTGAGTGTTGAAAATAGACTTGAGTTTGTCTTTTCCATATTAATTGTCCATTAGCACATATTAATGCTTATGGTGGAGGTTAAACAAAACAAAAGCATAAATTGAATCCTTTCAATGAGCAAAGGATTGTTTCTTGTCCATTTACATGCTTTTCAAAAGGTTAATCGAAGGTTTCAAAAAAGTTCAAAATAGCTGATTGAACAAATTTTGTATTTAGTCTTAACTGGCAGAAATAGAGATTTTTTAAGATGCGCATTTTTTTGGTTTGTGTTTAAAAAGCAAAAAAGCTACAAGGAAAAGATGATGACAGTTGTAAGGATGATGTTGATGTCTTGATGAAGATGATAGTACAAGAAATAGCGATGATCATTTGACGCCTATGGAACAGAAGATGATGACGATGATGAAGATAAAGAAGAAGAAGAAGAAGAAGAAGAAGATTTGAAGACATTCATATTGTTTTATATCCTTTTTTGGTGAAAATGTGAAGCATCTCTTGAATGATCCAAGTTGGATCAATTTTTTACTTTCCTTTGCTTACGATAGATGGAGAGAGTGTTTTGATACAAATCATTGGTTTTTTTTCAAATAATTGTTGCCTTGGAATGCAAAGTTGAGGTTAAAATTGAAAATATCTGATCAGGCAAAGATGAGTGAACGAATAATGGCAGAAGTTGCTGAAAGCAGCATCAAAATATGCACCTTTGGAGTAAACGATGAGGTCGAAAAGTTGATTGAAAGTTTCATGGTTTCAAGAGCCAACGGTTCAGACCAACCGACAGGATTGTGGGCAAATAAACGGAATGCATGGTCACCGCCGGGAACATTTTCAATTGGAATGGTGTAAGTTTGATTGGAATCAGAATCTGCAAAGTAAGTGAATAATGTGATTAGTAATTTTACTTCTTATGAATGCAATGAAGGAATGAAAATACATTCGATTAACTGGTTTATCAACCTCAGCAGATTCAAGATCATGATCACATTTCATTTTCTTAAAAATGAAAGGTTCATATATCAAGATTGTGATACGTTTGAAAATCGAGTTCGAGTTGTGAAAATGTTTGTTTTCAATGCAATCTTGTATCTTGATAATGATGTTGAAGTGGAAAGTCGATGAAAAGCTTCAAGTTTTGGTTGAATAATTCAATGAACTTTCATTGATCTGACCTTTCTTATTTTGACTTGATTGTGACTATTAATTTTTAGCTTTTCACTTGCAGTAAAAGATACAAATCCATCAACCAATCAACTGATTATTGATTTTAGATTATAATTGGTCAAGATTGGCTCAACTCAATCGGCTAAATGTTTTCACAAGTAAAAGATTACTCTTTACGTATAAATATGAAGGATGGAAGATCTAAGAAAGTGAACAAAAGGCTTATTTTGAACGCAAAATCTGAACATGATAACATGACCTAGTTGAGAAAAGATGGAATCTTTTTGTCACTGTTAACAGAGCTTCTGCAATATTCATTATATGATATTGAAGTAGGTCGATTAGAGTGAGCAACATCAACAATAGCAATAAAAAAGAGAATCAAAATGATGAAGATGATGAGAAGGAAAAGAAGGAAAAGAAGATGAAATAAGTTATAACTATAATGTACAAGGATGTTGGGATCTCAAGGATGATCCATCAATCAGCTATCCATTTGATTGTTTCAGAAATGAAAGAAAAATATTTGAGTAAATTTAACTCTGAAATAAGGAAATCAGAATATGAAATATGAGGAAAGAGTTGAAGAGAGCGAGAAAAAGTAACCCTGAAAAGAGCAAGGTGAAGGAAGTTTGAATAAAGGATGAAAAATTGTTGAAAAAAAAGACCAGAGAAGATGAAGAAAAGTAAATGTTGCCTTGACTTAAGGGTTCAATTGTGAGAGGAGGTTTTTATCGATCCATGAGCAAGTTCCAAGTGACACAATTCCGAGTGAAAATGGTAGAGGAAACAGAAGAAACAAGAATTGCTATCTTAATGGATAAACAGCTGATAACTGGGAGTGTGTCATCAAGTCATGATAAGTGTTCAAAATGATATGAGCCTGGAAAGGCCTTTAAATAACCCAAAGTGATTACTGTCAAAATGAGCCTTGTTGGATCGATAAAAGGTGTTTTTGGCAAATCAACTGGTAAGATTCAAATAATGCAAGCTTTTTCAATAAATTTCCATGTAAAGCAAAATGTAATCTCAATTAAATCTCCAAAAGAGAAATTAGTTTTTCTTCTCGAACAAAAAAAATCCAATTACATTATCGATCAATGAAAGTGTGACACTTTAAAATGGACCATGTTTTTTACCCAAATTGAAAACAACAACATTGATGCAAAGATTACAATTACTGCTAACAATAATGACCAGTTTGATCTTAGTTTTGTTTTTAAAATACAAAGTAAAAACAAAAGGCAAAACATGGAAACGTTATCAGTTTTGATCCTTACCAGGATTTAATGTTGCTATTAATAGACTCTTCAAGTTCACTATTAATATACCTTTTAATATACCTTTTAATATGCTCTTTTCCCAATCATTTGGCCAATTTTAAGGCTTGTGATTCACTGTTTTCATGTTTGGTAATAATGAAAATGATTATAAATAATAAAATAGATCATTTGACTCACGCTAAGGTGGTAAATGAAAATATAGCAAAGCAACCAAGCAAAGCAAAAGACAATAGATAATAATCTCAGGTAAAAATCAAATATTAACGGCTTTTCTTTTCTATGGCTTTTCGGCTGATAAGGCATTATTTTGACATTTTTTTACCAAAGATAATCACAGGATTCTTGTCCTTTACTTGACTCGGTTTTATGGGCATTGAGAGGGGGAGTAACATGATTGTGATATGCAAATACATCAATCCGGAAAAAGAAAGTATCACTTTTGTTGAGGGAAAAGGAAATAAGCTGGAAAAAAAAGATGAACAATGAAGATGAAGTGAATTAAATGGCTTGTCCAATAAGCATAAGTCCAAAGACAGATGTCACAATAAAAATGCATTCACATTTAGTATTCTCATGTCAGAGGGGTTTAAGCCTGTTATTAGATAGGGCAAAGGGTCGACTGTTTAGGACAAAGTTTGAGGCTTCATTATCAAAAGACATTATTATTTTTCATCAATGTTACCTATTAATACAAGATACACGAGAAACATGATATAAACAATAAAGAGTCATCCTAAATACCTGATTGAGAAGCTCATTGAAAAAGCTTTGCCGTTTCCAGCAAATTTTAATTTTACAACAAAAGTTGATTATATTTTGTCATCTTTATCCTCTTTATTCATGCCCATTGAAGATGAATAGGCCATTCTATCCACCCTCAACATTGTCTAGTGAAAAATGGAGGATAATTGGCATAATGAAACACGCCAAGAAAATATTACAAAAAGAGGGAAAAAAAGATGAATTGAAAAGGCGAAGTTTAATTACACGTCTTGTGGATGAAAAGACGTGTTTAAATTTGCATAAAAAAACAGAGCATAAATGGGTGCAATTGATCGTCTTTTGGTTTAGGTTTTGGGTAAAGACCTTTTTGGTAACATTGCGACTTGAAGGTGAACTTTGGCTTAAATTAATAATGTTACAATTGGTGATTCATATTGTACACATCGATGTACAAGAGGTTGATTGAACACGCGATAATACAATGTAAAGGCAATGTATTTAGCATCAAGTAACCAGAGTCAAGGTCGAGGTCTGGGAAGTGTGCCCTTTGTCCTCGTCTAGTTACCAAATTGTCAACATTATTAACTTTATATGTTGCCAGTCACCGGTAGTCAAGCAATCGGCAAAACATTGGAAAATCATTTTGGCTTTAATGATGAGAGTCACTGAGAGAGAGAAAAGACTCAAGAGGTAATTTTGGTCAAGGTGGGTAAAACAGGATAAAAGCTTTTTTTTCTGGTGGGATTGTATTAATCTTCAATTGATTGATTTGCATCAATGTTGGAAATGAAAGTAATGTCAATCAATGGGAACTAACTGTATTAAGCTACATAAGGCTACCATATTCAAGCCAATTAAATTGTCACCATCATTTTCAATGCAAATTATTTACAGATAAAATGTTGTTCAATCTATTCAATCAATTGGCAATTTTAATGGTAAAGTTCAACTTTGCTGGATAAAGGTTTGGGTTTGTAATTGATTTTGGCTTTTTATACCAATGAAAGTAAGAGTTGAATGAAAATAAACATTGAAATAATGAAAACATTGAAAGTTAAACTCGAGCTTACTGGCTATGAAAACAATGTTGAGTCTAACAACGGAAAGTGTTTATTGATTAATGGCTACAGTTTGTTATTAGCGGGTTTTGTTTTCATAAAAATGTTGTGGTTTTCATGATTCTTGTTTTTTTAACTTGAGTCTTATTGGAAGCTGATCAATATCTTTAGTTATAAGTCAACGTGTAGCTCATTTTAATGACTCAATTGTTGGTCAGACAAGTTGACTTCATTGATCATCAGTAATTGTAAAATGCTTTTAGACATTCAAGCGCCTAATTCAATCAACTAATGGTCAATCTTGATAACCATTCATTTGATTTATGATTATTAGCAACTTTTGAGAATTGAAAAACTCTGCCCATTTCAAGTGAAATGATTAAATAGCTTTTTGGTGACAGAAATGACGGCTACAGGGAAGAAGGATTAAAGGGGTAGAAAGGTATAGTTTAGCAAAGGTTTCATTTGAAAATGACCAGTAAAGAGGGGAGAAGGTCAAGTGGAAGTCAGAAAGTCAATGTTGTAAAAATAACAAACAAATGAAAGTACAATTTCTGGTTATCATTGGATATTTAATTGGTGTTAACATTGTCAAGTGTTAACAGTCTCTAGATGGCAGCAAGTAATGCAATTTTGTTGCAAGTAAGGGAAGAAGAGGGAAAGACGAAGATGAAGGGAAGGAGATGATAGGAAATTGAATGAGTTGGTAAGTTGGATCATTGGGAAGATGATGATGAGCATAATTTTTCCATGATTTACCGAAATGAAAAGAAGGAGGAAAAAATGGTAGAAAGAAGAGAGAGAGAGAAATGAAGAAGAAGAGAAAGGAAAGAGGATGAAAAAGTGAGTCATGATGGGGAAGCCCTTTGCACATTTTAAATCGATTGGCAAGAGAGTAAAAGGAAGAAGAGTGTCGATGAAAAGATCCCGTGTTGGCCTGTTTGCTTGACTAGGGACTAAAATGGATGATAAAACATTAAAATAAATTGCAACATTTATACAATAAAAATGGGAAAATGAGAGTAACAATAAAGAAGAAGAGGGAAGAAAAGAAGAAAGTCCCGCGCATTTGGACACGCGTTTTGTCAAGTTAGTGACATGAGTAGGAAAATGGCCGAGGTACGAGAAGATGATGATTAAACATGGATTTGTACAGAATGACAAAGAAGATGAAAGTGAAAGATGAAAGCAGGAGATGAGGGGAAAATCAATTGAAATGCATTTTTATTGCTCTTAGCTATTTTTTTGCCTAACCTAAAATGATATCTCATCGAGTTTGTACAATCTTTTGTATCCATCAAATATTGAAATACCCAAATGATTGACCAAAAAAGGAATCTTGAGCTATTAATAATGAAAATGAGTCTCAAGGGTTGAGGAATGAAAAATCATTGTTGACTATTACTTGATAGTTTATTTGATAACCATTTGTTATTTTTTTGGCTAATTTGGCTAAGTAATTAAACGATTTCATTGAGTCATTAAAATTGAAGCAAATTTTGATTTGAAAGCATCAATTTGTAGATGAAAATTGTTGAGAAAAATTCAAGTTCATTCTTCTGTTGGTTATAATTATACAAGGAAGTTGATCATTAAGATTTAATCATCTACTAATGAATGTGTTTGTCTGGTTAGCGTGTAAATATGAAGTCATTGGCCATTCAATTGAAAATAGTCAATTATCAACTAGAAAGTGATCAACAATTGCAAATCAATGGACCACAAAGAGTCAGGAAAAAGATGATTCAAGTGATAGGCAAATGAATTGATGATGATAAATTGGCGGAAGAGATGAACATCTCAAAATTATTGGTTAATAGTTGGTGAGAGGATTCCTTAAAGGGAATGTATTTTCATAAGGTTAACCTATTGGTTTGAGATTACTTACTTGCAGTAAACTCGAAATTTTTATCCGCAATTCGAACTCGATATTTATCGATAGAAGGTGTAGTCTTTTGCTCCTTAACTGAAAGGGTCAGCATATTGTCGAGCATTGTGTATTGTAAAATTTCTGGCATTTTGGGAAGTTTACTAATTTTAACATAATATCGACGAGAATCTTCACCATAACTGTTGGATGCATCACAGCGAAACTCGTTTGGACTGACAGTCTTCTCTTTCGTTCGATATTTGGCATTTTGACTGGACGATTTGTAAGTAAGTTTAAGTTCACTCCAATTATCACCTGACTTAATTTGGTATGTATAGTTAATTGTTTCATTGTTTAAAGCTCGATTAGGGTACAACTGCCAGGTTAATTGAGCTTTAGGATTAGCATCAACGGCACATTTTAGTGAAACCATTTTATCTTTTGCTTGAACCATGAATTTTTTTTCATCAATATATCCAGTATAAGAAAGATTTGAAAGAAACTTTGGTGCATCTGAGAGAGAGAAAAGAGAAAAGAAAATATTAGACAATTTTATTCTTCATCATGGATGAAATGTAAACAATTGTAAGAGCATTAAGTTCAGCTCTATCGATTGAGTTGTGGGTTAAGGGATAAACTGTCAACATGTAAGGTGATCAGCTTTTGTTAACACACACCAAATCACAATGCAATGGCAACACCCTTAATCACCAAAACCATAAATAACCTGAATAAATATGAATTGAAAAAGAAAGACTGTTCAGTGTTGGTAAACATGCAACATTAAAGTTGATCATCATCAACATCAACATTCATCTGCAAGAGATGGCAACAACAAGAGTATGAAAAATTTATTACTTCAATTGAAAAGCAAGGCAAAGATGGCAAGACGAGAGATGAAGCTAACAAAAATCATTTTATCATAATTTAACCATAATTCAACTACGATTGAGGAGAGAAAAGTATATTTATAAATATTGACTGAGAATCGTTATTTTGGTTTCAAAGATATTCAATTTATTATACTTTAGTCTATTGATATCGGTTTAGGTTAAACTTGATTATCATCTCAATTTAAAAACTAGAAAACAATTGTAGTCTACAATAAAGATATCAAATGGAAAAGATAATCTTGAGAATAAATGAATAAAATTTCAAGTGTAATCAGATTTAATTCACTTGATTTGAATCATAAAGTATGACAGAAAAACTAATGTAATGTTAAAATGATATAATGATGATAATAAACATCTTATCACTTTTAATAAAAATGCTCAGTCTTTGCATGAATTGCACTTAAACTTTCAACTAATCACAATGAACAAGATCAGTTTATTTCATTAATTATGTCATTTGGACAATTGCATTTTGTCAACATTACTATCTGAATCATGAATTTGGGTAAACTGGAGAAACTCATGAAGGACAAATGAATTAATTGTACAAAGCAACAATTGAAATGAAACCCAAATTGGTCATTTTTTCTGGTTCAAGAATAATGTTGAAGTGCTTTTTTTGGATACTTTTTTCAAGATTCTTGATTGAACCAGTTGAGCTTGATTGAGAGGCAAATGTTTATAAAACAAAAATCATTTGGCCTGTCATTTTTCACCTGAATTAATTTGATGGTCAACTTGATGAAAAAATGATTACCATTTGTTTACATGAGAAATTTTGATATCATTATTGATGGGTTGATATGTTATTTGGGTCATTAGAGGGGAGAGAGAAAAAGGAAAACAATTGAATTATCAGAAATGATGAAAAATATTGAAAAATTAAACAATCAATTTGAATGGTAAAAGCTAAATATAAAGCTTTTTGTTCAATTTATCAATTTAACACCCAAACATGTGAACAAGAGAGTGAAATTTTGTTCAACAACAGCTCAAGACAACTTAATAATTCATGATTCAATTTGCGTTGATTACCATTTTTTGTTTTGTTACCTTAACTACTTGTGCTTATAAGCACTTTACTTGACTTTGATAAAGTGTCAACAAAATAAAGTGAATGAATCAAGTGAATGAATGATAATTAAATTACAATTTTGCATGGAGGCTCAACAGTTACAAGAGTGGTGTTTGGTGTTTGTTTTCGAGTAGAGTTGATTGATGAAAAAATTGAAATTTAATCAACTTACAGACAACGTCTAAGCCCAGAGTGAATAGTTTAATATCAGTTTTCATGATTGAATTGACCAGAACTTGACAAGTGTATGTACCCGCGTCTTCCTTTTTAACCGAAGAAATGGTTAATGTTGATGTATATGGACGTCCTTCAGCATTGCTGATTCGGTATTTAGATGAAGATCCGTCAAGTGGTTCAATACCATTTCGCAACCATGATACGGATACGGAAAACATTTCATCATAACTGAATTTGCAAACCAATTCAGCTTGATCATTTTCCCGAGCAGTTCGATTCTGTGGACCTAAAGTTGAGAGACGATAAAGAAGAGATGATATTAGTTTTCAGAATTAGATTCAATAGACAATTTAATTCAATGTCATCAGGCAACAAAAGGGAAATAGTTTGAGTTAAGTCAGTAATTCATCATTGAAATAGATTGTTAAGGTTAAAAGAGTTGAGATTGAGTCGAGATTTTTGTAACCACAATGGGATAAAAGAGGGAAAATAATTGAACATGAAAATGAAAAAATAGTTGAAAGTGAAAAGACAGGAAATTTGAGACTAGAAAATAAGAGACTTGGGTTAATTTTGAGATTATTAGTCATTGATGGAAAAAGAAAAAATTGGTTAAAATAGTAACAAGCACAATTGTGATAGATTACATTCTTGTCTAATTTAATTAAAAAACTGTTTCACTTTTCATTTGAATGTTTTACAAGTAAAAATGGAGGATTGAAGGGATGGAACAGGATTGAAAGAAAAGGATAAGAAAATGAACTTTGATTTGTCTTACCAATAAAATTAATTAAATCAAAAATATACATGGTGATTGACTTGGAATCCATGATGAGACTGGTTCGAGTGTCTTTAAGATTACAAGTGTATTCACCACCATTGTGTTTCTTTGAAAAGTAAACCAATAAAGCCAATTGGTGTCCATTATTCCCTGGTTGCATTATAGCACTAGAGTCGATTGCACCAGCCCGGCTCCACTCCAGTTTACGACCAGTCATGTCACCTTCTTCAATACATGTAAGCACAAAACTTTCATTAACCCATCTACTAGATTTAGGTCCTTCTGGGATAATTTTTAATCCATGCACCGCAAAAACGATGAAAACGGAGGAACAGGTAATGATTAAAGGATAATAGGAATACATTGTCATTTAGCAGTTGTAGATGATTTTTGATGATGGGAAGATGAAGTGAGAGAGTTAGATGGAAAAAGAGAGAAAGTGAAGAAAGGGTTCAACGAAACATAAACACGATTCACAACTTTAGTCGAAATAAAAATATTGGCGATTTATTTTTTGTTAAATTAAAAATTGAAATCAAGGTTAACACATTAAATCTTAAGATGAAGACTCTCTATCACAACCTACATTATGGATCTACAGTTTGACCTCTTGCATTTATTGATTGAATTAAACTACACTAGATCAACTGTAACTCGGTAACTCGTTAATGGTCATGCCCGCCGCTTTGTAAATTTGAAAATAAACTCCTGACTAGTGTTGCCATCTATTATTTCAACTTTTGAATTTAACCCAACATTTGCTGAACATAAATATATTTTATGAACAAATTACTGCCATATAACGGAAGAAATTAGTTAATTGGTTCAAGATACACATTAGATTCAAGTGTCCACTTTTAAAGAGACTTTTCTCTACAATGTCCAACAATTTTCAATCAATTTTTTCCTAAGACTTGCCATAACCCAATCCAACAAATTGCTCAACACTTTTCGGATATGATAGATATGGAGATGAATGGTGTAAGACTTGGTAGACTTGAATGGTGCCTGTAAGTCTAGTCAAACTGTCTCAATTCAGTTTTAAAAAATTAGGTTCAAAACATTACTAGGGTACAACTCCTAATGTTTTGGATTGATTATTCAAAATTAAATTGCGAGTTAGACTAGACTTACAGGCACCTTTAGCCGTTAAAATAAAAGTACACTTTTGCAACTATTTTGGGTAAAAATAAGAGATAGAGAAATAATTTCGATAAAAAAATTATGAAGTTATTTATGCCCTTCAATATTAAGATATTAAGCGTCAAAATCTTATTTTCAGTGAAAAGTCTTTTCTTGAGGAGTATGTGTAAAAAATGTGTAAACTTCGATCACCTTTTCAGCTATGGAGGCAGCTTATTTCATGAAACTCATTTCACTGATGTATCTTTTGATGAACAACCAGAAAATGGTCTTTTTTGAGAAATAACATTTTCAGTTTCTGTAAAACAGATCAAGTTCAAATTTCATTTAAACCGAACTCTGTGATTGTAAGAGTTAGCGAGCTGAAACTTATTATTTGCCCATAAAAATTGTTGCCTTACATCATGGATTAAATACTTTTAACAATTTAACAATATTTACCTTGATTTTAGCCATTGGCCTTAAAACTTTGGGCCTAAATATTTCATGAATGATAGTACCTACAATCATCATTTTTTGATCAATCACACGATTCGCTTATGAACTTAAACATTATATGGCTGAATATCTGAGAAAATCTTAGCTAATTCGTTAAAAATGAATTTTCTTTTAGCACTTCATGAGATTCGAGTTTGAGTAACCATTTACCTTTAGGAAACAAGAATCAAATCTTACAACCAAACATTGTTGAAACACGTTGAACATCACGTTTGTAAGTTTGTAATATCTCAAGATTGTCAAAAAATTTACGACAAGAAAAATTAGAGAGACAAATCAATCATTTTACACATTATTGGAGTTGATATTTACACTCTGAAATTCAGAGTCTGAATATTGTACTGTTTTGTGAGTTTGAACTTATCTAGGTTTGTTTGTCACAAAATTACATATAGATGGAGCCAGCTTTTAGGTTTCGGTTAAATCTTTTATCAAGTTATCTTTTTCATTGTAATTAATCTTATTGTATTTGTTTAATATAGATTGATTTTCTTTGCTAACTTACCGACAAATTAATTTATATCAGTGCATATTTGCTGTACTTGCTACATGACCATCGAAACTTCTGATTCAGAAGACATCAAGTTTTGGTAAATAGATATTTTTATCTTTGAAACTCTTTTGTTGGATTATCCATTTTTTCAAATTGTAACAATGGATCGATAAATCAATTGGTTTATCTAGTAAATCTAGATTTATTCAATTCCTTTACCTACCACCTTCATAACCATCTTCACCGCCTCTTACTTTTCTCTCTTTTCCTGTCTTCCTTTTTCATCTCCATCTTCAGTGAACCTGCGTTCTTTAAGATTAACTTGTTGCAATAAAGTTCAACAATAAAATCCTGATTTCGCTACAATTCTTGTGAGTGTATTTAAACAACAATTGACTCATCATTCATTCCTTGAGTTTTTCTAATTCTCTGTCCTTATATTCTTAATTGCTTGAAATCTTCCACCTACACTTTATCTTTCAACTCATTTTACTTTTTACTTGTTTACTGTTTATTCACAGGTAAATTATAAATATTTATGCTCTTGATTGTGTTCCATAAACTTTGCAACTGAACTCATCGCCAAGTATTTTAACGAACAGAAAAGAGACGAATTACCATGGATTCAAAGCAGTTTCGTGAAGCAGCTAAACAACTTGTGGATTATGTTTGTGATTACCTTGACAATATACGAGATCGACCCGTTCTACCATCCGTTGAACCATTTTATCTTGAAAAACAATTACCCGATTCAGCACCAGAAGATGGTGAACCATGGGAATCTGTATTCAATGATATTGAAAAGTTAATCATGCCTGGGGTGAGTAAAATAGTTTGAACTTGAAATTATATATTTAGATTTCTTTTGTTCCAACTCTTGCTATAACGTAGTTGTTCATTTCATTCGGAAATTGGTCTTATATGAAGATATTTGCAGATTATTTAACTTAGATGACATGAAAATAGCTTGAGATAAGATGGTGAGATGATTAAGAGACAGAGGGAATTAGAAACAATGAGAACCTACAAAACAAAAGAATAATATGAGGAGAAAGAAAGCGATAATCAGGCTAATGAAACTTGAAAAGATGAACTTTGTGAAGGGATTTTCTGGTTAGATATCAATGAAATGACAAAAGTAAATTGTGCTAATTTTAGACAGTGAAGGTAGACAGAGTAAAGAAGAAGGTTGATTATAATGATCAGGTTTAGTAGCGAAAGTAAAAGTGGAAGAGGATGACAAAAAGGATGAATTACTCTTTTGAGTAAAGTTTGTCAAGCGTATAATAATGATGTGAAATGATGAGAAAAAAGATTTTTTCAATAGTAAATATTCATTGTGCGATTTGATTTGATCCATAATCAATACTGAACTGTGATAATTGGACTAGTCCCATGATAGTATCGACTTTCGATCAACCTAAATGTAAATATAAGAAAATGAGATTCAATGAGAAAATAAAATTAAAATTGAAATTGAGTTCTATTGAAATAAGTAACATATGAATAAAAAATGCCCTCATTAGGTTTTAATCTTGAGTTATAAGATACTTACTTCAAGACGAAATTTAATTTCGGACACTTTCGTAATGGAATGACTTTTCCGGGTCAGTCTAACAGCCTTATTATTTTTAGATGACCCATTGGCATTCTCCTCGGTTTCACGCATATTTTCCGACAGCCAATTCCTATCCATCAATTTTGGCCGATATTTTAACTGGAGCTTTGGGTTGTATTGGTTTTACTTGGGTGAGTTGATGTCCGATTATTTCAATTGATGTTATTAGTTGAGATGAATTGGTAACAGTAGGTTAAAGTGAAGTGACAAATTATAACGTTTGTTGGATAGATTTTAATTAATAAGCTAACTGTTGTAATTGTTGCTTTCTTTCTCCTGAATTATCCAAGATTGCAAGTCCAGCCTGTACTGAATTGGAAATGTCAATGATGGATTGGCTTGGTAAAATGTTAAATCTACCAGAAGAGTTTCTCTTTTCTTCTCGTGGTAATGGTGGTGGAGTTATTCAAGGGACAGCAAGTGAAGCTACTTTAGTAACCATGTTGGGAGCTCGGAGTCAAGCACTAGCTAAACTTGCATCTTCTTGCTCGTCAAATCAATCAATACCATTGGATAAATTAGTTGCTTACTGTTCAACTCAATCTCATTCATCTGTTGAAAGAGCTGGTCTACTGGCTGCAATAACTATCCGAGCTTTAGAAACTGATGAGAATCTCTCTTTACGCGGAGAAACACTGGAAAAGGCAATCAAGGAAGATAAAGCGAAAGGATTGATTCCATTCTTAGCTGTTGCCACCTTAGGAACCACTAATAGTTGTGCATTTGACAATATCGTTGAGATTGGGGAAATATGTGAGTCTCATCTTCACCATCATCATTTCCGTTTCTATGACAACTTTTGTAGTTTCAAAAGATTCTGTTCATCATCTAATAATGTCTTCTTATTTTACACTTTTCTCCTACTTTATTTTTGTTTCCTTTTTTCCTTTCTTTTCCCATCCTCATGGTAATGCTTCATTTTCACCATTATAATAGGTCAAAAAGAGGATATTTGGTTGCATATTGATGCAGCTTATGCTGGTTCAGCTTTTATCTGTCCTGAATATCGTCATTATCTCAATGGGGTTGAGGTAAGTTAACTTTCCAAAAAGTGCAAGTATTCAGGTTATCCTCTTATCATAATAAAGTGTAAAGATTTATCTTTATTCATACTTGCAAATGCACATGGAAATCTTATAATCAGAATTGGGTGAATTTTTCCTCCTAAAATGTTGATCCAATTTTCGCATTATAATGATAGAACCAAATCTATAACATCAACAGCAACAGTTTATCCAGAACAATAAAGATTCCAATGTTTATTACAAAAAGCCATTTATTTTTTCATCTTTCCTTTTACACCAGAAAGCTGATTCTTTCAATATGAATCCCCACAAATGGATGCTGATTAACTTTGATTGTTCCGCCTTATGGTTAGTATAATCTATTAAGCTATATCAATATTTTGAAATAAACATAGCTGAATGAACTCTTAATTTCAGGCTTAAAAATCGTCATCTTGTCGCCAATGCTTTCAATGTTGACCCAGTTTATTTGAAGCACGATAAACAAGGGCAAATTCCTGATTACCGAGTAAGCATTGTTTTAGCCTCCATCTTTCCTTGTAAATATAAGTTTCAAGTTACATTAAAATTTTCATGAACAGCATTTACAAATTCCATTGGGACGTCGATTCCGTTCCTTGAAAATGTGGTTTGTATTGAGACTTTACGGAGTCAAAGGCCTGCAAGAATACATAAGAAAGGTATGTTAATCTAATACTAACCAATTGTAAAGTTGAATCATCTGATTATTTTTTCACCTTGATGTAGCATGTAAGATTGGCCCATGAATTTGAAGCAATGCTCAAAACAGACTCAAGATTTGAAATTGAGCAACCCGTTGTTCTTGGTTTGGTGACTTTTAGATTAAAAGTAAGTCAGCAAAATCCAAACTCACCTTTTTCAATGATTATTAAAATTCAATATAATCTTATGGAAATTTTTATCCGTTAGGGTTCCGATGAACTGAATGAAAAATATTCAAAAGCGATAAATGATCGTAAACAGATACATATAACTCCAAGTCGTATTAATGGTCGTTACACCCTCCGATTTGCTGTTTGTGCTCGTACAACTGAACAAGATGATATAAAATTTGCCTGGAATGAATTCCAAACCGTTGCTAGTCAAATTTTAAAGGAAAATGAACAAACCACAAAATAAAATGAACAAGCAGAAATAAAGACAATATTCAGATGTGACAAAATTTTCAAACGTTAAGAAATCTAACAAAAAGATTGAATCGTTTTTAAAGTCTAGGTTTATCTTAAAGAATAATCAGTTGACTTTATCTTTCAACTCTTTGCTTTATCTGCTAAGCTGCAAAGATAAAGAAAAACCCAAAAAACAAAAGCCGCCATTTTGCAACAAAACAGTTAAACTCTTACCTCATAGCTTTTGTGAAGCAACTTTACCCCTTATGTCTTTGCCATTTGATTGCTGTGATTTTAAATCGTTTCATTACAATGTTTAAAATTTATAATTATTTCTGTATTAATTTGATTCCATCATTGTCTAATTGTAATTGTGGTTAAATTAAAGACAAAATGACGAAAAACATGCTTTGAAATCCGTTCAAAATCAATATTTGTGTTCAACTGGTTGAAAGGTTTAACAAGCGTTTTACCTCGTTTGGTCTTTCATTTGTAAAACAAGCCAATCCATCATTTCAGATTAACAATGGATTCTTCAAAATAAAGGTAGGTTTTTTTCATCAAATAATGCCTAATAAATATCGCAATGACAATTTTTATAATAATGAGAGGCAAAAAATTTTCTGGTTTATTATCTTCATTAATAAAATCCTATCCGGTTTTATGTTGAAAAATTTGAAAGAATCTGGTTTTACAAAGACTAGAATGCAATGATACAAAAAGACATTGTTTACAATGCAGTGAAAGTTCATCCCTTTGCTTTCATTTTGATTCAATTGAATTGAAATTGCAATTACTAAACTACAGTTTGTCCAATATTGTTAATATTGTGAAAAAAAAGATCAAACTCTAATTGTTACATTACTCCTATTATAATGTAAAAAGTACGCGTAAGCTTCAAGTTTGACGCCTTTCTTTATGGTTTGGAACTTCCTCTGATGCTTATTATTTCATGCACACAAAACGGACAATATCAATGATGATAATGATGATAATAGAAGTGATGTTAACAATAATAGTGAAAGTAATTTTGTATTCTAACAACCCGTTGACATACAAAGTTTCTTGTTTCATCAACTTTCATTTCTTGTTCCATTTTCACCAGCTTACAAACAGAGCTTTAATCTGTTGACTGTTAACTGCGAATCAATCAATAATTTAAACATGATTTCATTAGCCATGGAAGTGAATTCAACTCGATTTAAGACCAGTTTATAGTGTGTTTGAATTGCAATAATCTAATTTTTAATTTGTTTATATTTTTTCTTGCAATTTCGTCTAATGAACAATCAATCGTTTGTCCATCGTTGGCTCAATATTGGATTATGATTAATGTATTAAAATATCATTTTAACCATGGAAAGTATTCAACCTACAATTGGATTTACCTTTGTGATACAATTTTTAGTCAATTAACTGGATATCAATTGTATTTATCATCTAATCATTTATTTTTCATTCTACTACTTTTCTCGACTCATTCATCAATAATAACAAGCTCAATTGTAAGTAATTTTACATCAATTCAATTGATTTACTCTTTTCACTACCAATCTACATCAAATTAAATGTTTATTATTTTATATTTCAACCAGAATAATGTTCATCTCGAGTCAATTCATTTGCCATCATCAAAATGGACATCCAAAGCCAACTCTACTCATCAAAATGATTATCTAATTGATTGGAATCCATCAAATGATGTAGACAACATTAAAGCTAATAATAAATCACTGGAAGTAGACTATTGTGATTACGCATTTATGAGTGAGTATAAATGGTCTATTTTTTTCTTAACATATAACGGTGTGCACATTATTTCATCTTTTACCTAACATTTTTGTTCGAATCAGACTAAATTATTGATAATTTTGTGTTTCTTGCAGATGAAGAAGACAGGAAAAAGGCGTTTCAAGAATATTTGATGATAAATGAAACATCCAACGAGATTAATAGGCCTAAACGATCATTAGCCAAAATATATACCATTGAGACAGCCATTTTTGTCGATTCAAGTTTAGCTCAAAAGTATGACGGACACTTGGATGATCTTCAGCGTCTCATCATGTCAATCATGAATGAAGTCCAATTGATTTATGAATATTCATCAATGGAAACAAGAATTCAAATTGTTATAACAAAACTAGAGATTTTAAGAAATGAAGGACCTGATGATGCCGAAGGTGATATTGATCAGTATTTAGACAATTTTTGTCTTTGGCAAGCGAAACTTCATCGAGCTGAGAATTGGGCTCAACGTTGGGATCACGCTTTAATGTTAACCGGGTAAGTTCAAGTACAAATTAAATCCAATCATTTATCAACAGGAAAAAATGTCATCTATCAAACCTACTCTTCATTTAAACAAAATTGCAACAAATCCTACTTGGTTCATAATTGAATTTTCAGTTATTAATTTTCGGTACGAAATTGATTATCAACATTAGCAATTAAATTGCAAAATTTCAAGAAAAAATTAATCGAAAGGCTTTAAACTCTTGACAAAAAAGGTTTACATTTCAAATTGATAGCCTTTGATTCAATAATTGCTCGTTAATTTACTAAAGTGAATCTATTAATGAACTAATTTATTCATTTACTAGTAAAATTTATCAGCCATTTAATAGTAACAATGTTTTACCTTTCAATCTAATGTCCATTATTTCCCCAAAACTGAAGAGAAATGTCGTAATAAAGCTTCAAAAATTGAATTGTTTATGAGTAATTAAAAACCGCTTAACAATTGAACAATACAGTCAGAAACGGTAAAACCTAAACCAATTATTCAATGTTTCACAATTGTTTAATCTGACAATTATCTATCCTAATGAAAGAGTCAACCCAAATTTGAACCTAGAAACATTTTCCACCACTAGATGGAGCTTGTTACTTAAATATGCGGTAAAATTGAATCAAAACTAGTCTTTCATTTGATTATAATTTGCAATTTGTAAACAGTCGAACAATTTTTTATGCAATTACAATTGATTGATTACACCACAATTCATCAGCTAATCTAATTGATCAAATTAAATAGACATTAATTGAATCCATAATCCCGATCAATCGCAACTACTAGCTTCATTTGAAATGATTGAAGAAACAAACTCCAGCTAATTTAAATAATCAATCGATAAGAGTTGCTCTTGATAGAGAAATGAATATTAAGAACAGAGGAAAAAAATTGAATTGAGCTTCAATAATAAATGATCTAATAATGATGACAATGTCCTGTTACTGTATTTTTTTCTGGTTCCAACTTTTCTCCTTTTTTCCATCTTCTTCCATCAGTCATTATTCATCCAGAATAAAAAGCAAAATAACCTTCCCAGTAAACAGATAATACCTTTTCTCCATTCTTTTCATTCTTCCTCCCATAAACATCATCTCATCCTCATCATCATCATCATTTTTGGCTCATTTTATTGTCATTTGCGCAACTAAAGTTGTTGCTTGAAAAAAAACACTGTTCAAAAAAAAGGCTTATAAGAGGGAAGAAAAAAATCAAGTAAAAGATGAGGACGATGATGATGGTGATACTGAAAAGATGACATGATGCTGGTAAAGAAGATAAAGATTATAAGAGAAAGGAGTAAAAAACGAATTGAAGTAAAAGAGCAATTTTTTGCGTGAAAATCTCCAGACTGATCAGTTGACTGATCTTATTGTGTATAATAGAGAACGATCAATTGATTCAATTGAAGCAAAACTGATCTACTCATATCATTTCTACCTCGTTAATCGAACGTTTCCATTCATTTTTCACCTTATTTCCCATTCACCTTGTCTATCCAATGTCCATCATCTTTGAATCCTTTTATCCTCATTTTCCTTCATCATTCCCTTCATTTCAATCGATCTTTGAAAGTTACTTTTGTCAAAACTCAATGTCCCAAAACTGAACCATATTTAACCTTGTATCCAACCATATGAACCACAATCTTGAATCAAACAAAACAATTTACTAATCGTACCATTAACTATTAAATCAATCATTAATCTTTCCAGACTTGATCTTTACAAAGACATTGGCGGAGGTAAAAAAAATAAGAAAGTTTTGGGTAAGTTTTTGCCATAAATTGAAAAAGAAATGAAAATCTTTGAAACGAAAAATGAAACACTTTTGTAATGAAAATCAGAATTGATTGTTGCACTTTTCCAGCCATTTACCAATCATTCAACTTTACAATTAATCTGATTAGCTTGTTGACTGTTAGTCAATTTATCATGTGAAAAACAGTGTTTTGTTTGAACAAAAAGAAATGCTAATCAAGAATATTCATTTGAAACATATTCTGATGATAATGCTAATGATGAATTTTATTTATCTTTTTATGACTTTCAGGCTTGGCTTGGGTTAATGGTATGTGTAAGCCAACTTATAGTTGTACTTTGAATGAAGGTAAAAGCTTTGAGGCTTCATTTGTTATTGCTCATGAAATGGGCCACAGGTAAGTTCATTTCCAATCCTAATAATGTCATCGTCACACAATATCTATAAAATGAAAAAGAGGTAAAATAATGATTATAATTTACTATCTTCTGCTCAACCTTTTTTTATTTTCCCTTTTCCTTTGTGTTCCATAAAAAATGAATAAATGACCAGCCTTGGAATACTTCATGATGGCCGGAGTAACAATTGTGATGCTGATAAATTCATCATGTCTGAGAAAACTGGTCCAGGTAAAATAAACTGGTCACCCTGTAGTAATGTCTACATCACCAATTTTCTTTCGTATGTATTAATCTATTTTTCATCCTTTTTTCCTCTTCTAAGCTAATAGTTTTGGGAGTGAAAATTGTCAGTCCAAAAATGTTGATAACAATTTTATTTACAACTTATTATGTAAATTTTGTTGTCACATCCCAGTCACACAAGCCATGTAAAAAGCAATCACAGTTGAATCAATAAGCAACTCTCACTTGATGCATAATATTTTCAAGTGAAGCAACTTTTCCTTTATATCATGTTCGAGTCTAAAATTTCGCAAATCATGAGATGCTAAAGATTCAGAAAGTAAATTGAAAATCGAGTTTCAAAGTGCCAAATTATTCTGATGATTCTGTAACAGAAGAAAAAAGTTTCAATCAAAAATCCATTTTCAAAGTTGCCTTAAATTGTAAGCATAAATAGCAGAGATTTTGCTGTTAATTACTTTGTTTAATTAATTTTTACGTCAACATTTCATGTTTTATGAAAAGTTAAGGAGCTTTTATTTTTCATTTTATCTCTAAACATTTCTTCGCCATTTTTGGCTCCTTCATGAAACTAATCTGAATATTTTTATGAAACTTTTTCAAAACTGAAAAATCAAATTTTTTCATTTGGATTCGCATTTTTGGTTTGATTAAATTATTTAATTTTGCTGTCTTTATGAACATCATGTAAATGTCCATATCGAACAGGACTAATCTGAATTTCCTGAAGTTCTTTGGCTATTGATTCAAAGTTTTACTTTTATTTTCTAAATTGTTTCAAGTGATTTATTCAGTTGCAGTTTCATATTAAAAATGATTGAATCATGTTTGAATCTTGGACATTTACCTTTAGAGAAAAATTGAACATTAGCAAAGTTTCCCTGTTATTGCAGTCTCTTCTACATTTGTATATTTCTCAATGAATCTAGAATTCTTGAAAACTTTTTCTTCTTCTTCTTCAGGGAGATGAGAATAATTTATCTTTCTTTTTGAGGCAACATTTTCAAGTCATTTCTTTGAAACCATTTTTGTTATTCCTTCCTTTGCCTATCTCATTGTCAATCCAAGCTTATTTTATTTCACTTGCCTTAACTCAAGTAGGAAATGAAAATAATAATGCAGATAAATTTATATATTTTTTGCATCCCAATTCCTGATATCACACAAATTCATTCCCTGCATTAACCTTGAAATGACATTGACAGGTATCTCGTCATCTGTAACTATATTTACTTTTCTCAATTTTGACTGAAAGTTCAATAAAATGATTCAAATTTCTTTCTCTCTCTCATCCAGACAATGATTGTTTTTCAATGTTTCCCTTTCCAACGATTCACAATCGTCATCATTTTACACTTTTCATTCAACATTATCAAACTGGTTAACTTGTTCATTTTCACTCCCAGTTAACCCATCAATGAAAGTTGGAGAAAAATATTTACAATTGTTAATACTTTTTGATGTTACTCTTCAAGAGAAATGGAAACTTTTTTAATTTAAAAATGCATGAAATGGATAGGTTATTGATAAGGCTTGACGCTTGAAATGTGATCAAATTCATTCATTTTCATCAAAATGTGATTCTTTACTCAAATGTAAAAACTGTACAAAAGGTTGAGGCAAAACAAAGTCTATTTTTAGGTAAATTGAGTTTCAATTTAGTTTCCTTTTTTTGCCCTTTTCTTGATTCTTTTTTTCATCAGTTTCGTTTTTGTTCCCTTGCCTTAACCGTATTGAATCGGAAAAGTGGACAACACTGACCCAAACTATGCAAACTTGAAATCTTGTTTTCTTCATCAGTGAACTTGAAAATAAAAGCAACTCTTTGTTGTGTTGCTTTTGTCAACACATCAAACTGACCCTTAAGTCAATTGAATCTTGTGGTTCCTTTTTCAGTCCCAATAACTAAGTAAACCTTTTCCATCTTCTCATCTTCCTCATTATCATCACCATCATCAATTGTGTTCAAACTAAAGACAAACTTTGATCATTCCTTCTCTTGTTTCCATTACATGTTGTGATAATGTTGTTTTTTTGTTGCGATTTTTTGTGTTTCCATGAAACAAAAAAACATTCTAACGTTATAATTGGACAAACCAGAACTCGAGCTAATAATGAAGTTCCAGAATGAGATAATTATGGAAACAGAAATTGTCAAGAATACAAGACTAAAGAGTCAAAATAATGTTATCTTAATGAAAATTGTTACAAGAGAAGCTAAAATGAACCCAAAGATTAATCAAGAAATTATCTTCTTGCCTTGTTTAGACAGTCTTTTGTTTCTCACATGAATGGTTGAAGGAAAGAAACTTAATCAATTCAATTATACAGAAAATTGTCATTTTCAAAATTGATTTGAATATAAATTCAACATTCAATATTGAAAATGATGAAGTTTTCATCAGATATTTGCTATTCAAAATGCTCTTTGCATCGACTGAAGATATTAATAAAAAGCAAATAAAAATTCAATTGGTGATAAAGTTCATTGTTTTTCTGTCCTGACTCCTGTAAAAAATGTGAATTACGGTGGTGAAGAGCATGAAAAATTATCTTTTGTCATGAAAAAAGCCTTTTTTGGCGATGATGAAAAAGCACAAAAAGATGAAAATTGTTATTCAAAAGTTGTTGAATTTTAAGTGAATAATTTTTTAATATCTAATACTTGAAGTGATCAGGGATGGAATTTTTTTTCATGGAGATCATTATGAGCAAGGTTGTTAATGTTATTGCACATTTGGGATGTTTTCAGATTGGTTTGCCTTGGTTTTCAAAAATTTGCTAAAAAATTGCTTCTTTTTTATTGATACTTCAACTCGATGATTTAACGCTCCAAAGATGATAATGAAAATAATGGTTTACAAATGGTCCATAGTGATGATGATATATTGGTTGATGATGTAAATATCATCAACAAAATGCTCAAACTTAAGATGCTGGAAACGATTTGCTACTTCAGTCTTGAGTGAAAATTGAGATGAGAAAAGATTCAACAGTAAAACCATTCTTGGTCAGACTGGATCAAGAATTAGTCTTTCAGTTTCAACTTAATTTTAAAGATGAATAAATTGAAACAAAATTGTTGAAAGGTTAATATTTTTGTTTGCTTTTTAGGTCATCTCATTGAGAGAAGACTATTTTTGGTAAGAAAAGGATTGATCAATCAAGTTGGGTTGGTCAATGATTGGTTCTGGTTAATTTTTGCATTGAAAATTGATGCTTGTCTATGGTAATGTATAAATGATTAAAACTTTATTGATTCATTGCATGTTCCATGATTCTTAGCTTTGAACTTCTTCCATCTGAATATGTAAATTGATGTCTATTCATAATTTACCAGCCTGTCTCTTGGTTTTGACCCAAACTTTTATTACAATCATCGGCTTATTTAGCATTATTATTGTGACAAGAATTGTGATTCAACCCTAACCCTAAAGTGACTTTGATAGAAAATTTCATTTGCTTACAAGTTCCAATTGACTTACATGATTACCTCAAAGTTTTAATGTACATCATTCAGTTGTTTTGCATTATTACTGTGACAAGATCTAAAGTGACTGTTTGATTACAATGTAACTTTGAAAGTTGATTTGATTCCAATAAACGTTACATTGACATTCAAGACATTTCAATCCATTTTCTTCATTCTTTCGATTCTCAATGTTTCTTTGATTTACTGTACAACTTGTGTTTTCGCCTTTTCTTTGTTTTCCAATTCTGTAGTCGTGGCCATGGACGTTGCTTGGAGAATGTTGCCATGGCAACTGGTGAGCTTGACTTTCGTCGATTAGGTCGACTTCCTGGTGAACAATTTCCTCCCAATATTCAATGTCAATTAGCCCTTGGATCTCAGTATAAGGCTTATGTTTCTTCTAAAGAGCCTTTCAATGTAAGTATCAACTCGTTATGAATAAATAAATTGTTACCATTATTAATATCATGTTGAAGAGATATAAAGAGTTGAAATGATAACATCAACAGTATTGCCATTATTGGAAACTAATATAAAGATGAAAAGAAGAGACGAAGAAGAAGAAGAGGAAAAAATTGTGAACCCAAAACTTCATGATACTCAAATCCTTGAGTAAACTTTTCCTCTTCTTTCGACCCAACGTTTGCGTTCTCGTTGAACATCACCTATTATCATTATTCCCATTATTACCTGTTATTACCATTTCCACTGATATTTTCATTCATTTTCATTTTATACTTTATTCTTGTCTCTGGTTTTATCCCTTGTTATATTGACATGATTTATATTTTACTTAGTCAACCAATTGTTATTGCCAACATTTGATACTATTAAACATGGATTCAAACCGCTTCTTCTTTTTTCATCTTTTCACCATTTCTCTTGTATGATTAGATTAGTAATAATATTATTATTACATTATGTTGTTTAGCAACAACAATACAGTTTATTGAGATTGCTGTTAACCTCATTATCATTATCACCATCATCTTCATCATCAAACTAAAAGCTATCAAATGTAATATTTTCTGATTGTAAATATTGATACAACTTTTTGATTTCTTTTCTTTTTTGTTTTTCTTTTTTCTATGTACCGTTATCAAGAACATTTGTCGTGAACTTTGGTGTTTATCTGGTAGTTGGGCGACTCCTGCTCATCCTGCTCTTGAAGGATCCCAATGTGGTCCAGATGATAGACGATGTTACCAAGGGTCATGTTCATCTGGACGAGTAAAGATTCAAGAAGCTCAAGAAAGCAATATAAATAATCACTTTAACCGTTTAACATCACTAAGTCAATCGACATCATTTAATGGTGGACAATTAATACCACTTAATCGACCCTCTTCCACTCCATGGAATCGCCGCTGGAATCGTAATAGAACCGGTTTCCGACCCTTTAGACGTAAATCAAGCATAAATCCATTCTATTCTTTACCCAATCCTGGTCCAATCATTTACAATAGACGAAGACCATTAATCGATTCTAATCATGCAAGTCAACTAGACAGTCTGGCTGGTATGGCCAAGTCAAGTCAATCCAGTGAAACGATTAGAATGAAAAGAAAAACTGATTCAGATGATAAACAAACCATGAGAAGTAGTAAAGGCTCGATTAATGGCAATCAAAGTAAACAATCAACTAACTTCACCAATCCTGGAAACTTTACCAACAGTCAAACTGCAATGTTAACCGATAACTTATGGATGGAAACTATTCGTAATCAAATTAAATCATTTACTGAAGGAGCTAAAAATTTATTTTCATCTCTTTTCCGAGGTTAACTAAAGGTAAAAAAAGCGATTCCTTGATACATTTTGATTGCTTTTCCCAATCAAATTAATTCAATTAAATCTAACTCATTTCTCTTCTCTTCTCACTTTCATGTTGCCCATATTGACTCTTCAACACTGGACTTGAAATGGATCATCATTTGTTGAAACAATCAACAGATTTCAAATAAACTAATGATGGTTTTGTCAACCCTGATGACAATCAACTTATGATTCAACTCAATTGGATATCCTTTAATCAACCAAGTGGCATTTGGAATGAGAATTTGCAAATTAAATTAAACTTGGACGTAAATTTGGTTGGGTTTTTTAGGTAGAGAAGGAGTGAATGGTAATCAATTTAATTGCTGTTCATTCACTTGTTAATTAAATCCCATTCAAGTTTTCATCAAAACAGAAAGAGAGTGAAAAAAGTACAAAAAAAGCTAATATTAACTTGCAAATAGGCAACATTATAATGAAACAAAAAAAGAGTGAAAACAAATGAACGTAAACTGGCCTTGACTCGCTTTTCCTCCATTGTTTTATCGTTTCCGTTTTTATTTTATTCATCAATTTTAACAATTAATTTTACACTCTTTTTTTACTACTGATTGTTGATTTATCCTTGATTAATTTAAATCATGAAATAGCTGTTGATCTTCATCAAGTTTATAAATACCGAGACGGGCAAATATTGACTCAATAATTAAGAGAAGCAAGCAAAGGAAGGAGAAGCAAAAAATCTGGAAAACTATTGATTCGACGAGTTGGTTTCAATGGAAAAGAAGAAAAAGAAAAAGGAAAAAATGATGAAAATTCTTGGAAACTTTTCTTTCCCATTCTCTATGTTCACCGATGATGATAAAGGCAGCAACTAATCATGGCAATCATAATCTTTTGAAACATTGGAAATGTTTTTCCAACATCAATTGTTGACTCAATGGAAATGTAGTTTAATGATGAAAATCAATGGATAAGATTGAAAAGTGATTAATGGACTAGTTAAATGGACTAATTGGTTGTAATTAATGTTGATTGTAACGATCCAATTGATCGATAGGAATGAAGAAAATCTTTACTGAATAAATGAATTTTGTCTCTATTTTGCTTTCACTGTTTTTTTTGACCAAAAAATGAGGCAAAAAACAATTTTTACAGTTGATGTTGATGCATTAATGGAATGATGTTTAAAGTGATGAAAAAAAAGGGAAGATGATGTTGGATGAAAAGTGGCTCAAGTTATCAATTGTAATGAAAGTTATTCAGTGATGAAAAAAAAATTGAGACTCTAATGAACATAAGAATAACGTGATTATTAAGAAGAAGCAAAAGAGTTGAGATGATAGTGAGAGGCAAAATTGATGATAATGATGATAATTTGAGCGCAACTCGTTGAGATGTTCAGAGCAGGTTGAATTGATTCGTCGTAGTGAAATGACTCTCTCAGTTTTCAAGGGAAGGTAAAGAGATGATGAAGACGAAAAAGACTAAGATTGAGTCTCTTTTTGTAACCACGAAAGAAGCGAGTGACTTGGTTAAAGAGAAGATGATAATGAAAGAGAAGACGAATTTTCGGGTAAATTTTTTCTTTTCTTCTTCTTCTTCTTCTTCTTGATCGATAAGTGAGTTACAGGGAAATGGAGCCAACAGAGTGAGCTCTAGAAATGCAGAGAAAATTGTTCATCATCTTCATTCATTCATCTTCTTCTCATCTTCTCTCCCTTTGCTTCTCTCCATGAAGCTATAAAAGTATCTACAGAAAGCCAGTTCACATTGGATAAGTAACGTTGAAAATGAAATTTTGTTTTCGCTTTTTTTCTGTTTCATTTGTTTTCTGGAGTTTTGTTTCTTTTTCTTGTTGCATGAGCTTTCAAGTTCAAAACAATTGAACAAATTAGTATTACGTTGAAATGTTGAAAACCTGAGTCTTTGATGAGAATCAAGTTGTGTTCAATCATCATCATCATCATCAACAACAACAATCATCAGCATTGTCATCATTGCAATCGAAAAGTAAAAGTAAGGTAAAACCAGCCAAGAGTGAGTAAAGAGGAAACTTTGTAATAAATCCAGAAGAGAGTTGAGGGAAACAAGTGCGAAACAAGTGAAGAGAAGAGAGAAAGATAATGATTAGTGAATAATGTAATTCGTTGAGAACGTCATTTTCGTCACGTTGTCCAGTCTTGATGTGAACTAATGAAGGTTGACCATCAACTAGAAGAAAAAGAAATGTTTTAAAGTCTGTGTTTTTACCTGAAAAAAAGAGGTTTTCCCAATGTTTCTCCAAACTCCAAAATTGTTTACTGTCACAATCATGTGAAATGAGGTAAAACTGTTTACCTTCTTAAACGCCTTTCCGTTTCACCATTGATTTGTATTCAATTTCAACTCTAATGTCGTCCAACCCAAGTTATGGATCAAAGGCGCACACAAATGAAAATGAATGTGAACCTAAAAAAGGATATCAATGTGCAAGGGAAGAGACTGACAGTGAGACGTGTGAAACCGGTGAACCAGGTTCACTGGAACAAGAGTCTGACTTACGGCGACACCATTTGGATACTCAGTCATCATCATCTTCCTTCACCGACAGTCAATCGCCCAACTTTTACTCGGCCGATGCTTCGATGCCAACAAACAGTAAAGAGGTAAACCTAGATGAAAGTGAAAACGTCTTCACCTTTAAACAGTCTTCACCCAATTTAACCAACAAATCATCCAAATCAGTTTGCTTCCATAGCATCACAGCCAACCCAGGCGGCGATCGTAAAATTGCCTCTCGTAAGTAATTCCCTAAAAAAATGAAAACGTCAAAAAGTCGATTTCATTGTCCTCTACGACAGATAAATCCATATCCTGGATTGAATGGAAATTGATTCATTTATAAATGATGAGCTTTTGTTTTGTTCAATGTTTGAAACAACCGCATTCAACATTTGGAAACAATCCAATGAATAACTTTACAGCATTAAAACTTTGATTATATCTTTCAAGTTCCTGGTTTTGTTTTGTTTTTAACCTTTTTTTTCTCGTTGTTTGTCTAATGCTTTTCCAATGCTTTACAAGGTTCAACTTAATCGTGATTCTCCGAGATTTACTTCATTCTGCTGATTCACAAAATTAAGTGAACACATTTAAACGCTTTTTCTGCTAAATTATCAATTCAACTATTAGAATGAAAAATTTGCAATTTCATCCATTTTTTCCTTCTCTTTTACTCTCATGATAAACATTTCCCGCTTTTTTCACTTCTTTTCAATTCTCACGCATGTTGACGCTGTTCATCATGAAACTGTTTCTGACAAAATGAAACATTTGAAATTCTTTGGAAAAAAACACTTTTCTCTAGAATTGTATCAACAATTAAAATTGCAATCAATGGAAGGAAAGTTTCATTTGTAATTGGCGTCAATGTTATTGATTAATGGTAAACTTGATTTATATTTCATTGACTTGATGATTAATAGTCTCTCATTGTTTTTATTGATTATCCTTTAATAAACATTTTACTCAGAGTTAAACTTTAAGGCTTCAGGAGGAGGAAAAAACGCAGCAACTCCAATCATTTGTAAATGCTAATGATGAGAGTGATATTTTTTAATAACATCATTTGCTTAAACCTCTATTTTGTTGGAAACAATTTCAATTTGTGTTTGTTGTTAATTTGTCAGCTCAATGAAGGTTTTCGTTGAAAGTTTTTTTCTGCCAAATGTTGTCTTCATCAATTGTAAACATGAAGACCTTGTTCATTCCCAAATAGACTTCATCATCACTCTCATCTTTATCCTCATCTTCAGCTCAAATCCATTGTAATTAGACTGTGCAATGTAACTCTTTTTATTATCATTTTAATTGTGATACAAATCAATACAAAGAAACAATTGAACCATAAGGTTGATGGTAAAGGAAACAAAGAGAGAAAAGCTTAACCAGCTTTTAACCCAAAAGTGGCTATTAAAGGCAAATCATCAATTTGTCGTCAATTATGGTTCAATTACTGATTCAAAGTCTAAATTGTTTAAATTGCTTCAACATTGGAAACAGAATCAAATTCAAATTGTCAAAATTTCTACTTTAAGTGTTTCCATTGAAATAAGATTTGGTTAAATCTCTGTAAATACAATTTTCACTCCCAGTTTTGCCTTTGATGGGAAGATTTTTTGTTATCAAATAAACTCTTCAAATAAGTTGAACCAAAATTTGATATCAAATTTCAATGATGGAAGTTGCTCCAAAAATGATTTCATTGATTAATCATCAGATAGTTGGAACGGAAATTATTTTCATTTGCTTATTGTTATCAATGAACATGAATCAAATGTGTTTTTTCTTCTTCTCCTTTTCTGGTTGAGTTGATTGAAATAGAGATTCAATGATTAACCATGAAATTGATGCAACCTATTAATTGGATGGAAGAGGTTAAGTGTGTTCAAGTTTATGATTAACGAATCGATTGTCAATATTGATCATCTCATTTTACCCTGGAGCATTTGAATCTTGATTATGTTTCTCTTGTTGTTATTCAACACATTAAATCTACTTTTATCGTTGACATTTTGACCCGATAAATGCTAGCATCATTTCAACATTTTATGTTTGCCAGTCAAGTAAAAGTAACCTTCAAATGTTAGGTGATGAGTTTGTCATGTTTTGTGTGGCATTTTTCATCAAAATATTTTGCTCATCACACACACACCAGTCAACCTTTTGATCTGATTAAACAGGCAGCAGGAAAAGGAATCACAATTTTACTTGCAATCAAAGCAAAAAAAAGTTTCAAAATTCTTCGAACAGAAAGCTCTTCAAAGTAAATATTTTTTACCATCAATTGTAAGCTATGCAATCTTGAACAACCATTTCTGTTCACGTTTTTTTCACATTTCAAGATTTGGTCAGCTATCATAGAATGTCCATTAACATGAAAAAGTTACAAAATAACATCTTATTCAGTCTAAAATTTTGTTCGACATTTTTTTCGCCAAATTCGAAACGTCAAAATTTCGAACAGAATTGCGATAAAGACTCGAGCAACTTCAAACTTTTCACATTCAAGATAGTTTAGAATACAAAAAATCGATTCTTCCATAAAAGTTATTTACTTTGATCTAAGATTCAAAATGATATTCAAAGCAATACAGAGCTTCTTTTAAGGCACTTTACTTCGAGAAGCCTTTTATTTCTCAAAAGATGTCGAGTTCTGGTAAATATAGACTCGAAATATTTCGAAATTTGGAAAAAGTGTTTGGAGCACAACGAATCCAAGTTACAATTGACCATCGAGCAAAAATAGTTATAATTAAAAATTACCAGAAAATCGAAAAATCTTTCATCTCTCGCTAATCGTCGTTTCATGATGAACTCAATATTGACACCAATTTCACTTTCCCTGAATTTCGCCTGCAAAATATTCCCTTGTAAAAGTCCATTTTTATTCTCGAAGATAATTTTCTAACTAGTTTATTATGAGTCCAGATAAAATTGAGACTAAAAGTTGCAAGAGGTTTAGGTTTACTTTGCAAAGCCAAAAGTCTAGTTTGATAAAATTGAAACTCAAAACTAAAAGTCAAACTTGAACTAATAGAAACTAAAATTGATCACTTTTCCAACATCGTATTCAGATTTAATCTCATCGAACTTGGTGAAACTTTTGTCTCGCTAGTTTCTATTTTTGTTTGAGGATTCTATTTTTGGACAAAACTCTTTTCACCTTGTCTACTCATATTATTGCCCTTATTATCCGTCATTGGTAGCAATGTTAATCATCTCATGTTCAAGTGAAAACAAGAAGTGAAGAAAGTAAACAAAGAAACGGAAAACAAGGGAAAGCTAATAACTCTTGATGATCATCATTATCATTTTAATCATCATTACATGTGCTTTATCCTTTCCTTGTTCAATCCTTTTGTGCCATCTAAACTTGTTTCATTATTGATTGATTCAACCTTTTCTCTCCTTCAAATCATATCATGAACAGAAAACTATGAAAATAGGCAAAAAAAAGTTAAGGACAACATTTGACGATAAATTTAACAGTTTCTCCATTCTCCCGATTCCAATCAGAATTCAATCAAATGTCGAGACACTCGGAGAATCTTATAATCATGATCATTCAATTAATATTGCACTCAATTTTCATGTTCACAGAACTTGCAATTTTATTACTCTTTTCTCATTTCTTTCATGATCACCAAACACTTTCTAATTATAAACCTTTTTTTCTCTGTCAATATTGAAATTGAACAATTCTGGTTGAATAAAAAAGCAAATTCTCATCAAGTAATAGAACCTGATAAAATGATGAATGAAATGTTTGTTATCTGTTTAACTTCACTTCTCATCAACACTTATTCCACTTTCTGTTCATTATTATTAATAATCACATTTTTTGCCTTCTTTTCCTTTTCTATTCACCACTTTCATGATCAACATGATGCTTCCTCAGCCTTGGATTGTCTTCAGATGATGATGAATGGTGTAACCCTGGTTAAAATCAAAGCCAATACACGTCAATATAGACGCTTCTTTACTCTAACCGAAGATCTTACAGCAATTCGTTGGGTGCCTTCATCGAAAAAATCATCAAAAGCTAAATGTAAGTTGATCAATTTAAGTCTTTTCCTCATTTCTTTTCAACTTGCTATAAACTCTGTGAAATAACAAGTTCAATTAGTTGTATTTTTGGTGAATTTCAGAAGACAATTCAACATTTTCTGTTTCCTCTATTTTTCAATTCAAGAGATTAACCTTAAACCGTAAAATTTGATCCTTAAAAATGAAATCTCAAATCATTTTCTCTAAAGCCTTTAGCTTATTCCTCTCATTTCTTGATACATTTTGGCAAATACGTAATTTGATCTAAATGATTCGAGCAACCAGATTGTGCAGTTAATTGTGTCTCTCTTCTAGGCTATTAGAAGCTTATTCGTTCATGTTTTGAATATCTTATGAACTTTATTTTAAAATTGGATTGATCTTGGAAGGAAAATTTGAACATCTCTTTCGCATATGGAAACAAACGACAGACAGCATCAAAGTTTCACCTATTGCATCTTCTTCTGAATAACTAATAAATCTATTGATATCATATTCCATCAATCCAATTATGTGACTGATCAAGACGATATTTTAATAACTTCAAACATCTTTTAACAACTTGGGTTGAGGGTAACCTTAAGGGTGAACTTTAAGTTTAGTTCATTCCATTGAAATGCATTTATTTGCTGTATCATTGGATCCATGGTTCACTTTAGTTCCAATAAGTTCCAATAAATCGTCAGCCAACATCATTCCATCGTTTATTCAACTGATGACTCCAATTCCAAAGCCATTTGACTTGTTAATGGACAAGAAAATGAATGTAAAAGTTCGTGGGATTTGACTTTCACTTAAAGTTGATCATCAAATTTAGTTGCTAAACTGTTTAGTAAAATGAAATTAGATTTCAAATTCACAAGTCGATCTATTTCTGGTTGCTATTTAGTAGCAAAGCTTTACAATTTTTGATTATCGATCATAACTTTAACCATATTTTGATCACATACTCCTACAGTTTACCTTTAAATGTAACATTGAAAAAATTTTGTTGGAAAATCGTTTTTCTCAATTGAAAATGATTATTGCATTTGGTTAAACAATATCCGATCAAAACCTACACCTTTTTTGGTTTTCAAGTTAATTAATTAAACAAAATCGAGTTAAGTTAAACTTTAAATTTCCATTGAAACTACCTTTTAATTGAAAAGCAAATAATCTAATCAAGCCAAATGAACACATTTTACATTAAAAGTGTCTATTATTTCAACTCCCTTAAGGCTTCATTCAGTTAACTATTCAACTTGAAATATTAATAAAGCTTTTTTACTTCCATTCACTGGGACTTTTCCAATAAAGCAAATATTTACAATTGTCGAATGCGAATTATAATCGAATGAAAATGTTCAAAACTAAAGTTTTAAATTCCTTTAGAACCTTAAATCAAAATGAAACTAATAGCGATTATGATAATGATAATGTAAATGATGAAGTAAACTGTGAAAAATGAGGAATCGCTATAAATAGCAACTCTTTATATGCTTCATTTATTCAATAAATTATAAGTTGATATTAACTTTCAGGGAAAAAACAAAAAATGAAACTTTATCCAAAATCCATGTTAACGGGTTTCCAGTTCATTGGATAATCTCTGTTGAAATTGAATCTTCAAGACAAATTAATGAAACAAAATTGATTAGTTTTTTAAAATTTCAATTTTGTTCCAGCTTCTCAACCTTTTTGACGACAAAAAAAGTTCACCAATTTCCTTGTATTCCTTTCATGAAATGTAATCCAAAATGTTGATAAAGTTAATTAAATGTTAACTCGATAAAGCTGTTTCATTTTTCAATGAATAATAATTTAATCAAAGCAACACTTCAAGTTGAATTGCGATTTCGAGGAAACCTTTTCTTTGGTAAAGTGAATAACGAAATTGTTTTATTTTCTGCATTTCGATTAAATCTTTAATTGTAAATCATTCCTTTAATCACACTTTAATCTCGAAAGTCGACCATAAATAACTTTGAGCGATTATTGACAGCAAATCTTCTTAACTGAATACAATTTCGTTGAAAGAGATTTTCATTTTTTCAGTTTCAATGCATTCCAAGTCTTATTTTGCTAAACCAAATGATAAAAGATTTACATTAAATTAGCTAAAATTGAAGTCTTTCAATGCTCTTAAGGTTGAGGTAAAACTGGATGAAAATTTCAATTCTCATGCAAATCTTTCTTCTTCCTTTCCTTGTTCATTGAAACATTTATGAAACATTAAATATGTTTACCTTTTGTTGTAACTTGCATCAAGAAGCGGCTGGAAACTCACTGAAACTGAGTCTTGAAATGAGATGCTTGCAAAAATTGAATCATCTTTTTGCTCCATTGTATTATTGAACTTATTGTTAACACTTCACTTTAATGATTACAATAAATGATAATAACAATTGATGTTAACCCGAAGAAACAAATTGCCAGTGTTTACACTCGAAATGTTTAATTTTGATTAGAAAAGTTATCCAATTCTGAAACTTGTTTTCAAACAGAATAATTATTCTTCTCATCATCATTTGGTGTTTTCACCTTGCTAATTGTTTGCTTTAAATGTTTCAGATTGTATAAAGGATATAAAAGAGGTTCGATCTGGAAAAAATACTGAAGCTCTTCGAAATCGTGATATTAATTTAAATTCATCTGAAGAGTGTGTCTTCTCAATCAGCATTGGCGATGATTTCGATACACTTGATCTGATTGCTCCATCACCTGAGGATGCCAACATTTGGGTTACTGGCCTTAACTTTCTTATCGGTGCCAATAAATGTAAGTTGTTCAAACTGCTATTCATTTCTAAAAATCGAAGTCAACCTTAAACGCTGTTCAAACTTTTTCAATGAAATCAAAGTTGCTTTACAATTTCGATGAAAGGATATTGATATTCATCGATATTGATTTATCGTTAAAGGAGCAATTGTCTGTAAAAATTTTGTTTCTAGAGACACTTCGAACTTTGGTTTAAGCCATTTTGAGAAAGTGTTGAATGTGGTTCGTTATTTGCAGAAGAAAATGTTTGATTGGAAATAAAATAATGAAAATTTCTTGTTTTCTTTCGAAGTTTGCCAGAAAATTCAATATTAGTCCAGCATTATTGATGAGCATCATTCTTGTAGATATTTTTTTATGGAAAATTTCGATAGATTTTGCATGGTAAACAAGCTCTGAAATCAAAGTTATTTTCATTGGAAACATTGGGAAATGAAAGAAGCTTTAGTTTGAGTTAACAGTCCATGTAATTTGCTTTCAATTTAGATTAGTTTCCCGTTGAAACCTTTAAAAGGAAAGATCGATGATGAACTTAATTTTGTTTGCTTTTACTGTTAAGTTTGTTCTTGAACGTGAAACGAATCAAATTGTTATTCTCTTCATGCTTTTATTGAATTTTTTCGTTAAACAATTAAAAAACCAACAAATTTTTAAGCTTCTTGTTTGATGTTGGCCAAAAATATCGAACAAATATTTACTTTTTACAAAAATTTCCACAAAAACATCGCTAAAACTTTTCTTTACCTTCTTTCAGCGTCCGGTCAAAAGATGCGTCAAAAGTGGTTGGAAGAAGCGTTTAATCAAGCCGACATCGAGTCTCGAGGAGTGCTAGATGAACCTCAAACAATAAGCTTAATGAAACGTTTAAACAATCATTTATGTTTGGGTCGATTAAAGCAAAAACTCCTCGAATACAACCTAGGAAAAGAAGGCGACGAAAAGGGATTTTTCAATAAACACGCTTTCGTCAACTTATTTTACGAAACAGCAACCCGTCCTGACATTTACTTCATCCTTGTGAGGCAAGTAAAGATCCAAATCATAAGTCAAGAAATGAAAGCAACTTACTTTTGACAAAAAAAGCATTAAATTTGTCAAAAAAGTGAAACAAAACTCTTGAGAAAATTTCGAGAAAAAACTTTATCACTGACTGGGAGGGAAAAATTATTAATGGGAAATGAAGTAACTTCAAGACTTATTCAAATGCACAACTTGAGAGGTTTTAATGATATAAGTTGGAAATGAAACTCGGATTCGAACAGAATTTAAATCTTTTTCTGTTCTCGATCCATTGCTTGAAACAAATCAACCTTCAACATTTTCATTTGCAATCTTTGGCAATCTTTTTGTTCAACATTATTTCATTATAACATTTTGTCCTGATTGAAGCATCAGACAAAGTTATATATTTAGATTGTTATTATTACTTAATATTATTTGTTTATTTTATTGATTCACTATCATCGTCATCATCATTATTATCAACAGTAAGAAGAAAGAAGTGAAATCTGATCAAAGACTGGTTTAGATGTGAGTTGAAGCAAACATTTTACCTCGATTCCTAAATTATTATCGTTATTTGAGAAGATGAAAGAGATTATTCTGAAATTTCTTGATTAACTAAAAGCTTGACTGGATTAAAAGCTTCCCTTTAATGCAATAGCTTTTCCTGATATTCCTGTGAACCATTCCAACAGGATAAACGAAAACAACTGTGAATAGTCAATTGTAACGATAAAAATTCAACCTTTACTATTTTACCTTTTCTTCTTCTTAATGTCAACATTTTTCTTTTCATCCCATTTCATGATAAAAACTGTTATCCAGTTTACTGGCAATGTAAACGTCTTAAGCTTTTCATCGATTTTGTGTCACTTTGAGTTCAATTTAAAATGAAAATTAACAAATTGTTGTCTCTTCAAAAGACCATCAATTTTCACGTCCAACAGCAAAAGATATTTTTCAATATTAAATTTCAATATCTTTTTCCTGTTAGACATTTTGTTTCATCAAATGCACAATTCAATGTTCATTTGGTGGAGATTCAAGAAATTCAAAAAGTCCAAAAAATAATGTTTATTCATTTGGAAAAACTTCATTTCAGATTTTCTGTTCTTCTCAACAGGAAAAATGTTCACTCATTTTACATCGAATTTTCCCTGCAAGGATTTTGAAATTTATCATGTTTCAAGCTTTTCTCTCAGTTGAAACTTATTCTGATAAAAAAAACAAGAAAAATCTATTATAATGACGTTGCTTCAAGGAAAGGGAATGAAAAATTTAACTCGAAATTTCGCTAAAAATTTACTTCTTTTTTTACTCAACTCACCAATTCTGGCAAAGAAAACGGATTTTTTTCTGAATAATGTTGAGAAAAGAGTTGCAATTTAATTGAAATTGTTTCTCAAAAGGCTGAGAAATTCAAATTGATGCAATTTTATCATGAAAATTGAAAAGCAATTGGAATAATAATTCAATTGAAATTATCATTTCTTGCAGCACTTCAGTTCTGTTATCACTTTTCATTTGGAAATCTTGAGAAATTGAGAATTTGCTTTTCCATTGAAAAACTTGATTATTATTCATTTGGTAACTTTTCACGTTTCCATGAATAGCGATGGAATGATGAGCAAAATTGGTATGAATCATCAGCATTTTGACAACATTTCAGATCGACTTTTCTCAACTTTTGTTCAACAATTTTCATTTCCAACTTTTTCGTTTCAATTTTTTCTCGATTTACCTTTTTTCAATCGGAATGTTGAACGCTTTTAATGAACAACTTTTCATCTTCTGAACTTTCTTCTCATGCAATGAGAAATTATTGATGGACGAATAGGTTGCAACATGAATCAACAATTCTGTTTACATTCGTAACGAAATTCAAGAATTTTCCTTTTCTTTCAAATCATTTTATCAATTTCGAGTTTCGTGATTTTCCAAATTTTCTCACATTTCAACCAATTCTTCCATTTAGATCTTGACCTTTTCCACTTTTATTCAAAATCGTTCAATTCTTCAGTGTTTACATGTTCTTCAATTATTGACTCAACTTTGACTCAAGTTCTTCGACTTTGCAGTGAAAAATGAAAAACAAAATTCTATTCAAATTAAACTCTTTTTTTCACCCAATTCGTTTATTCCTGTAAAGAGAAGAAAAAAATTGTTAATTTTCAACTTCATGAAGGTTGAAGTTGAGTAGCAACTTTCAGCTCTTTACATGACAACAAAAAGACAACTTGAAATGTGATCAGAACTGAATTTCAATTTCAAGAGTAGAAAAAATTCTATTTAAAACAATTTTCTGTTTAAAGCTTTGATCTTGTTATCATTTTTGTTATTCAAATACAAGCTTTTATTTTCTCTATTATTTTACTTTATTCAAGTGAAAGGCAGAGTAAACTTGAAACGGATTTATCATGAAAATTATAATTTCTTCTTCTTCTTTCTTCTAAATCAATTCTCAATGAATGGAGCAACTTTTTTTTCTCATCATTCAACATTGCTTCATTGAATAATCCATTGTAAGGTTTTATCGATTGGAATGTTTTTTGTGTCCAAAAAAAACGTTGAGAATGAAAATTAAATGAACTTGAAAATGAATCTAATCATTGGATTGTTTGTTGAAACTAATAATAATAAACGAAACCATTTATTTGAGCATAAAATGAATATGATCATAAATCATTGTAATAACCAGTTTAGATTAGAAATGCTTGCCTTGTTTCGTTATCAACATTTTCTTAAAATTATTTTATTAACTTCGCTCATAATCATGGTAATAAAAGGTGGTTAAACCATGAATTAGAATAATGAATTGCATGAAATATAAATGTAAAACTACGAAGCCAAGCCCAAGATTTCAATTTATCACAATCAACTTTCCATTATCAAATTAAGTTGTTAACTAAATGGCCAACTTCGTCAAGATTGAATGAAACATCGAATCGGGTTAATCTTCGAATTCTGCATTTCGAGTTTCGACCTTTCATTTCAAGATAATTTCAGCTTTCCAAAGGCACAGAATATTCTGTTTTCTAGAAACGAAATTCCAACGATTTCCATTTTTTCGAAAAATGACCAAAATCATTGTTCCGAGAACTCGATTTTTGGAATGCCGATGAAAATTCGAAACATTGAAAATTCCAACAGAATATTTAGAAATGAGTTTCGTTTCAAGCAATTTTCATTTCTTTAAAAAGCCGCTGAAAATTTACAGAAATTCTGCAAATTTTTTGTTCTAAGAATCTTTGATGAATGTAAATGTGTTTCTGAATTTTCATGAAAATTCGAAAAATGGAAAAATTCCAATCTTTTGATTGTTTCTGTAAATTAGATTTTATCTTTAGTTGATTTTTCGAGTTTACGGATTGGAAGGAAATGTTCAGTTGAAAAGTAAAGTTGAACGAGTGATAACAATTTCATGATAACAAGACATGATCATTAATCTGAAACGGCTAACTTTAATTAAGCAGTTCGATTCTACTCGACTTTATCATGATTAATCTTTCAGATGCATCTTGCTCATGAAGCCAGTCAACTGGATGAACAAAGATTATCCATTGAACAGTTTCTCTTTTGGTTGAAACTGTTGACCAGCAAATTCATTACTTTTATTGTTAATTACAATTAATTAGCAAACTTTTTCTTCTCTCGACTTTCAATTTCCAACTGAACTGAACTTGAAATGAAAACTCATTAGCGTTTTATTTTCTCTAAAAACACTTCAACTCCACTCTCGATTCAATCTAAAGGTTGATTCATTTGAAAACGACGGCAACAGTGAAAAACATTCAGATAACTCTGGAGATGAAACATTGATGAAAAGTATTCACGAGACTTCATGAAACCCAGAGAATGAGAATTTTTTTCTTACACCAAATTTTGTTCATCTTTTATTGATTAATGTAAAGTTGAACAAGGAAGAAGAGAAAAAAAGTTGAGAATATTTTTGTTGAAGAAAAGAAGAACGAAAAAGTAAACTGTAAAATAATGATTATAATATTATTAGACTTGAATGATGGCGAAAAGTTGAGTTTCAGTTAACAATAAACAAGGAAATATGTTGAGATGATTTAGAATTGAATAAAAAGGAAAATGAAAGTTTGAAATTTGATAAAGAAATGGCAAAATTCTTGAAAAGAAAAATGGAAACAAAAACTTTCAACAGATAATTAAATAAATTGATGAAAATATTCAGAAAACTGTAAACAGATTGTTTCAAATTGCAAAGGAAAAAAAGACTTTTTTCCAACGAAACACTGGGAGTGAAAAATATTAATATTCACTCCGAACAGTTGATAAACGGATTTCCTTAATTTTCCTCATTATTCACATGTTGCATCTAATTTGGCCGTTAATTGTAAATGCACAATTGACTCATTTGACAATCACAAACGGTTAAAAGTTTAAGTTGACAAGTAAATCATTTTGAATGTAAAAGTAAATGAAAAAGTGTTTCACTGTTTTTCCTCTTCATGTGCCTCTAATGATTCAATTTGTGGTCTCATTAAAATATAACGATTAACGTAATTTGGTGAATTTTGCTTTTCTCTTCTTCTTCTTATCATGCTTTTTACCTGTTAACAGATATTGTGGCAAAGATTACATGACTTTGGAGGATTTACAGCTTTTCTTGGAGGGTGAACAAGGAGTTTGTGGGATAACTTTGGACGAATGTGAACAATTAATTGAAAGATATGAACCCTGTGAAGATTCGAGGAGAAACAAGCAACTGTTGATTGATGGTTTTACCCAGCTTCTGGTTTCACCTGAATCAGATTTAATTAATCCAGCTCATAATTTAATCTGGCAAGACATGTCTCAACCTTTATCACATTATTTCATAGCAACATCTCATAATACGTAAGTTTAGTCTTTCAAGCAACAAAAAAATGCCATTTTCTCTTCTTCTTTTCACATTATTTTAATTATGATTGTTGATCAAATTACCCAAAAGGTTCAACGTTTAATGGTTATTGATACTCTTCTGCCTTTGTCTACTTGTTTAATCAACGACATTAACTTCAGTTGAAACTTCATTCCAATTTTCATTCCAATTTTTACTCTGACAAGCCATCATTTCATGAGCCTTTTTTCAAGTTGACCATTGAAGGGAGAATCGCCTCAAGTTATATTTCAAGTGCTCTTGGGAGCTTTAAAGTTTGTTTTGCTTCACCATTGAACCAGTGGCGAGTCAACCTCACCGGGTCAAAAGAGCAAATTAACTTCAAGATTGGTCAAGTTATGAAATTATATTAACAAGTTTCACAATTCAATTCTGTTGAGCATTGAGTGAAACAATTTGATAAAATTTAAAATTTAAATCAATAATAGCAGTTAGCAGGTCTAAACCAAAGAGCATTTTGGGTAGAACAATATTTTTTAAGATTTTCAATTTTTACATTTTGAAACAATTTTGAGTGGATTTTCAGATTTTTTCATTTTCTTTTATTTCTAACTCTAATGTTCAGCACTTTTAGGTCCTTACAATAGTTTATCAAAATGCTTTCTAATCTCATTTCAATGCACTTCTTTCATTTGTTTTAGCTTTTAAGCTGAAAGTTAAGATTTTTTAACTTCCATCCAAAAGCATATCTTTAGAGTCTTTTGCATTCTGGTTTCAATCTTGAGGCTCTTTCAAACTTGAAAGTCAATCTCATTGGAATGGTTATTGAATTTATGCTTCAATTTGAACCTTTGATTGACTAGACAAACTTTTCTGGTTCACATTTATTTTGAGTAGTTTCTGGTTTTCTTTGTTCTTTAACTTTTTCCTCAACTTCAATGTTTTGTTTGCATTCGTTGGACCACAAAATTAGCAAAGTTTTTGACTATTTATTTTCAAATGATCTCCCAATCTCCACTTTTCCTTGTTTTACATTCATTGATAAATCTTGTTTGAATCCTTAAAATCTGAAGTTGATCGGATAATCCGATAAAAAAGATTATCAATTGATTTTATTTTCACTTTTTTCAATCAGTTGATGAAAAATCGGAATCGACTTTGAAGTAAATCATTTAGCAATTTTAATAGATCAACTTGAACTATTCTGCTTGAATCCGACCTTTGCACAGAAAGGTTGAACTGAGTTTTCAAATCATTTCAAGTTTTCAATTTGTTTGTATTAATATCACTAAACAGATGAAAGAATGTGATGATTCAAAAGCTACTCTTGAAATGCTCTTTGAAATGGAAACTTTAAAAAATTCCTTTTCTTTCAAATACCAACTTCTAGATACCTTTTGGAAGATCAATTGAAAGGTCCATCTTCAACTGAAGGTTATCGCAAGACTCTTCTCCAAGGTGCTCGATGCGTCAAGATCGATACATGGGATTCGCCATCAGGTCCAGTTGTCTTTCATGGAAACACTTTAACAACTAAAGTTCCCCTTCAAGATATTCTTGAAACCATCAATGAATATGCCTTTGTCCAATCACCGTAAGTAATCAAAATGAAACAATTTAGTAAAATTATTTTCCAACAAAATGTTACAAATAAATGATTGTCAGTAAACAGTAAACAAAATAAACCTCTAATCAATTGCTAACCAGAATCGAGTGACAATATTAGTCAAAAAAATAAGCTAAAAAAGGAAGCAAAAAAGGTTGTAAAAATATTATCATCTTTGATCATCTTTGACTGTTTCTCAATCAACTCTGAATTTGCCATTTCATGAGCAAATCTCAAAGGAAACATTTCACTTTTCCTTCTCTTTTTTTACTACTTTACCCAATCTAAACCAGATTTCCCATTTCATCTTTTTTCTGACCAACTTTGAAACTCTCATTTTTCACTTTCATCCCTTTCAATCCTCGGTCTTGTTTTTATCCCCAAATAATATCCAATCCTAAGTCAAAGTCCCATGCGAAATGTTTTCACTTGTTCATCACTCATTTTCAATCAATCCTTTGTTACTCTAATCCAACTGATGTGTCGCCACTCTTCATCATTATCATCATCTTCTTCCATTCTTCCAACTACTCAACTAACTTCCTTCTAATGTCACTCCTTTTCATCCATTTGTTTCCTCTCAATGAATTCCCGTTTCCTTTACTCGACTTGCTTCCCAATTCATTTCGCCATCATTTTTAACCCAACTTCATTATCATTGTCTATCTGAAACAAAAGAGGCAAAGATATGTAAATGAATGTTACCAGCAAAATGGCATTTTATTTTTTACCTTTTGTAGTTGACAGAATCAAGTTGATGCTTCAAGTTTTCACCTTTTTTGCTCATTCAACTCTCCTCAGTATTTATCATTACAGCGAATCGATCAGATGTTTAATTGTTTCAATTTTGACTTTGATTTTCCAACAATTACGGTTATTTACTTTGAATCCATCTGACATTTCTTTCCAGATATCCAGTTGTACTTCATCTTGAGAATCATTGTAGTCTAGAGAAACAAAAGGAAATTTCGAATCAATTAATTACAATATTTGCTGATAAGTTATTCATTCCTGGTAAAACAATTGTTCATCCTGTTCACAATAACAATAATTCATCGTCTTCACCAAATCAAGATCAATCATCGTCATCATCATTTTGCTCATCCATTAAACAAACCATGCAATCAACGGTAGTCTCATCGTGTGAAGAAAGTATTAATGATAATCAAAGTTATCATTCAAAATCATCAACAACGACAAGTCCAACAGTAAAGTCAAACCGGTCAACCTTATTATCACCAGAAGCTCTTAAATATAAAATAATCATCAAGGTAATTCAATCCGATTAACATGCATTTTTTATCCAACTTGCCAATGTATTTTTGGGTTTACTTGGTAATATCCAAACCAGATAAATGGTTTATATTTAGACTCGATTTTTAATCGGTTTCATGGTAAAATTTTTTCATTTACATTTTTCATGTTTACATTTCAACATTGAAAATGGTTGGAAAAATTTTGTTTGACTTTAAATTATCATTGAGTATCGATTAAATTGTCATCCTTAAGCTTGCCAACAAATGATATATTAAATGCAGTTAAAGTAAAAATAAGGTGTAAAGTAAATTATCTTTGACCTTTTTTTTCACTCAATTCAGCAGTAACTCAGGTTTTGTTCAAGGTTTAGCATTTTCAAAAATAAAGACAACAGGCAAAAGATCAATGGTATGAATCGATAACTTGCAAGTGACCTTTACATATGATAATCTGGACCAATTCAGTAAAACTCTGTGTTTCTCATGTTTCTTGGGGAAACCATTTTAGATGATCATTTCATTATGTTATTTAATTTAATTATTACTAGGCATTACTTCATTATGATTCACAGAATGGTTATCATAATAGTAAAAATGGAAGATGAGAGATTATTCTTGAGGCTAATTTAACCTTTTTTTTGTTGTGAACCTTTTTTTCATCTTCATTTACTTCTTTACTGATTCTGTATTTCACGTTTTCTTTCTTGTTCCAGGGTAAAAAGTTGTCTCCTTCAGATGATGAGGTTGGTGAAGTAAGTGATGAGGATGAAGCAATGGAAACACGTTTCTCATCAACAAATAATAATAGTAGTAATAACAATAACCATAATAATAATCACAAGATACCATTATGTAAAGAGCTTTCTGATCTTATCTACTTAAAGAGATTTCGCTGCAACGATTTTGGTTATGTTTTAAAAAATCGTAAGTAAATATTGACTGTTGAGTGACTTGAGCTGACGACTTAGCCAATTATAAAATAGAGGGATTACAAGTTTATCTTTGATTGACATTCCTTGTAATTGATGATTTTTCTTTTGCTTTTGCGTTTGCCTCATTCCTTGAATTTTGCAGAAAAGTTGGATCAAGTGTGTTACCTTGATGAAGCCTTTGCATCCAAATTAGCATTAGCCTCACCTGAAGATTTTGCTCACCATAATAAAAATTATTTAACACAAGTGGCTCCAGATCGAGGAAGAATTGATTCATCCAACATTAATCCACTTGATTTTTGGAACTGCGGATCACAAATGGTTGCTATGAATTACCAGTCATCGGGACAAATGATGGACTTGTATAGAGGTTGGTTCAATCAGAATGGTAGTTCGGGTTATGTCTTGAAGCCAGCTTTTCTTCGGGAAAGATTTTGCCTTTTTAATGCTCGACGAAAAGATTCCCTTCCAGGCATTGATCCTCTCTGTTTACGGGTTAAAATTATATCAGGTCAACAGCTTCCCCGACCTAAAGGGGCTTCCTTCAAAGCTGTAGCTATTGATCCTTATGTAACAGTCCAGATTCTTGGGGTTCCTGCTGACAATGCTGAAACGAGAACACGAACCATATCAAATGAGGCCAATAATCCGATATTTGATGAATCCTTTGAATTTACCATTTCAGTTCCCGAACTTGCTCTACTTCGTTTAGTTGTTCTCGACGATGATTACATAAATGATGATTTTATTGGCCAAGCAACCATTCCCATCGAGTGTGTTCAACCAGGTTACCGTCATGTTCGTTTAACTGCCTTCAACGGTGAATTGATTCCAGAAGCTGTCCTCTTTGTTCACCTATCAATGACACATAGATATGGTTCAAAGCAAAAGTTAAGACGGAAACGTTCATGGGGAAGTAAACAGTCAAATGATTTACGTACCATTGGTATTAAACAGCCAGACGAGGCATTCAAAAATGTATCCAATCTTCTTTATCAATCAACTCAATTGAGAAAAGATGTTGAAAAGTCAATGATTGATTTGTGTGATGAATGTAATCTCAATGAGAATGCAAATGTAGCTCAATGTCTACGAATTTTGACACTTCGCCTCGCCTCATGTTCCTCAGTAACTAGCTTCAATATCAATACTTCAGATGATGGTGTAAGTAAACTTAAAAAACACTTTATAAAAATAACTATTCACACCAAGGTTCAATGATTTATTCATCAGATGATTAACAGTTGCAAGTTGCAAAATTATGTTACGCCATCTAGTAAAACGGTTTAGAAATTGTTAATTTTAAGTTGTAACTTGTGAATAATTTTATCGTAGTTTCTATTCAATTTTAATCATGACATTTTATTTCAACTTTTATTGTAGATACCAATCATCAAAATTGGAGGTGAAATGACCATGAAATTACAAAAATCCATTTCAGCCTTGGATAAAGCTCTGGCTGAGTTTACTTCCATTCCACAAAATGCTTCACTTCTTCTTGACATGGTAATTAAATTGTCTATTATCTTCCAATCTAGATTAGTAATTTATGTTAATGTTAAATAATTCATGAATTGGTCATTCTCGACCTGGAAAGGTTTATTCGACTTAATATTTCTGACGTTCACCCTGTAAATAACAATCTTAATTTAAATGTTAATCAGACTATTATTGCGAGAAAGAATAGCAATAAGCTTTATAGTTGAAAAAAGCCTTTGAATGTGATAAAGTAAAAAGCATAAAAGGTCAAGACATCAAGAGAAATATAAAAAACAGGTAAAAGAGGTAAACGATCGGCAAATGAGATTTAACTTAATTAACTATTAATGCAACTGATGATTTGGATACATGAACTTTATATTAAGTAAAGATAAAAGTAACAATATTCTGCTGATTCCTCGCAAGTCAAAACACCGTTGGATCAGCTGTTCATGAATTTGTTAATGTTAAAAAAGGTTTCAAGCAATTGTTAAATATTCAATTAATATTAAATTAGGTGTGAAATCTCATTCTCCAGTCATCTAATACTCGATTAATTTCTGTTTTTTATGTTAAGATTATTCTTTTCTCGTGAAATTATCCAAGTAATCTAAATGGAGTATCGTTTTTGCTGTTTAATAGCTAATTTTCCCTTTCTATTTCATTTTTAGCTTGGTGAACAACATGATGTTATAGTTCGACTTGGACTTGAGCTCAACCAATTGAGCATTTCGGCTGGTATCAAAGGAAGAAAAGCAGACAAAGCGGTTGAAAATTTCATGTGGAACTTGAGTCTTATTAAAACTGAGATTGACATTTTACGAGCTGTTAAAGATGATTCGGAATGCGCTTTAAAACAGGTATGAAAATTTAAAGCTGTCTATTGAAATATCTTGATAGCTTTACTATACTTTCATGAAACAATAATTTGTTCAATTGCTTTTACTTATCTTGACTCTTTTCTTATTTACTCACATAGGTAACTCGCTTGAGTTCAGCTTTGCAACGAGTATTTGCTCGGGAAAGAGAGGCGGCAAACAGGATAAATCAACATCAACAAATATTGGCTTCTTCAGTTGCTCAATCAACAACCCAAACAACAACAATAACTACGACAACATTGGACATGAAACCACCAGGACCACCGGTAACACCAACCTCACCCGGAGATGCTCGTCTTCGCAGTATCCTTAAGAAACCAAGTTCATCACCTACAACTCCAATCCCACCCAATTTAGATCCTCTTGATGAGAGGTATGCTTATTTCCAAGTTGGTGATAAATCACCTCCACCAGTCACCATCACAACTGCCGAGGAGTCTAGTAGTTGATTTTTCATTTTCACCCAATATTTTGTCTCATTTCATTCTGACTGTGTTTCAATTCATTCCCATTATTTTATTTAACTTGTTCACTTCAACCACCATCATCATCGATCCATTCAACATTAAGATGAACCTTTTTTTCCTCATATTTTTCATTACATATAATTCTGACCGTTTTTTCGCCTAAAATCAATCATAAATTGAATTATATTAATATTATTAATAATTATATTGTTATTGTTGACAAAGAAAATTTTGTAGTTAATTCTATCTGACAAAGCGTTCCTATTCAAAGATGATTGATTATGATTCTCTGTTGCTTTTTTCTTTGACCTTTTTGCCTGGCCAAATAAAAAGATGTTTTAAACGTTTTATTTAAACTGAAACAACCAATAAAAGAATGAAACATTTTGACCAAATTATATTGATTAATAAATACATTTTATCTCACAAATCATTTTCAAGTTTATAAATCACAATAAACATTGAATCTTTTTGAATGTACGTTCAATTGTAACATAAAATTTATTCTGAGCGTCTAATTAAAATTGATCAATATTCAACAATAAAAAAAATAGAAAACCTGAAAAGCACATTAGATTAGGTTTGCAAACAACGAACAATAGATTGATGAATTATCAGCCAAAGTAAACCTAAAATAAAACAAAGAAATTATTAAATACGATTCGTTCTGTAGACTAGTTTTGGGGCCAAGGGCGATGTTGAACAAGTACAAATTGATTCAGGACAGTTGTCACGGGCACAATTAGCAACACACCATTCATCGAACCGAGATTCGTGACCCTTACATGTTTTAATTAGTGGAGCACTGGTTGTAGTAGTTGATGGTGATGCAGTTGATTTGTCATTTGTTACTTTGTCATCAATTTCATTAGAAAAGGTTCCATTCTCGTTTGATGGCTGTCCAGCAAAATCAGCATACTCATTGAAAATTTTGGTGAATTCATATTCAGACTGGGCAATTGAACTGCACGATGGTGAAATACCTCCACCTGGACATTTACCATTATCACGTCCAACAGACCAAAAGCCGAGATATCCAAGTCCAGTTTTTTTAGCATAGTCGATTAATGATCGAGCATGTTTAACCTCAAAGATTTTTCCATTAAAATTGCGACCAATCATTGGTGTAGCTCCTAACATTGACCTTAAAGTTGATGTAGATTTTTCAGGCCAAATGGATGCCATTTGTTTCAATGTTGATTCCAATGCACTAATCACAGCTTCACCCCAATCAGATCGAGATGTACCAAACTCCATTGTCATTGGGTTAACAATGTCAACCCTTAAACCAACCGAGGCAGCTGCTTTCAACAAATTTACACCCAATTCAGGAGTTAAACCATAATCATCGCCTTGAACCATTAAAGTTAACCGAACAGTCGTTTCAGGTCTAGCATTTTGTACATTTTTCAATGATTTAACCAGCACATTCAATGGAACAGCAGCTTCAATGTCAATATCTAAATGGTTTGTTTTCACGGTATCCAGAATTTTAAAATACGCACCAGTCAGAGCAGCTTCAGTGGTACAAATACTTTCTAGATATGGTCCAAGAGCACCTCCAGTGGCTACAATAACCTGTCCACCCATTGATTGAAACTCACGAATGTTGTTGATTATCTTTGATTCATTAAGAGGTAATTCACCTCCCCACATAGGCTCACAGCCAGAAGTACCACCAACAGCAAAGGCTACGGTGAAAGCTTTTGATCCAGTGGCTGATGACAATTCCGAGAGACTTGGTCCAGACATCAAAATATCGACATAAGGAGCTACTCGAGGACCTATCAAGAAAAAAAATGAACCAAAAGAATACATATTTGAAAAAAACCGTTAAAAATAGCTACTAATGAGTAACTTACCTCGGCCATCTGTTGGTCTCAACACTTGTAGCACCAAAATAAATACAGTAAATAAAATGTTGACTGGAGCCATTTTAATGAAAGAATCTTTGGGTATCTTTTAAGATCAACTGACTCCGGCAAATTGTAATTTGACAGACAAATTAAATGAGAAAGTCAATTTATACAACAGCGAAAAACAAGAAACCATAAAAGAAGGAGAAGAAGAAGAAGAAGAGAATTTTCACCGTTAATAGTTAATTAAATATTAATAATAAGGGTGAATTGTTAACAGGAAATATTACACTCATTTCATGATTATTTATCGTTCTGGCAGGTCGGGGCAAAATATTCTGAATCATGATTACCCTTGGAATAAACAATTATAAATAAAAAATTCAACTTGCTTTTGTAATGATAAACACACAATATGTAATATGGAAAGAAAACAAAAGATGTAAGGTCTTTTGCTTTCTTTATGGCTATCAACCTTTCCCGCTTTCCCTATGCTTTTATTGTCAACGTAACAATTAGTTTATTGTAATTTATATTTTTATTAAATACATAAACATCATAAACACCATAATTAAACAAGCTTCATCAACCATTATGTAAGTTCATCTAAAAGTTACCAGGAACTATACCAAGAATAATTAAAATTAGATAAACCACAGTGTTGAATCAACGCTGTTGATTCAAGATGAATGTAACCTTTGGTAGTTGATTGTTCAAATTGTTTGTTGTAAAATATGATCATCAGTTCCTCAGAAACAAATCATATTAAATTCATTCCTAATAAAGTGTTTAATCAGTTTCTAGGTTAGCAATCAAGTTATGAATCTTATAAGATTTTAACTTGAAAGTAAGCCTTATTTTCATCCCATTTGAATATCTTGTCTGATTTTCATGAAGTCAAATGATAAAAGTCAGGTATTAATATGTATTCTGATTATGAATTTGCTGAATCTTTAACAGAGCTCAGATTTTGTTCAGAGTAAACAGAGATTGTCAGTAATCTTTGCAAGATTAATTGATTGGTTTTGAGTGGTTAACTTATATCTTAATCAATGTTATCTTCGCAAGATTCAAAAAATGCCACTTTAAAAGGGATACATTCATTCATCTTAACCTATTTGATTAAGTCTTGGCTCAATGACAATTTAACAAAAACAGGTAACAGTTTGAATAGAAGGTAACCAAATCAGACAATGGTCCAGCTCACAATTAAAGATTTCATTGTTAAAGATATTCGCTTTCCAACTTCTCTAGAGAAACATGGCAGTGATGCTATGGTGAGTTGTTTTGTATTATATGATTAAAATAACGATAAAATTGGTGGAAAGATTTGAATGTAAGTTAATTTAAATGTGATTCAAATTTTTAAAGCATCCTGATGGTGACTATTCATGTGCTTATGTGATATTAAACACTGAAGATCCAAAACTGACTGGACATGGACTTACATTTACAATCGGCAAAGGAACTGAAGTCGGTATGTATTGACTTATTTCAATTGTCAAGCAAATGATTTATGTTTTGTTGAATCCTAATCTAGTTGTAAAAGCCGTTGAAAGCTTGATGGATTTGGTTATTGGTGTTAAAGTGAATGATATAATCAATGATTTTGCCAGTTTTTGGAGAAAGTTATCAAGTCATAGTCAAATGAGATGGATAGGACCAGAAAAAGGTGTTATTCATCTTGCTCTAGCCGCTGTGATCAATGCACTTTGGGATCTTTGGGCTAAAATGGAGGGTAAACCATTGTGGAAACTAATTGTTGACATGGAACCAGAAAAACTTGTCTCTACCATTGATTTCAGATACATGTTAGTTGTAAAATGATTCAAACTGATAAGCAAGTACAATTAATTCATATTTTCTTCTTCTTCTTGTAGATCAGATGTTCTCACCAAGGAAGAAGCAATTGAAATGTTGAAGAGTAAACGATCAACAGTTAAAGATAGAGGTAAGTTGCTTGAGATGTAAATTAATTGTAGATTAATTGGAAATATCATTTTTAGAGAAGGAAATAATTGATAAAGGTTATCCGGCTTACACTACAAGCATTGGATGGATTGGTTACGATGATGAGACACGCAGAGGATTATGTAGAGATGCCTTAAAACAAGGATATAAAAGTTTTAAGGCTAAGGTTGGTGATAGTATTGAAAATGATAAACACCGATTAACATTGATTCGAGAAGAGATTGGTTATGAAAACAAATTAATGGTTGATGCTAATCAAGTGTGGGAAGTTAATGAAGCAATTGATTGGATGAAACAATTAGCAAACTTTAACCTCTTATGGATTGAAGAGCCAACCAGTCCTGATGATGTTGTTGGTCATGCAAGTGTTGCAAAGGTAAATCTTTCAATCAATAAAATAAGAAACTTGCTAATCAACTGTTTTTTTACCACAAAACCCACCAATAGGCTTTGAAACCTTTAGATATTGGTGTTGCGACTGGTGAACAATGCCACAATCGGGTTATATTTAAACAATTACTTCAATTGGGCGCCATTTCTTTCTGTCAACTTGACTCTTGTAGATTGGGTGGACTAAATGAGGTTATGGCTGTAGCTTTAATGGCTGCCAAATTTAATAGTAAGTTCAAATAAGTATTCATTGCTATTCATTGATATTTTTAGTTTTAGCACTGAAAATTATTCACAAGTGTTTTCATTGTTTAAAATTGTTTTTGGTCCAAAATCTCATTGTTGTGCGATTCAAGTTTAAATTGAATTTTTGATCGCAAACTTAGGGTAGACAAGAGAAATATGTCTTCTAGATTCTATAATTTTAACGGAGCAATATGACAATAGTTGAGATAGATTCATAATTCAATTCAATTCGAATAACTTTTTTGTTTTTTAAAAACAGTTCCAGTCTGTCCTCATGCTGGTGGAGTCGGTTTATGTGAATATGTTCGCCACATTTGTTTCTGGGATTACATTTCTGTCAGCGGTAGCTTCGAGAATCGAATGACTGAATATGTTGATCACTTGCATGAACATTTTGAAGATCCAGCTAAATGTAAAGATGGGCGTTATGTTGTTCCGAAGGTTCCGGGTTATCTTGTTGGCATGAAGCCAGAATCAATGAGAAAATATCAATTCCCTGATGGTGAATACTGGCAAAGTCGGAGAAAGTAATACCAGTAAGACAATATCATTAAGATAACGATAAACTGGAAAAATATGCTTGTTTTTATCAAATATTAATATTTAAGATAATTTTAAATCAAACGACTTTTGATTGCTTATTCAGATTGTTCAATAAACTTATAATTGCATTAATGACAGTTTTCTTTTGGGTATTATAAATATAAAAATGATTATTTTTTGAATAAGTCCTGAATATTACATCACTATTTTACAATCAATGAAAAATCATCAATTGATTTGATAATTTTTGATAATTCACCGTTCAATTCTTCAATTTTTTGGCGTCTAGTTTCTTGAACTTCTTTAGGTACTTTCTCCAGGAAATTTGGATCCGACATGGACGCAGTCAATTCTTTTAACATTTTTTCTCGCTGTTCTTTCTTAGACTTCAGCGATTCAATCTCTTTATCAATATCGATTATTCCCTTTAATCCTAAGTATGCCTGACACGAATCGCTGATAGGAATAGGAACTCCTTCTGGGGGAATTGCGCCAGCTTGTAGCATTTCCAAACAAGAAGAATGAGTCAAACACTTTGGAAAAATGAGAAAAAAACATTAAAGGATTAGTTAAAGAATTGATCAATTTACTGATCTGACTGTTAACAGTTTAAATACTAACCTTAATTGGATCAATGAATGACAGTAATCGATTTTGAGTTTCTTGAGAATCACATAAAACAAAGAGAGGAACTTCTTTTTTCTCTACTCCATAATTAGCTTTTCTTGATCGAATTTTATGGACAAAATCATACATAAAGGAAAATTCAGTTTCCAGTTGAGGATCATTTTGCCAACTAAACTCTTCAACTTCTGGATAAGGTGTTATACAAAGACTCGGTGGGTCAGTTGATGGACATCGTCTCGGTAATCTTTTGTGTAAATCTTCAGTCAAATATGGCATAAATGGATGCAATAGTCTCAAACCAATATCACAAGCAGTGTAAAGAGTTTGACGAATAATCTCTTTGGTTTCTTCATTGTCTCCACGCATAAAAGGCTTTATGCATTCGAGATATATGTCACAAATTTCATAAACCCAAAGTCGATGGCAAGCACTTGTAATTGAATGGAAATCATAATCCTCAAAACCTTTATTAGCAATTTCAGTAGCCGTTCGAAGACGACTCAAAAGCCATAAATCAAGACGAGTTTCTCGACCAGTTATATTATGTTTTGAGTTGGGTTTGAAATCAGGACCAAGTGTCATTAAACTAAATTTAACAGCGTTCCAAAGTTTATTACAAAACGATCGATATCCTTCAACACGTTTTATATCTAAATTGATGTCCCGACCTTGTCCCAAGTAATCGCAAAGGGTGAACCTTAAGGCATCAGTTCCGCAAGGAGGAATACCTTCAGGGAAATCTATTCTCTGGGAAGCTTTGGCCTTTTCTATTTCGGCAGGAGCCAAATTGGATTCATCGAGCATTTTCTGTAGCTCGGCAAGTGTTTTACCTCTAATCACGTCAACTGGATCAATTATATTTCCAAGAGATTTGCTCATTTTTCTTCCATGAGCATCACGAACCATTGAATGGAGGAAAACTTTGGTAAATGGTAACTTGTTACAAAATTTCATTCCAAGCATAACCATTCGAGCAACCCAAAAGAATATGATATCTTGTCCTGTTTCAAGTAAATCACCGGGATAGAAAGCATCAAGATCCTTGGTTTTTTCTGGCCATCCAAAAATTGCAAAAGGAAATTGTCCAGAGCTGAACCAAGTATCTAAGACATCTTCGTCTTGTTCTAGATTAATTTTATCTTTAGGTACTGAATATTTAACAGATGCTTTGGTCATAGCTTCTTCTAAATTACGTCCAGAAACCCAATTATCTGAGGGATCAATATTGACATTAGGATCTGAACAGGAAACTTTATAAGCCGGAATACGATGACCCCACCAAATTTGACGAGAAATACACCAATCTTGAATATTTTCTAACCATTGGAACCAGATTTTATTGTGACTTTCAGGTATCAATGTCAATTCACCAGTTTTAACGGCTTCAACAGCTTTGTTTGCCATTTCTTTACAATCAACAAACCATTGAGCCTTAATTTTGGGTTCAATTATATCTTTCGATCGAGAACAAACTGGTACAACCATTGGGTTAGGTTTAGATCCATGGTACAGCCCTAAAGCATCCAAATCTTTTCCTATTTCTTTCCGAGCATGGAATCTTTTCATTCCAGAGTATTTTCCGAAACCGGCAGCTATACTTCCATCATCATTGAGAATGTCTATGAAAGGTAAATTGTGACGTTTACCTACTTCATAATCAGTATGATCATGAGCTGGAGTAATTTTGACAGCCCCGGTACCAAACTCCATTTCAACAAAATCATCACAAATAATGGGTATTTTCCTTTCTAATAGAGGATGAGTTACATATTTACCATGAAGATGTTTATATCGAGCATCTTCTGGATGAACAGCAACAGCAGTATCTCCAAGCATAGTTTCAATACGAGTGGTTGAAACAATTATCTTTTCATCAGAATCTTCAACAGGGTAAGCAAACAGTTCCAAAATACCGAATTCAACAGTTTCATTGCCATAGCCTGGAACACGGAAAGGTGTAGGTCCTTTTACTTCTATCTTGTCTACTTCAATATCAGATATAGCCGAATTCAAGGTACAACACCAATTAATTAATCTTTTGGCACGATAAATTAAACCTTCCTCATGTAATCGAACAAAAGCTTCCGTTATAGCGGTACACATCTTTGGGTCCATGGTGAAAGTAGCTCGATCCCAGTCAACGGAGCAGCCAAGAGCCTCAAACTGCTCATAAATACGATTTCCTTTCTCATTTTTCCATTTCCATACTTCTTCAATAAATTTATCTCTTCCCAAATCATGTCGAGTTAATCCTTGTTCTCGTTGTAGCCTTTTCTCAACTACAGTCTGAGTTGCTATTCCAGCGTGATCGCACCCAGGAGCCCATAAAGTAACCTTTCCTTTCATTCTATTCCATCTTGTGATAGCATCTTGAATTGCACACGTTAATGCATGGCCAAGATGAAGTGATCCAGTAACATTAGGTGGCGGAATAACCATAACAAATTTACCTTTACCATTGTCTTTGGTAATATCACCTGTCAAGAAAAATATAAAAAAGTAAATAAATTTGTCTATAATTTATACTCGGCTGATACTAATTAATTATAACAGAGCTAATGAGGCAGTGAGATTATGATAAATTACATCATTTTATGAGCGTGTAACATATTAAGCTGATGAAATGCTTAAAGACAAAGCTAAAGGCAGCTTAAAGATCTAAAGATTTTGAGTGTTTACAATTATGACTTCAAGCTAGTTTTGAATATTTTAGCCATTATAAAATGGTTTAATTTAGGAATTGGAAAACACGAACCTTGAGGAGCATTTATTTCAGGCTTAAAGAAACCAGACTTTTTCCACCAAGAGTACCAAGCAGCTTCAACATATTCAGGTGAATAGGCTGAAGGCATAGGTGTACTTAAATCTTTTTCATCACCTTCTTTAGTATTTCCCTCGTATATGATCACCTCTTTAACTTTTTTCTTATCATCTTTAGCTTTATCTTTGACCGGTCCTTCTTTCTTGGCTTGATTCAATTTGTCTTGTTTTAATTTGAATTTGGCTTCCTTTTCAGCTTTTTTAGCTGCCTTTTCAGCTTCCTTCTTCTTTTTCTTGTCATCTTTGACAATTTCAACTTTAACTTGATCACCTTCTGGTTTAACTTCACTCATGATGATTCACTTAAAATAATAACTTATAATCACCGTTAATTAGGAATTGTATCACAAATTGATTAAAAAACTAGAAGAAATGAGGGAAATGATAGAGATGATAACGTAAAATGTAAGAATGAAAACGTGTTCAACTGATATCAACAACAGCTTACCCTGCGGACCCGGTTTATTTCTCCGCCTTATAAACTCTTGCTTCTGATAAAATTGGTTTTCATCTTGATACGTTTTTAATTGTATTTCATTCCTTATTTCATGTTTCAATATCATTTGATTCATTTATCGCGAATACTCTAAATTTAACCAATCAATCAAACATCTTAAATAGGTTAATGGTTCCATCATTTACCAAAAAATCGATTTTCAATCAAATAAATTTTACTTTGAATGGATGAATTGAATCAGGTTTGATTTATTAATGAAATAAAATTTTGATATGTTTAAGAGATAAATGAAAAGCTTGAGAAATGACTTTGCCTATTTGATCTGCCTTGATACTTGCTTGAATTTTGCATTCACAAAAAATAATTACAATCTGTATTTGATAAGCCTACAATCGATTTGAATATCATGAACTGAACCAGTTTAGAAAAACTTTCTTTAAAATTTCAGATTTGATAAAAATGATAAGATGAAATTGATATGTTTGAAGCTTTAAATCATTTTAGTAAATTGTTTAAACAATAATAATGCTATTGTAGCTAAAAACCGAATGAATTGGCAAACCAAGTCAAATATTTTGTCCAGTTAAAGAAACACGATTCAAATAAATCAATTCTGACAAGATGGAAGGATATTTTTATTGTTACTAACAAGTTAAAAGACCTGTCGATCAGGAACATGAGAAACTGAATTTTAAGTATTTACAATGAACTTGAAAATAGAAATGCGTTTTGAATTAAATGAGACAAAACTAATCACTTTCATCATCACTACCGAAAATTTCTGCCTCATCTTGAGCAGCTTTACGTAATCTAGCATCTTCATCCTCTTCACTTTCGCTTGATGATCCAGATGAGCTTGAGGAACCGCTTGAACTTGAGGATGACTTTTTTTGTTCCTTTCTTTTGGAATTATCTGCTTTAACGTCGTTATCGCTCTCTTCCTCCTCTTCTTCCTCTTCTTCTTCTTCGCGCCCTTCTCTCTCTTCTTCGTCCTTATCGCTTTTTTCTTTTTCTTCACTTCCAGCATGTTCTTCTTTTTCTTCTTGCTCTTGTTCTTGTTCTTCTTGTTCATCTTCCTCCTCTTCCTGTGGTGGCTGTAATAATCTGAGCCTGAAAATAAAAAGGAAATTTTGGTAAATGTTAATAAAATTGTATAAAAATATAACCATAAAAATCTTCAATTGTTTATGGTACCTAAGTTCTTGAGTTTTGAGCTCTTGGTCACTGAGAGGTCTATGCTTCACGACTAATTTGGAATTGGCAGCGCGTGATTCAGGCTTGGATCTTCTCTTACTTAAACGCACTCTAGTTTCCAGTTCGTTATAAAATACTCCTTCATCACGAAAAACGAAAAAGTAGTTCTCTTCATAACCCTTGGATGATTTACTTTTCACGTTCCAATTATACTCTCTGGCCATATCATATTCGTATTCTTCCTCTGTTGATAAAAATAATGATATAAAGATTAGATATGAGTTGAAAACTGTCCCTTGTACGTTAGACTTACCATCAACGTAATCAACTTCATTATCTTTGTCCCTTTTCCTTTTCTCTAATGTTTCTTTGGTTGGTAAAAAGTATGCAACAAATTGTTCTCCGCTTTCATCCATAACACCTCTAATCATCGCCTGACTCATCTCTTCTACTTGAGACATAGGTGCAGGGTCAGCGTCAAATTGTACTTGTGCGAAAGGATACTTCCAAAGGTGGAAATCTGGAAATACTTCTAATACTTCAACAGGGGTAACACCACGCTTGCTGTGATGCTCAGTAATTGGTTTTTTGGCATCTTCAAATGTTTTATTGATAGCTCGAATTTGACATTCTTTGTCCATGTACGGGTTCTCATCTTTCCATAATTTTTTAACATTGTAACCGACCCTGTGAAAGGTAAGATAGGATTTAGTAACAAGTAAGTAAAAAATCGAGTTGTTAAAAACTTACTTAGTCTCTGTTTTTTCACTGGAAGCTCCATATCTGTTAAATTCAGTAGAAATATACTCGGTCTTTTTAAGCCAAGGTACTACTTTATTATGATGTCTGGATCTCTTTTGATCCGACATTGGAACAGTTTCTTCTTCCAATAATTTTTCATCTTCGATAGGTAGAGGGATCACTCCACCGGCTAAAGCATACTCGGGAGGAATAGCATAAATATCCGGATCAATCAAATCAATATTAACCCCTAAATCGTGTTCAGTTAACAGATCATGTTTATGGTTTTTCTCCAAAGAGGTTGGTTTATATTGTGAAAAGCGATTTGGATCAAAAGGATATGTGATGAATTTAGGGTCATAAGGAAAGTCAGGTAAAGTATTGTTGAATTTAACTCGACAAATCAATTCAGTTCTGTAAATAAAGCAAACAATAAATGAAAGCAAGTTAAAATAATCTCACAAAGCTAAAGAATCTTTACATACCTTCTTTCACCAGGTTTTTTAGGCTTTTCTTTCTCCTCTTTTTTGATGGCTGCATTAATAACAGGTGCCATGGTTAATTAGAAGATGTCAATAAAATAATTTAGACTAAACACTGAATGAAATGAATCAGAATAACAGATACAATAAAAATAATAATCAAAGCAAATAGACTCGTGTTTTACTCTGAATAAAAAAAACAAATTCAAAAAAAGATCCGATCCGCGTTTTCTAAAAGTATTTATAGATGGCGCCCTTTTTGCATTTTGCATCATGGCTTCACAACTGATTTTTGGTGGAGCTTAAACAAAGATCTTGGTGAATCCCGATTTTTGATTAACTCTATATTAATTTATACTGATTGTTTAATTATCAATCTTTAGTACAGAAAAATGTCCAATTAACGGTGCTGATTAAATGACACCGCCAACAACTTGATCAGTTCGTACACTGGTAAGTTTTTGTATTTCAATTTTGTCTTCTATCTCTTTTTGTCAGATGATTTTTCTCACATCTTTATGCTCCCTTAGCACTGGATGCTGGTTGAGAGGGACCATATGATTTTTATCTTACCTTTGCTTATTTACAAACAATCATATCTCTTTTTTAAACTTTTTATCGAGGCTTACAATTTAACATCGATTAACTTTGTTTTCTTTGCATTTATTTTCAATTTTAGAAAGTTGTACACAACACTTTTGATCATTCATTATGAAGCCTGGTGCAAACCTCAAATTACCAGACAAAATGATTGATGTTACAGAGGGTTGTTTAGTCCCTGTAAGGATGAAATTCACCAATGAGTGGCATATGGGTGAAGTGATAAGTATTAAAAACAGTGAGAATGGAGACAACCTTTATTATGTGCATTTTATAGACTTCAACAAGCGTTTGGACGAATGGGTAACCAAGGATCGTATGAATTTGGAAAAGATACATCTACCTACGAGAGAGGAAGCCGCGCTAAAATTACAAGAGATGCCAATTTCACCAGATGATAGGATAACTACTACAGAAGTAGAGGAAGTTCAGAGGAATAATAATAGCTTGAACAATACTCTGAACAATACTCTGAACAATAATCTAAACAATAATCTAAACAACAACCTTAACATCACCATAAGCAACAACTTAAGCAACAATCTAAACAACAATCTTAACAACAATCTTAACAATAGTATAAACAATAGTATAAACAATAGCATAAACAATAGTATAAATTGTCCACCAATTAGTCCGGTTAATAAATTTGTTTTAGGACCTAAAAAAGGACGTGGTCGTAAACGGAAACTTCCATCCTTCACATCACAATCAGAAAATCCTGACCATTCACCTAATCTTTGGGCTGGCGGGAGTGGGGCTGTTGTAGCACCACGAACCAATGGCAGCCTATCATCACATAATCCTGATGACATTCTCACTCGAATACGTAATATAGATTTGATTGAGATTGGTCAACATCGAATTAAACCCTGGTATTTTTCTCCCTATCCTCAACGTTTAACATCATTACCATGTATTTATTTGTGTGAATATTGTTTAAAGTATGTAAAGTCAAGAACTTGCTTGATAAGACATTTTACAAAGTGTAAACTACGACATCCTCCTGGGAATGAAATCTATCGTAAAGGAACCATTTCTTTTTTCGAAATTGATGGTCGAAGTAATAGGATATATGCTCAAAATTTGTGTCTACTTGCCAAATGTTTCCTAGATCACAAAACATTGTACTACGATACTGATCCTTTTCTATTTTACATCATGACTGAGACTGATGACAGAGGATGTCACATAGTCGGATATTTTTCGAAAGAAAAAGTATCCTCGGAGGATTACAATGTTGCTTGTATATTAACGCTTCCACCTTATCAACGTAAAGGTTATGGTAAAATAATGATTGAATTCAGCTATGAATTGTCCAAATTTGAAGGTAAAACGGGCAGTCCAGAGAAACCGCTTAGTGATCTTGGATTATTATCTTATCGAAGCTATTGGGCCGAAACCATCTTGGAATTAATAATCAACTTAAAAACACCTGAAGGATCAATTCGACCTCAAATTAGTATAAACGAAATCTCTGAGATGACAAGTATTAAAAAGGAGGATGTGATATCAACCCTTCAATTTCTCAATATGATAAATTATTATAAAGGGGAATACATTATTACATTAAGTAAAGAAGTCATTGCCAGTTTTGAAAGAATATCGAAAAAGCGTCGATTGAGAATTGATCCTGGTTGTTTACATTGGACTCCTAGGGATTGGACAAAAAGAGGAAAATGGTGATAGATGGGTTTGCTGATTCATTTCAGCCTGGTATTACCCGAATAGAAGTACATTTTATCCATTATACTGGATTTTTTTTGTCAATTGTGGATATTCATTAGACAAAAAATTTGTGATAAAATATTTAAATTTGATCGACTCATGGAATGAAAAGACTAATATTGCAAGCGCATATTAAGACAAACTAACCTAAAAGTCGACTCAAGCACCAAAAAACAACATTCACTGTGTTTTTTTTCTTTGTAAATTATGTTTCACTTTAGAAAAACTCATGTCATTAAACTGATGTTAAAACTCAGTTGCCAACCTCAGTTGCTTTTCATAAGTAACATGTATCTCAAGTTTAGATAAACTGTTCTTGACTACTCATGACTTGTTTCCGGAACTTGTTTCCTCGATTTAATATAATTTAAAATTAAGTGGTGATCACGATATTTCAATTGACGCTACACTTTGACAAACTCTCTATAGTTCGGCCAGTTTAAACTACTTACGAATTTAAATTAAAGAGAAGTATTTGAGAACAATTAATAAATATAATTACAATTTATACAATTATTAACAAGATGGAATTGAATAAATATTGAATCCTTAGAGATGAAAAAAGGCGCGAATCAATGATAAAAGTTTTAACTTACGCAGTCTGATGCTACTCACCCTATCATAGTTTGAATGATTCGCTAAATTGGTTATAAAGCAGATTACTCGTAGAAATAATCTTATTAACTAATTAAAAGCGCTTTCGCGTTCACTTCCCGGAGATTGGTTCAACAAGCAAAAAATGTCGCTAATTTCAATTCAATATCATAAATACAATGGGTTCAATTTTTATGTCTTCATAAACTATCTGACAAGGGAAGTAACCTCGTTGGTACGAGCAGATCAAAATAAAAGTGGGTTTAATGGAAAGCCCGTGTCAGAAAACCCTTAAAAACACTAATCTCCCGTGGAGGAAATCGATCTGAAAAGAGTTACACGAATGTTTTCAAAACGGAGGTCAAAATGATTGATAAAATCGAGTTAGAGATAATTATTTTTGTTAATCTAAATTATTTAGGTGTAATTGATCATGAGGAACGCAAATATGAAATCGGTTTATTCCTGAAGTTTTTTATTTTCGAAATAATCGCAAAAAACCACAAAAACATGAAAGCGATGAAAGCAATGAAGATTTCTTAAAAAAATTGAAATATGAAAAAAAAATTTCTTTAAAATGAAGCTTTGATACAAACATTTATATGGGTTTTTGCTATTTTTTCGAACTCGCGACCCTGTAACTTTTTTCAGATCGATTTCCTCCACGGGAGATTAGTGTTTTTAAGGGTTTTCTGACACGGTCTTTCCATTAAACCCACTTTTATTTTGATCTGCTCGTACCAACGAGGTTACTTCCCTTGTGAGTCTAAATTTGAAAGAAATTCATTTTTACCCGTTTTTGCCAATTTGTGCATGATATGTGATAATTGTGCTAATTGTCTTTTTAGTAACAACCAATATTCTGACATAACTGAAACACGGTATTCAAAAAAATATCCATCTAAAAATACAATATTTTTTTGAAGGATATCGATATTATTTTAATGACATGAAGTGCAATAATATTGAAAAATATTGTTAGTTTTACAATATATTTGTTATATTTGATTGAAATTAGCGACATTTTTTGCTTGTTAAATTCAATCAATCTCGCGGAAGGTAACTTGAAAGCCAGATTTTATTCGAAATCAATTCACAATGATGATATTCCTATTAATTGATTGCAATTTTATACTTTCATCAAAAGCAAAATGAGTTAATTTTAATAGAATCATAAGGATACAGTGAAAATGATCTTGCATAATGTGATTATATTTTTGCCCGTATATTCAAAATTAAAATCATTTGATATCAGTAAATGATAATTTATATTTGATCAGAGAAGAATAAACGAAATAGGAATAAAAGAATGAAAAAATGAAAGTTGATCACCGCAAATCTTGTCTTTTTTCATATTTATAAGTAGAGTATTGTTTTATATTAGATACGTTTATAATTTCAATTTTAATTGAATACAAATAAATTGTTCCTCATTTGCCATCTCCTTCAGTATCACGAAGTGAATGCCATTGAGCTATTGGTCTTCTCGGTGAGGCTAACATGTCCATCCAATGTCTCAACTCGTTTCCTGTTCTTCCAGGACCAACTTCAACAACTCCAATGGGATCACATGAACCAATCCTATCATAATCAACCACAGTTACCCTAACAGAGACTTTATTGATCTGCTCAAAGGGAACCTCAAATGTAAATGATTCATTGAAATAAGGGTTGAGTGTGCACTTTTTAACCGAAGTTTTCTTCTTCTTGATTCGTTTACCATTTGACATGAGCGCAATTTTAACATACGGATCGGATAAACCACCTAAATCCATTTTCTTTAAATTTTTAGCCTCCAATATGCAAACAGTTAGTTTACCCGAAGTTGGCACATAACGAAGGGAGAAACAAATATCACCCAATTTTTCTGGTCCTTCTTCTTCGATGGATTGTAAGTCTCGCCACTCCTCAAGTGTTTGAGCTAAATCAACTTGATTCATTGAAATTCGTATTTGTCCAATTTGATCATGTTTAGAGAACCTGAGGGTAAGATATAAAAAAATATTATTATCCAGAATACAAATCAAAGCAAATCATAGTCTATTATGTTAAATATTCATCACAAAAAAAAGACTTGAATTTCCATGAAATAATCAATAATAGAAACAGTGAAACTGTCTTACTAGTTTGAGATACAGATTAAGATTGAAATCAATCTTTCAACCTCTTAGTCAACAGCAGTAATCTAATAATAAACATGGTTAAATTGACCCAAAACCCCGAATGTAATCAGAGTCAGTTAAAATGTACTTACAGAGTATAACATTTTATAATAAAAATACACTTTCATCAAACATGCCGATTAATAATTGATAATCTCGATTTGGTAAATTGAGAATAACACAAAGAATAACTTGCAGTAAAGGTAAATTCAACCAACCAACAAAATCTACAGAGACTACAGTTACTACATCAAAGTATATAATTTTGCTAGCTGAAGAATACTAATTAACAGTATCAAATTAACTTACCGGTCGAAATCAAAAACAGCAAGAACCAAAGTTTTAGCAATAATCTCATTATAAGGAACCTTAAAATTAAAGCTTTCATTGAAAACAGGATTCAAGGTTTTCCGATGGACTTTCGTTTCAAATTTTTTCTTCTTGTCCGGTAAAAGGTAGACTTTAACATAAGGATCACTTGTTCCACCAGCATCACAAGCTGGAAGCTCCTCGGCTTGAATAACAGTAACAGTTAACTGTAAAAATTAACAATAATTAAAAAAAAAGAGAAACAATAATTAGATCAATTAAAAGCAACACATGTAATAATTGAACAACCCTCTCATTGAAAGCATAAAAAGCAGCATAAGCATTAATTTGGCGCCAAGATTAACTTGCAAACCCAAAACCTCCAAGCGTAACATTTTTACATTAATTTTACAATTGAAGCCATTAATTATGGTAAAGCTCATACAATCAATAAAATTATTTTCATTGACAACAATTCTTTGAATGGATCAACACAGCATCTCTTTAAAATTGGGTGAAAAGATAGCAAAGGAGGAGAGAAGAGCAGAAATAAATTTCTTTTATATTGAATTTTTTATTAACTCTTTATGATCCCCATCTCAGTGGCAATAATAATAATGATATCTAATGTTGAGCATTGGTAGCCAAGGTTACTTGGTCAAAGGTAAACAAGAAGACTCGAAAGGTAGAAATGATGAAAACAAAATAAAGCAAAAATTCACATAATAATGGTAAATTTGTAAATTAATAATAAGATAATTTTGGGAATTGTGTTGTAGTCTAGGTTACTCCAAGCAATCTTATACAATATTCAATGTTAAACAAAAAACATCACCTTAAATCAAAATTTCAACTAAATTAAATTCCTATTCAACTAACTGTTAACTATTTTCCCAACAGTTTACCTTCAAGCCAAAAATGTACCCAAACATTTACAGTGTTTGCCATTTTCAATTAAATCCCAACAATCACTTAATGCGATTGAATTGTAATTACAATTTTCCTCTCGCTGCCTCAAGAAAAAAAGTCACTTTTCACCTTTTACCTTTTTTGCTGTTGCTTTACTTTATGCTTACAGTTAGAGTTGAAATGTCCGTCCACTTGAAAAGCTTTTGTAATTATTGACCGATAAATTGGCTTGAGATCAAAGCTGGTCATCAGATTATTTTGAGTCATTTTTGTGACAAGAAAATGATTGCCTTTGAACAAGTTTACCAAATGTTGATTACATGAATTACTTTGATGAGTTTCACTCAATTCAACATTTAGATCCTAAATTTGTCTACCACAAGTTAATCATTGGTTCATCTTGCATTATTATTTTTGGATCAATGAATAACATCATAGACAAGTTAACTGATTTAAAATGATGATTACATTTAAGACTAAAGTCTCATATGAGTGAAATGAATAATTCATACTCATATCAAATGGTTGATTCAAAATCTGTTTTCATTCACCTAAAAGCTATTCATTTTTTCATCACAATCTTGTCTCTCGATAACAATGGCTTAATTTATTCAAAAAATTAAGTCACTTTGATGTTTAAAAATGCAATTTGATAAAGCTTTGTGAGACATTTTTCAATGTTAACCCAAAAAAAACATGGAAACTTACATTATTTGAATTAAAATCGTAGTCAAGTTTATATTGTAATTTACCCAAATTAACTGGTTCCTTTTCCTCTCCATCCTTTCGCTGTTCCGATTCATTTTCCTCCATATTACCCTTTAACCCAGCTGAATCGGGTTGAACCTTTTCCTTACCCATGGAGCCCATCAGGTTGACCGATTTCAGGTCCAAACCTTTAAAATTCTTGACTCTATCCGAGTCTTTAAACTTGCGCCACCAGCTTCGGATACAACAGTAAAGAGCAGCTACAATAACAAGCAAAACAACCACAATAACAAAAAACACTGCATGAACGGGCAACTTGGTTGTTTCGTGAATCATGTTTACTCCGTGTTTAACCTCGGCCCAGGTTGTCCCCGCTATACCAGGACCTGAAGGATGAAGAGCAGTTGAGTTGATCGTTTCCATTGATACTAGTTGAGGCTTCATTGTTGTTCGTTGATTGCGAAGACGATGATTCTTTGTACGATTAGATCCAGTATGATGGCTAACATGAACCTTGGGGTTAACTTGATCAATTTTACCATTATCTTTACCACTTAACCGTCCACTTTCACCTTCACCAGTTTTACCACTTGACGATTGTTTACCCTCTTCTTTTGGTTCACCTTTACCCTTTCCACTTTCCTCTTCATCCTTTGCTTTTTCTCCTTCTACCTCCTCTTCATCTCCTTCTTCACCCTCTTCACCCTCTTCTCCTTCACCCTCTCCATGAGTTTCCTCATTCTCTTTACCCTGTAAACCCACTGAACTTGTCACCTCTGGAGCTTGACTGGTTGACGGGGAAACCTCATCTTCTAGGTTATCATAATCTTCATGTTGTCGTCCATCACGTTTATTCACTGATATCCAATCATGTTGGTTAATTGAAGGCATCTTTGATGACTAACACTCTATGATTAAATCTAATTTCACAACTCACATCATCACTTGAATCACTTTAAATTGATTAAATTGCTCTTCGATATGTAGCCAACTTAAAACCATTTCCAGTGGTTAAACATACCAGAATAAACAAAAACAAAACAGCTATATTTGACCGGACAATTGATTAGAATCCAGAAATAGACAGCAAAGAAGAGAATATAAATTGCAATCAATTAATCAAAAAAGTGAAGAAGCTGATCGATCACAATTACGATATTAATAGACACAATAAAAGGTAAACGAAACAAAAACGAGTGAAACCATGTAAATTGATTGGCAACTCTCGTAGTTATCCCATAAACAGAATGAGAAAAATGTCGATTGAGAAAAAAAACGATGTCACATTGACCGGTTAACTGATTGAAATATCACAAAAGTTGTCATGATGAAGGCGAAGAGAAAAAAATGGATTAAAAATTGAGTTCAAGAAAAGATCTGAGCTGATTAGATAGAGATGTTGGAAGAAGTGAAATGTTGAAGAAACGGAAAGATGAACGAAATGAGGAGCAAAAGAAAACAAAAAATGACTTGATCAACATGAAAACAACTCAGAGAACCAGAAGCAGCCAGATAAACTTTTGTTGTTGTTATTATTATTATTATCTTGCCTCTCTTTCCCTGTCTTTGCCCACGAAAAAAAAGAGTCTGAATGAGAAACAAGACTGAACCAGAAGAAAGAAGAAGAATGAAACTAAAAATCAATACTAATAATGCAGGAACGAGTTGGAAACCAGGAGAAAGAAGAAGAAGCAGCAGAAAGAAGAGGAAAAAAGTTTCATTATCCGCAAGTCTAGTCACTGTTATCATGATAACACAGACTCGCAGTTTCACTCCCAACAGATTCCCTGTTATCTCATCGAATAAACCTTTGAAACACTGAAATTCTCTGCAAAACGCCCACAGAATTTTCAAGTCTACCTTTAGGTTGAAGCCAGCAAAGGTTTCCCTAGATGGCACTGTTAAGTCACCTGGCATAATGAAACTTAAGACTCATTTTCCAGTCAAAATTAAACTGTTAATGAATTTTTCGATGCTCAAATGATAAATGGACATTCATCTGCTGAAATCGCCTGCAAGCGCATCCTAAAAATGAATAGCAAACCCAGGCGCATCAATCAGAAGTACTTCACTCTATCAACCAATTCGATATATTTTGTCTTCGGTTCAATCAGCGATCAAATTTCCAATTCTTGTGGAGATCGATTGACATTTTTTGCTTTTAAATGGTCTTGTTCCATATTCTGACAACAAAAGCTGAATAATTATTTTCTTACTCAACTGAAGCTCGAATAGGAAAATATTTGCTTGATTCCGATGACTTTGTTTAGGCCTGAGTCTCACAACCTTTTGACGACAGGATTGTCAGCCTTCAATGTGATTGTTAGCTTTTGGGTTTTTATAAAAATTGTTCAGTTTTTTTGGGAATTGAGTTCTGTTGAAATTTTGACCCATCAACCTATCTTTGCTTCAACTTTTACCTTTTAACCAACCTTTTAGACCTGCTTTTTACTCTCACTTGCCATTCCCTTGTTATCATAATTGTTTCATATTATTCATTCCTATCACCTTCATGGACTCATTGTTATACACATTAAAACTTGGAATTCATTTTTTCTCATTTTTATACTTTTCTCTTTTTTTTGTTCAAATTATCATTTTTTTCCTGGTTTCTTGTTCATCTTTTTTGGACAATTTTTGTCCTTCTTCAATCTCAGAAATTTTTAATACAAAAATTGATCAAGATACAAATTTTTCTGTTCATTTATCGATTTTTTGTTTATTTTCCGAGCATTCATTTCATTAGATTACATTTTTGGTTCAATTTAGGTTCAATTTAGGTTCACATTTTATTGGAAAATTTTTGAACCAAATGATTCTCAGAATTTTTGCCAAATTAATTGCATTTTTATTGTCGATGGTTCAACATTTAATTGTTTTTCGTTTACACAACCGATCAAAGTCTTCTAATTGTTTGAGTTAATGAGTTAATCAACTTTGCCTCTTGGATTATGGTTAACCATTGAACCAGAAAAAAGTGAATCTATCCAATGTTTAATCGAGTTAAATGGTTTCCATGTTAATTAACTTTTTTTTTCATTTAAACCTTGCAATTTTCAGTCTCAATGGATACAAGTTAATATGTTAAAGGTTGTATTGATCAATAAGTGTTTTTCAGGTAAATTGTTGTAATCCGATTAAACGAGCTTCAGGTTGATCACAAGTTAAGATTGATCTAATTTGGTTAAATTAACCTTTCTGATTGGTACATTTTCTGGTTAAAATGTATTGACTTTGTGGTTACCAAGTTATAAACCCAAAACATGAAACCAGATAAAAGTGAAAGGTTAACCCAAATGGTAACAAATGACTTTTATTCAATCTTTAATAAAACCCAATGCTTCTTGTTTGGTGAATTTCATTATTTGTTAATTATCATTGATAAACAATAATAAAATAGACATCCAGCTGATTTTGGTTGACAATTGAATGATTTAACCATCAATTTAAACCACAATTGATTCCTTTTTTGATGAAACTGGTGAGTTGAAAGAGAAAATCAATTTACTGGTTTTTTTATTTTCATTTTTATATCTTGATCAGTTTGGGTAATTACTTTTGGGTTTCATCTGGTGAAAGTTGATACATTTTGATATCTACAGAAGTGAAAATGATTCTTACAAGCCTGATTAATGGACATTGCGATTAATCAAACAATTATCTTGTTCAATCATCGGTACATTAAATACAATTTTGGCAACATTTCACCCAACAATTTTCATGTTGTATTGTGTTAATATATTTCCTATGAAAACTGAAATGAAAATGAGGCTTTTGGACATTACTTTTCGCCTGGATATTTCAATTACTGTATGATTTGCTTCAATTTGGTCAGTAAATATTGAAATACAATGAATGTTAATTGATACGTTTATTTGACAATCAATTGTTAACAATTTGCTTTACATTTATCCATTTACAAAAGGTAATACAAATGTAAATACTTGGTATTGGGTACATTAATGAAACACCAGGAAAAACCAGAAACCATTTTTGCCACTTCACGTTATTTCACTTCATTTTTGTTGCCTTTCAATCTTAAGTCTTTTCGTCATCTGTTATAATTAATGTAAATTGATAGGTTGATTTGGTGATTTACCGGGAAATATAAAGAGTAAACATGAAATGAAAACTTTCCCTACTATTACATGTAATGCATTCATATGTATTAGTATATTAAACCTACACAAGCTTGTGATACAAATAATTTATCGATTAAGCTCATCGGTTTAAGCTAATGGTAAAGGTGAGAACAATTTTAAATCTTCACTCAAATCAAATATCAAGTTGAATTAATTAAGCATTGAAAATTATTCAAGGATTGGATCATTATTTTTGCTTTGTTTGGTTACTGGCTTTGGGTTTAATGTTAATTTGGCTTTAGTTTGATTTCATAGGTTGATTTAACAGTCTCACTGAATCGATTAAAAGTAGACTAGATTTACATTTCACTATTGTTTTGTAAATCTATCATTAAAATCAGGAGAAAGGTTGGGAACAATGGAGCTAAAAATGAATATAAATTGTCGACGAGATCTAGTAATGAATACAATGGAGTTAATGTAGGAATCATAATGTATGTTGATGTTAAGCCTATTTTTGCCTTCATTAATCTTAAACCTGTAAGATTATTCAAAATTATTTAGGTATATGAAAATTGGGCCAAAGTACTGGAAAAATAAAATCTCCCAAGAAAACCAAAGCACCTCAATCATCGATAATTAACTGGTTTTCTGGCTTCTACTATTTTAATCATGATTTTGGTAACAAGGCCAAGAAATTTGTCCGAAATCCGTATCATCGAGGCTTCAGTCCAAAGGCTTATAACACTGGTTACAAAGCATATAAATTCAACTTTTGTTTGTAAGGCAACATAGCTAATTGTAGTTTCAGTTCCCAATGGATAGGCAACATTAATATCGAAAGAGTTGTTGTCACGAAAAGGTGAATTGAATTCTGACCCCATTATAGCATTATACAAATAATCCGTACATGGTTCCTCTTCATACTTTTTGTAACAATAGCTAGTGTAATTGGATTCATCTGTTAGGCCAAATCTACCCACTTTGAAGTTCTCATTAATAGGCACATAACGTTTGTTTTCCCAGGCCTTAGATTTGGAAAAGGACTGCTCCACAATACATTGACGAACACAAGAGGCTTTGTTTTTACATGGAGTACGGCTATAGTTTCGACACTTTGAATAAGGCGCTGGAAGCTTGTGGATCACTGTACGTTCAAAGGTTACTGTAGCCAAATTATTATCCCCTGTGTCAAATTGAAGGAAAGCTGGATTACCAAGGGATTCATCAAGACTTTCCGAGGTGTGGGTTAAAAAGATGCCAACACGTCTAGTCTCTATTTGGGTTACATTGAGGACTACTTCAACCATGGATAGTGAACCAATTTTGCTCTTTTTATATTCAATTGGGGTTTTAATATCTGAAAACAGGGTGAAGCACTTGGTATACAAACTGAGATAGGTGATTTTTTTAGGTGATAGGTTTCGTGAAAGGCAACCAGTGTAACGATAGTATTGATCAAGTACCCTACAGGACTGTTGTAATCGGGTAAGTCACGGTTTATCTGTTCAATGGTAAGATCCGTTAAATTATCTTTGTTCCTATTAAAATTTCTCTTGTAAAAAAAGCACAATGATACAGATGGTAGTTCAGTTTTGTCGGGATTACGAATGTAAACATTGGTAGTTACAGTAAATTGCAGATAATAATAGGTTATATATAAAGCTTGGATAAAACCTCCGGTGTAGCTTATTATTTTAGCATAAAAACGGTAATTTGATCTATTACGACTTTTTAGTCTATCACCAATTGGTTTAATAACTTTGTTGTTGGATATATTTGTGTTGACATTTAAAGGTGAGGTCGATGGATAATAAGAGTCACGGTCAAAGGCTGAAAAACGAGGTAAATTTGATTGGGATTGCACTGGTTTGAACTCATTAGCTTGAAAGGGTGATGACATTTTTGAATGTCGCGGCACAAAGTGTAAGTTGAAAAACGGTTTGCTTTTCAAATGTTTACCTCTTTAAGTTTAACCGTTAAACTGACAACATTCATCTTGAATTTTCATTCATATCTTTTGAAAATTAATTCAAATTTTATTATTTCATTGATTTTTTGCATTTTAATCAATGAAATTTCCACATCTATTTGCTCCATTCTCACCTAACGATTGGAATTAATTGCTAACGGAAATTGGATTGGCTATTTTCCCACAGTCTCTTATGTAGGTGGACTGTGTAAATCAAGGTTGGTAGAGTAGGGCGACTTTTTTATAACATGTTTACCAGTAGGTTTCAAGTTCAATGTTCAATATGCAGTATATTGAATTTATAACAAAATTACTCATAATTTTTCTTCTCTTTTCTAGATTTTCAAGAAAATAATATTGATTATCAATTGTTGGCTGGTGGCATTGTAAATGAAAGATGGACCAATTATTCTTCTTCCTTTGATTGATGACAAGTGATAGTCAGTTTAATATTGGATTCCAGGCAGATTAATTGAAGATTTAATTTGAAATATGACCAAATAAATGTGACTCCGGAGGTTAATTCAGTACAGAGTTACCATCAGACTCGTTTAGTACATTTTGTACTGCCAAGATGACTTACGGTAAAAGCTAATTTGTTCAGGTGCATTGATTTGTATCACTCATTATGTTTTGACTGTTCACTTGATTGTCTCAAATGGTATTTAGTCTTACATTGATCCAGCTATTTGATCAACTAAATGACGTTTTCTTGTTTAATTCATTTCTTTTCATTATCACCGAGTTTTGTTTTCATTGAGATTAACCATCTTATCTGTTGAATGAAAATCCAGTAGTACTACGTAAATTATTTCAAGTGCAATTAAAAGGTTTGATTCTTGATAGAAGTGGCTTTGAAAGTCATTCAAATTAGAAACTATTTCGACCAAACTTGTGATTAATTAATTGAAATGTAACTCCTTGACCCAAAATGATTGTAAATAAACATTGATATCATCGAGGGACTATTTCAAGCATTGATTGATCTAAAATATCGATTCAATTCAATCTTAATTCTGTTTAATTTCTAATTGAGACTCTGATTATTTACAAAGCCTTTAACTTAATACTAATCGTAGTTGATTCGATTGGTTTTGCAGGCTGATTATTAGCTTGTTGTTAAGTAAATTGATAGCTATGTAGAGATTGGTTAATGAAAATGGGAATTTTCAGCTCATTTAAAAGATCTTGCTTCGTTTATTGAAGGTTAATTGTTTGAGATTTATGATGATTTGTTCTTATTTTAAGTTGAAATTTCCATCTTTTTCCTACTAATCGATTGCATCCATCAGTTTAGACTTAATTGCCACTACGTCATTGATTGCACCGAAATAAGCTCACATTGACACTTGATATGTTATGATGAATAAAAGTTGAAGTCAACAAATGAAATTTCATTCAATCAACTTTTTAAGTCATTTATTTTTTTATCTTATTTGATCTTATTTTCCGCTGATTGGAAAGGAAAATTTACAAATTTGAACAATCATTTATAAATGTATAATTGCAAATTATATCATAACAAATAATAGAAGGCAATTTGTTATTATTTTTGTTTTCAAATCATTGAAACATCACAGTTGAAATAGTTTATCAACAAACATAACTATTTTTATAAATGTCTCTAGATAAATTGAATGATTCCACTTCTTGGTTGGGTTGACTTTTTTTATGATTAGTTATTAACAGAGTGATTTAAGAGTCGATGAGCATTTGGTTTAAGCATGAGGAACTATTTACAGTTAACAGACTGACGAAAGAAAAGAGGAAGAAAAATTTACAATTTGCTATTCCAAATGAAGAAACGGTCACCTAATCAAGCTAACAGCAGCTCCTAAAGCCCAGCTCGATTCAACACCTCGGACTCTTTTAACAACATTGATTTCTTTTTGCCAACTCAAATCATATCCTGCGTTCAGAAGATTTGTAATATAAGCTAGGTCGAGACAAATGAAGGGATTTTCAGCGTAGATACCATTAATACCAAGAAGAGGTGCATCATTGAAAACCATGAAATTTGAATTGAATTGAGCATCAGATCGACCGGCCTCAACAAGTCTAGTCCTATCTGGATTAAGTGTGTCGAATTGTTGACCACAAAAAATTTTTGCGGCTAGATAATAATCCTTAACTCTGAGGGAACCACCATTTTGGGTCGCATTGACTAGCCCTACATCTGAGGCACGGTCATAATAATATGAAATGGCGTAGATTTCTCTACTCAATAGTTCACCAGGTTGGTGGAATATTGGCTGTTCACCTTGATTGGTAACATAGTCACGGGCAATTTTGAAGCAGTCTCCTTGAGTTCCTTCAATCAAATAGGTACGACCTTCGAAAACCCAGCTTGTTTTGGTGTTTTCGGGGAAACATGGATGATTTACGTGGATGATGTTATCCTCACTGATTTGATTTGTTACATTTGTCAAGGCTCGGTGAAGAATTCCCTTCCGTGAGGACATTAGACCAAATCCAAGATAAGAATGAGTGTATAATTGTTTCGTAGTACTAATCAAGTTGCGTTCAACAATAAAATCTTTAGGAGACCTTTGCAAAGTTTTCTCTCTGATTGGTGTGAAAGTGACTTGAGTTGATCCACCACCGAGATCAAGATGGGCAACAGAATTGAGATCATTGTTTAAGAGATTCAGTAGAAAATTTATGGTGAACCAGCCAAAAACACCTTCATCTTCACCATCCATTATAGATACTGAGGAATTAGATTCCATTTTGAATGGATATTCCAAACCACGAAGGAATGTATCAACCTCTTCAAGAATGGCTTCAGCTTGATGGCCAGGTAACAATCGAAGTCCAGCAGTTGCTTTGACAGCTAGAGGAGTTGAAGATCTCTTGTTGACTGGTATACGTTTAAATGCAATTTCAAGTAAAGGTATAAGACTATTAGCTGCTTCTTTGGGTTCATCAGCATAAGCCGACAAGCCGGGTTTGACTTGTTTGAAATCTTCATTTAATAATTTAACCTTTTTACCACCATTTCGCAAATTTGTAATCCTAAAAGTGAAAACATGAATTCTAGTACCGGTGCTACCAGCATCAAAAACAATTGAATGTGTTTTATAACTGGTTGAGGCCTCAGTAAGTCTACTTGCTCGACTAGAAACAAAATTTCTGGGTTCAACTCTTCGTACACCTAGTTGGGCATCCGATAGCGATGAAGACGATACTGGCGATGATGGACGAGGCTTGAATGATGCAGGTAAATTAAAAGGGCCAAAACCAATTGTTATCAGAGTGACCAGTAAATAAATAGATATCACAATAATAAGGGTTAAGACTGTTGAATTTCTTGGTACCATGTCCATTGGTATACAGCTCAAAAGGCTTGGATTGCTATTACTTTTGAAGCCACGTCTATGGATCAAAGACGTTGGGGGCGGTGATGGAGAAACTGTTTTAGAATCAGCTCGTAATCGGGTTTTAGTGATCATGGTTAAGTTATCAGCTATCAGCTTGGATCAAATTTATCAATACAATAACCTGGAAGGAGAAAGTAAAAGGGGAAAAGTAAACATTAATAATTGAAGAGCTATAAAAGCTTTAAGCATCAGGCATCTTTAAGATGTATAATATCAGGTAACACTTACAAAAAAAACCACAAAACACACCTAAAAACAATTTCACCATCACAGTAATTGTAAAACAATTAAATTGGCCATTGATTGAGATCAGGCTCAAGAAAGGAAAAGCTATCAGCAGGCAACTAAAGCAAAATATATTTGCGCATGAGCAATCTTATATTTACAACGATTTAAAAATAAATCGCTAATCATGTTTATTTTATGAACTTTTTTTGATGCAAACCAATTTGCTTGTCTAAAGATGAAAATTGAAGAAAGCAATCAGCCTAGTCAGTTGATTATTATCTCAAGATTATTTAGAGAGTGAATAAGTAAGCAGAAAAAAAGCAAAATTTTATGCTCAATAGGAATCAAGTTAACGTTTTTTGACGAGTCAATGGCGATCTACCAACACAACCAACTCAAACTGTAAGTAATCTTTCTTTTGCAACTGTTCAACAATTAAAATTCCTTCTTCTGAAATTCTTTTGGTTTAATGATTAATAATCTATAATCGATAGAGGCTAAGTGAATATCTTGGTGAATGAAATATGTTTCATTGCAAACAATAGTCTCAATTGCTTGTAGGAAAAAAATGCATGAAAAAAGTGTAAACAACTATCCTTATGGACTGTAATTAACCATATGAATGATTATTTCATGATCTTGCTCCCATTCTCATCCAGTTATACAAAGACAATCAACCCTTTTCATCCCAATCATCAACCTTTCAAGATTATACGAGTATAAAAAAACAAAAACTAAAAAATCAACAATAATATTGACATTAATAAGTTGCTTTACCTCTTAATTATCTTTTTAGCTTCCTTCGCTCTGGAGTCTTCAGGAACTGTAAACAGTGAAAATGCTCAGGATGGCAAGAGAAACCAGGGCAAAAATCAGGATTCTTCAATCGATAACCACCCACTAAAAGCAATAAATGTGATTGTTCACTGTCCAGATGAAGCTTACAGGCAACTTTTGATGGTCATCAGTAATTATTGGTTTCAACAGCAAGGGATGATTTATTGGCGAGCACGAAGCAATCAAGAAAGACGATGGCGTAGAAGAAGCTGATCAAAAAGAAGAAAAATGAATGAAACTGTAACAAACGGTTTGCAAAATTTAAAGCTGTTAAACTTTATAAATTGTAAATCATTAGCAAGTATCATTCAACTGTTAATGATAAATAAACAAGCACTTCAGGCCGACTATTTATACTAACTCTGTGTTTTTATCAATAGGAGCGGATTTACCGGAACTTTTTCAGATAACAACCAGAGGGGTTTGGCTCCTATACAAACAATAACAATGGCGATCACTCCTCTCTTCAATAATCCCCTGATGATCAATTAAGACACAAATCGAAGGCAAATTAATCTATCTTAATCTTCAATCCACTCCTCTTACTGTTTTACATCTTGGTGCATTTGTCTATGGCTTTACTCTATTGCCAACTTACACTCTCAACATGAGAACTGAACGTGTTACTTGGAAAGACTTTTAGCTAACCAAGATGCTTGATTGTTTGATCATTTGATCCATCCACATTGATTAGACAAATCATCGCTATTAATATCAACATTTCTAATGGAGGTAAATCCAGTTTAACTTGGAATTAAATGATTTCTTTCTTAGTTAATTTAATTTATTGAAGGATCAACTTGTTAGCTAACAGAGTGTGTGGCTCTATTCACCGCCCTCTTTTGTCTTCTTTTGTCTTAACTCAAAGAGCAAAGCTATTTCCATCGACAACTTTCAGTTTTCTGTAACAAAGTAATTCAAAGTTTAATCTCTAGTTTGAACCAGTTTTATTTAGTTATATTGCATCTTCAAGATTAAATATTATCGATAGTCTTGTTATATTTCATTATCATTTCCATGGAGTATCCAATTTAAAGTGGCAATTTGTGATTTCTTCATAGTAAGTAATATCTAACGGCTTCCTGGTTAATCCTTCAACCAGCCTTTGTTTTTTTTTCTATAATCAATTGCTCTAGTAACTTTTACTTTTTGTTTCTTTTTTTAGTTTCTTCTAATATTAATTGGCAATCTATTAAATCAACTCTTTTATCTGATTTCACGATGATCCCCATTTCTTGGATAATTATGATTAATTGGTCTCTTTTTTTACATGATTTACAGCCTATTGTGTCCTTCAAGGCAGGCTAGAAGGCAATCTACTTGTGAGGCTGTTGATTTATCAAAGAAAATTATACTTGCTCAATAATATTTAGATGTTTGTCGATCAAAGTCTGACCAGGTTTGACTTATTTTTTTCTGGGCCAATCTCTACTAATCAATATAATCGAAAGCTTACATTATATCCTCTATTAAACCCTTTAATTAATTTGCAACTCTTCTAATACTTTGTTTCCTTCTAATGTAAATAGGGAGAGACGACAGAGAGGATCTTCAACAACCTGAATTGGAATACGTTATCTGATGTTCAACTGTCAATCATCAGTTCGGCCAACAGTCAAATCAAACCAAGGGTTAGGCCTGGATCCTGAGGAACTGTAGTTTCAACTTTAAGGCAAATTGGGAATCTTGATTGCATCAATTTTTATCATCATTATCATCATGATCGTCATCATCAACCTAAAGAGCAACAAAAGCACCAATTGTTTTCATCTGAGGAATAAAAGGGATCAACTTAAAGCAAATCAACATCATCTTGTTAACTTTTTAACATGATGTTTGCGGTTAATAGCCAAAAATCAAATAATCAAGATCAAAGTTGATTAAGCTCTTACAATTTGGCTCTCTCTCTCCCTCCTGGATTCTTAATAGTGTTGATACTGTTAAACTCAACATGTTTTGAGACAATTTAACCCTGAATAGGCCTCAATTTAACTATTAAAGGGTGTTCTTGCCTGTTCTAATCTTTCAACTTTGCTTTAAAAGATTCACTGAACAGGTTTGTTCCCTAAGGTTATCTTGAAGACTTGCCCAAGGCCTGATGCACAAAAAAGCCAAAAGAGATGATGTTCATGAAAAGGTAAGATATTTCCAGTTTTCATCAATTCTACAATTTTTTGATTGTTACTTGCTTTTTTGAGTAACGTCTTTTTTTCCTTTGCAAGCTATTAGGTTGACCGAGATTCCAATGAGTGATTGTATTTTGCACTGGATTTTGGAAACAAAAAAGAAGAGTATCATGATCATGATAGAAGCCGATAATAATAACATTTTCGATACGATGAGCAATGCGGGTTTTGAAAGGGCAGTTCAGACTAATTTAATTGGATTTAATGCCCAAAAAGAGCCATTCCAAACAATAGTTGATACCAAAAGTGACCATCTTGATTTGTGCCCGTTGAAAGTAAACAATCAATCGTTTTGTTTATCAAGCAAACGGAACAATATTAGAATGATTTAATCTTTTAATCATGAATATAGCTGATGATAAAAATCAAAATGAAGAGTTTTTGGAAAATCTCATTAACAACATTTCCCATACAGTTGAATCAGAAGCCATCAGAAGCAATCTTGAAACAAACCTGATGATGATTATCAAATTTAAATTTAAATTTTACTCATTTGATGCAGCCAAAATTGCTCTTGAAATTGAATTGAATCACAGCCAAATAATCATGAAATATGTTTGACAATTGGGGTTGATTAATATGCTAAAAGTAAATCACCAAGCTTTACTTTTGTACCTCCAATGGTCACCTCACCATATAATTAACTCTCATGAATCATTTCTAATCATGGTTTCAAGGCATTTCAATTCTTCATGCAGACCCGCAAAGAGTTAACATGTAAAAGCGTAAACCATCCAAATTAAATAAGATAATCATGTTAATCAAACCTCACACAATCATAAGGCAACTGTTGAAAATTAAAGGTTTGATTGTAATCAAAAGTAAACCTGACCAAGATATGGCAAGACAATTGACATTATTGATTAAGTGTCACGTCAAACAGTTGTATCAAATTGTTTGATCAAAAAATGTCAGCCAAAAGACGAAAGTCAATTAATCAAGCAAGATGAAGATTTACCGATTAAATCAACACCAGGCCATCATGATAATCATTTATTTACACTTAATGTTACAATTGCAATGTTAACAACTTTAAATTTTCAATTTAAACATTTACCTTTTTGCCCTTCTAATGAATTCAATTGCCAGACCATAGCAACAACCAAAAGCTTCACAAAAGCCCAAAAAATCGCATCAACCAAATTTATAATTCATTAAAGACTTTCAACTGATTAAACGCACGGAAACACAAATTGAGTTAAAAATGACCGCAAAACAAAAGTCCAATTCACAGCAACATTAAAAGCTATTAAAAGCCGGACAAAAGCATAAACCAAATTAAATCTTAATGATGTGAGAATGTCATCGATTGTGACAATTTAACTTTAAGTTATCAATCAATTGACATTTCTAAACATTTGTCATTAACTTCAACCTTAACCATGAAATGGTGTAAAGCAATTAAGAGTCAATAGTAAAGTTGCTTAAAGGTTCAACAGTTGAACCATCAAACAAAATCCAATTGTAACAATTAAAAGGTAAAAGGCTAAAAATTGCCTTTGAAATGTTGAGTGATTTAGATTTTTTGCCGAGATGGAAAAGTTTACCTTAAAAAAAGAGCTGAGCAAAACTCATTTTTACCCATTTTCATGGTTTCAACATTAAAGTCATTCCTTTATCATTATCATCATCTAATTACATTTAACATTGTTTATCCACTAATTAGCCTTTTAATAACGAATTGGTAAAAGATGATAATTTAAGTTTAATATTTAAGTTTCAAATGAAGACAAAAGATGATTATTTTCATTTCTCAAATTGGCTAATTATTTTTGAACCAAATAACGTTATAAACTTAACAGCAACAAAAAAAAGAGTGAAAAGCTAGAGGCAAATTCAATTGATTTGATTCTCTCATCATTAACCATTATCAACCATTAATTTAATAGCAAGAAACCCTTTAATCGAGATGTTAATGAAAACAATCATTTCTCTTGTTAATGATGTTAACTCGTTAAAAACATGACAAAAATCAAGTTCATTGACAGAAGGCGATTTCAATTTCATGTTGCCAGGAAAAAAAACATTTTCTCAATGAATGAGTATTTTTCCTAAATCAAACGACTTCACTTGACATTGAATAAATATCAATCAAAGAAGCAGAAAAATTGTTGAAATTGTTAATTGAATCATCAAAAGGTATTTATATAAAAAACAGATCAACTTGAACCAATTAAAGGTTCATCTATGAATGTAGCCAAAAATTAACCCAATTACAGCTTCCGATTTCATTCCACATTTGATGGAGAAATGATTTTTCCATTAAAAAGATGAATTTTCAAAGTCAAAGCTTTTCGCCATAATTTAATGTATATTAATATTCAAATGTCTTGCTATTTAAAAGATTATTATTAAAGGCTTGGCAATAAATTAACTTTTATCATTCAACATTTATCAATTTTTAAATATTTTAATATTACATTTATATTTATATACTAATGCCTTGAGAGGTTAAGTTTAAGGGTCAACCTTTTTTATCCCCTTCTTACCTTGATCTGTATTTTTGCTCATAATTTTGGTTCGTCTTCACAATAAATCTTTAAGGTTCCTTCATTCAATTCATCAAGGTTAATCTGGAATGTGTTTTGCATTTTATTATTGTATTGATGATGGTTGACGGTTTTACCTTAATCACAATGAGAATGGCTTTTGACCCGATTTTTACAGCAAAAAATGGCTTACAAAGGCATTTTTGTTGCTCTTAATGCTTTATCCAAATGAATTTACTCTTTTAAAGTCCATTAGAAATGACCAAAAGTAAAATAATCAACTGTAATTGAGGTAAAAAATGAATAAATGATTGCCAAGTATTTTACATTGTTTAACGTATTTCAGGCCTTTATACACTTTTGTGCCTTGAAAATGCTCTATGCGATTTGAGATTCAATTTTGAATAACTTTTCTTCTTGTCGTGATTCAGTGAATTAAATGATTTAATCATGAAACTTGTTCATTCAATGGAAAACTGTAACGGAAGCTTATTCATGGAAATGATGTTATCAAAGGTAATCTTGAAATCTGGATCTAGATTTTAGTCTAATTTTAACGCCATTCATTTAAAATTGAAAGTTTGCAACATTAAATTTCGTCTAAATTTTCTCGCCTTTGACCCGATTGACTGGAAATTTATATAAAATATTATATTTGATGAATATTTTGATGGAATCATTAGATTTCCATTTTTCTTGGTTGCCTTTCAATTGTTGCTAATGGCTTTTGAAAAGACTTTAAATATACAGATTAGCGGTTAAATTTGAATCGGAATTTTGATTGTCTATTTATTGTAAAATTGACTAAATTAAGATTTTGAGAAAATCTTTTTAAAATTATTTTCAACAAAATTCAGACTTTGCCTCATAACTTATCCGTTAATCACGGGTCGCTTAATGTGTAATTTGTAATACTGAGCTGCTCTTCAAGTAAAATTTATTAGTATAGAATCGGCTTTTCCAGCTCAAACCATCATCACGGTATTTAATAAATTTGTTTGCTATCAAACCAATTTGTCACAATAATAATGCTAAGTAACCCAATGATTTAATGTAAACTTGGTGACTTAGTCGGTTGGACTTCAAGTGTCTCAAGCCCAAGATAAGTTTACTGAATGTTTATTAAGATCAAGTCAACTTTACTCATAAAACTGAGTTTACACAAAAAGTCATTTTCTTGTTACAATAATAAGTCAACTTTGAATCAACTGTAAGTAGTTGAGCCCGCTTCCAGGCCATCCTGAGCCAACTTGAGTCCGAACATTTCTTGATAAATTAGATGAATATCATTTATCAGACTATTATGGATAAAACGTTGAAATTTTCAGTCATTGATTGTATTTTAGTTTTGAGGTAGATATCGATTTTCAAGGTGTAAATCTTATTCGTTGATGGATCAAACCAGTTCCAGATCAATTCCATTTGAATAAATCATTTGAGATTTCGGAATCAATTAATTGAGCTAAAAGCATTATTAGCATTTTTATTGTTAGTTTATTATTGGTTTCAGATGATAATAATGATGGTGATGATGACGGATTACAATCCAATTAAATATGGTTAGATGAAACACTTGAATTATTAATGAAGCTCAGAAAAATGATCCGAAATTACAACTCAACATCATCATCATTGATGCAAACTCTAGGAGAAACTATTGAAAAATATAAAGTTATCAAATGAAAATATCATTATTAAATACTTACAATTAACACAAAATCTGTCGTTATTGCCCCAAAATCGCCAATCTGGAAGCCAGTCGTTGGCAGCGTTGTTCTGTTCAAGATTTCAATCATCTGCAATAATAAAAATATGGATATGTTAATATTCAATTAATAGTATAACTTTGGAATAATATTGTTTCACAAATTTTAGTTTACTTTTAATTTCATGATTATTGTAGCTTTACTTTTAAGATATACTTGATGCCACATTGGATAGAGCCTTCTAACCTAAACAATGCAAGAAGACAAAAAATTGAAACATTTCACTAAAATGACAGGTAAAACTAAACCTTGTTGGTTAATCTGGCACAAACGAGACTAATTATCAAAGTATGAGTAATAATGATGATTCCGAGGCCAGCAATAAGAGTGTCCATTACAACGGAATGATTTCCAATGATAATGGCAAATTGTATGAACCAAAGCGATTGAAGAGCTACTCCAGTGTAAAAATAGAAAATCAAGAAACGAATTTTCCTAAAATTTAAATCCATTTCATTGAACAACACTGTCGCATGTCTGGTAATGAATCTAATGTCACTATTGTAAGGCTTATCATTTGATTTGAGCAGTAGTGAAGTTGCGTTTTTTAGCGATCCCATGTGATAGTGATGAACAGTAGTATAGAGACAGGAGACTGCACCTAAACAAACCAGTTGAGCTGCTAAAAGCGCCACTAAAGGTGTCAATGTTAAAGTCCATGCAACCTCAAAGAAGAGTGTTTTAAAGGAAAAATGGTTGTAAAGGTTTATGACGAGCTCATAGTTGTAGAGGATCGTTACGTAAAGAATGATCAGTGGACAGCTAAAGTTCCAAAATAAACAAACGTAATAGCAAGTGCGATTAAAGTCTTTTTGTTGAGGTGCAACGAATGGAAAATGGGAAAATCCATTTTTTATTAAATCTTTTATTCTCATTGCTTCACCAACAAATCCACCTTGCCTTTCAACCAACATTATACCTTCATGAGCAAAGTACATGACGGCTGTGCCAACAACGACAACAATCTTCAAAACAACTTTGTCTTTGGATGCAAACAGTGGATCACCCAAATAAATTGCTGTGTCACCTTCGGCACTAAACACAGGATAAGCTCTTGAAAGGTTGATCAATATGAAAAATCGAAGAAACCAATTCTTCAAGTCGAATTGGCGCTTCATTTCGACAAGTTTCTCGACACTTTGATCGAAACCCAATCTCAGTGCAAAGTAAAACACAATTTGATGTTCCATCGTTTCAGTAGCACTAAGTGCGAGCTGCTCAAAATCATGATCATTCAACTGTTGGCGAAATATCAGTTGAGCGAATTTCCACAAATCGGAAAACAACAACACCAAGCGAGATCCAGCAAGCTTTTGTTTCATTTTGCTTCGTGATTTGGTCACTTGAAGTCAAAAATGCTGCATTATTCAATTCACTGAATGCACTTGAATGAATCCTTTTCCCTTCTAAATGGACTTAAAAACTATAAATTTGAGGTTCTTTAATCATCTCGAAAGGAGTGTCTATTGGTTAATATTGATCAAATGTATTCATTGAAAATGAGTTTTTGTGGTTTATATTTTTCTGTTTTGATCAATTAAATTCATCATTATACAAAGTTCTGTGTGCATCAGTTGATTATCAAGAACTGTGTTAAAAATTGATTAATGTTGAAAAACAATTTAATATTTATTGATTTATTTATTTCTTGACAAATCAGATGAATATCATTTATCAGACTATTATTGATGAAACATTGAAATTTTAAGTTATTGATTGTATTTTAGTTTTGAGGTAGATATCGATCCGAACAATTCCAGATCAATTCCATTTGAATAAATCATTTATGATTTCGGAATCAATTGATTGAGCTAAAAGCATTATTAACATTTTTATTGTTAGGTTATTATTTGTTTTAAATAATAATGTTTCCAAAATGATGGTGATGATGACGGATTACAATCGTATTAAATATCGTATGTTGAAACACTTGAATTATTAATGAAGCTCAGAAAAATGATCCAAAATTACATCTCAACATCATCATCATTGATGCAAACTCTAGGAGAAACTGATGAAAAATAGAAAGTTAACAAATGAAAATATCATTATTAAATACTCACAATTAACACAAAATCTGTCGTTATCACCCCGAAATCGCCAATCTGGAAACCAGTCGTTGACAGCGTTGTTCTGTTCAAGATTTCGATCATCTGCAATGGTGAACATTTGGTTATTTTAATATTCAATTAATACATAACTTTGGAATAATATTGTTTCACAAATTTCAGTTTACTTTTAATTTCATGTTTATTGTGGCTTTACTTTTAAGATATACTTGATGCCACATTGGATAGAGCCTTCCAACCTAAGCGAACAAAAGGAAGACAAAAAATTAACTTGAAACATTTTACTAAAATCACAGCTAAAACTAAACCTTGTTGGTTAATCTGGCACAAACGAGACTAATCACTAAAGTATAACCAATAATGTTGATTCCAAGACAAGCAATAAGACCATCCATTACAATGGAATGATTTCCAATTATGATGGCAAACTGTATGAACCAAAGCGATTGAAGAGCTACTCCAGTGTAAAAATAAAAAACCATGAAGCGAACTTTTCTAAAATTTAAATCCAACTCGTTGAACAACACTGTCGCATGTCTGGTAATGAATCTAATGTCACTATTGTAAGGCTTATCATTTGATTTGAGCAGTAGTGAAGTTGCATTTATTAGAGATTCCATGTGGAAGTGGTGAACAGTAGCATAGAGACAGAGGATCGCAGCTACACAAATCAGTTGAGTTGCTAGAAGAGCCACTACAGGTGTCAATGTTAAGGTCCATGCAACCTCAAAGAAGAGTGTTTTGAAGGAAAAATGATTGTAAAGGTTAATGACGAGCTCATAGTTATAAAGGATTATTACGTAAAAAACGGTCATTGGACAGACAAAGTTCCAAAATAAACTAATGTAATAGCAAGTGCGATTGAAGTCTTTTTGTTGAGGTTCAACGAAAGGAAAATGGG